GAAGCTATGTCTGTAAGTCGTAAGGTAAGGGAAGGCTTCGATGATCAATCATAGTCTTATCAAAGAGGTTCTCAAGAAAGATAGCTGAAAGCGATCATAAGATCTGATACGAAGTTAATTGCTGAAGAGCTATGGAAGTCTGTCCTAGAGTCCAGCTCAAGTCCATCCTTATATACAAGTCCTGGTCCTGAACATATCCTTTGTCAATGATCAGTCCTTCTGATCGGGTGAGCGCTTATTGTTCCTGTATGAGCGCTCATTACTTGGCATGATGATGATGATGATGTATTTAACGTCTGGTATTACTTGGCATGAGCGCTCATGGTCCCACCATGGTTGCTCGTGTCTTATCTTATCATCACGTGACTTGTACCATAGTTCTTCCGTTCCGTGAGGGCGTGCCCTAGTGTCCCTTGTCTCCTGCATATATGGTGTGTTGTAACCGCCGCGAGCCTGCGGGGCAGGCCCTGTTCTTGGTCATGCATGTTGGGTCGTAACATAATGATGACTGCGCATCATTTTCCCTTGTTCTGCAATATAGCTACGCGCCCACAGTGACAAGTTGCGGCGGGCGTAACAGTAGATATGTCTATTGTTCAATTTTCGGCATCGATGCCTAGTAATTGCCTACGTGTACCTTCAAAGTCACAAAGGCTACTAGTACCTAGCGATGAAACATAGAGGCTCAAATTGAGGGCAAATTGGTCTTCACATGTGCATGTTGAGAAATATCATCTACAATGCAAAAGCTTCAATTGCTTCTGATTCCGGTAGTAGATGGATTTGGAAAACGGTCTGCGCGTGAGAGGCTGTTCCAATTTCGCCTTACGTACTCGCACGATGTATTTTCGTACTGTCAAGGTTCTTATGACTCTGCTCAAATCACATCATTCTCAACGCGACAAAAGCTAAAGATCAATTCATCTCCGAACCTAAGGATCGCTTAAAACGCAAGTTTGCATGCAGAGGTTGACTTGAGACATGACTGAAGAAGTTCGAATGGCTGCAAACATACCCTCTTCATAGCTTTAATGTCGATGAAGGAGGCGCGCCAACATAGGCGCGGCTGCAAATCTGTCTCAGCGCTCATGCCCAGACCCTCAGGAAGATGTACCAAGTAAGTAGGTAACGAAAGCAACTGCCCGTCGGGGCTTGACCTAGGTAATTGGAATACCCTGCATGCTTCTGTTGGCCACTCGGGTATTCACATATAACATGTACGCGGCATTGCGGGATTTATATTTCTGACTTAGTAAGGTAGTCACACTGGTAATGTATTTGCTACATGTACCTAGCAGCAACGCAGACGATCCCATTGGCAAACTTCAGCGCGCAGAAATGGTGCAAGTCATGTTATTTACAGTGCAGGAAAGATCTGCAAATTTTCGGACATATCCCGTCTCCCCGTCTACGCTACTCCTTGCTTCAGCGCTCCTGTCTGATGGGCTAGCTCCGACGTTGGATCTTGCCCCATTCCTTGATCAAAAAGCACGTCAATCGCCTACTAACGAACAAGTATCCGTACTTGACAACGAGCATAGACTGCAATGTGGTGTTGGTGTGTGGTCCACTAAGGCCATGGCTAGCGGAGTACGTTAAGACGAAGAGTTCTAAGTTGCGATGGGGATGATTGAGAGTGGCTTGTTAGCAAAAAGCCATTGAAATTAAGTCTGTCAGAAACGTCGACTACACAAATGTCTCGTTACATGTAGTGGGAAAATTTTTTAAATACTACCGTGTACACGTTCATATCGGCTTTTCAGCCTGGCGAGTCTTGATGAAGACGCCGCCGTGGGCTACTGGGAGCATAGAGTCTCCTCAATCACGAAGAGAACCGAATCCGAGCAGCACCCCTGTCGAACCCCCAGTTTACGGATACAGTGGCTCTTGTCACCGGCCCCTCTAACCTCAATGCCCTTCCACAGCGGCCATCCCATTGGCTTGATACGGCATCAAATGATTACTTGACTTGCTAAGATAATCGCGATGTGAAAACCTGCATTCGCAAGCTTCTGCGGTGCGAGCCGGGTCCCAGAAGGTTCACGCATCGGGGATAAGAGTCGCGCGGGTTGGTTGAAATCACGAATGACTTGCCCAAGTAGAACATATGCATATCCCCTGACAGGAAAGTTCCATAGTTACTTACACATTAGGCATATGGGGCCGTGGAGGAGACGTCACTACTCTCAATCGAGCAGACTTTGTGTCCTGTTCAGCATTCAGGGGGGCGCAGAGGGCGCATGCACCACAGCAAGACTGTTATCAACCAATCAAAGGGATCTTGAAAGAGCAAGTTACACCTATTCGATCTGTCAGTTAAATTAAAGTGACAGGCGTAGTTTGTTCCAGGTAGAAACACTGCTCCTCTTTGCAAGCCTACCGGCTTTACCGTATTCGCGTATGGCGAATGGCTGACATCGACGCTTATCAGAGGCTGCGTCCTTCCACAGGTTCGATGAGACTCAGTTTTTCTCAATCCATTCTCTCTTGCTGTTGAGTTGTTTCTGCTCAAGTCTCTCTTTTACATTTTGGTCTTGAATTGCCTTGTTCAATCAAGTCTGTCCATTCGTTGAGTTGCGAACTCATTGTTTACATTCTTTTCTCCTCTTTATACCATTTACCTCTTTCGGCTAAACTCCGCGGATTCCGCGCTTCTTACAGACACAATGAAGTCGGCTTCAACCATCTTGGCGGTCTTGGCGGCCGTTGTCAATTTGACTTCCGCTCAGACCGTGACCGGAAAGGCGGAGGGCTTCGCGACCGGAGTTACCGGCGGTGGAAGCCTTGCCGCCGTCACGCCCAAGGACATCGACGAGCTGACAAAGTACCTCACCGACGACGAGCCCCGTGTCATTGCTCTTTCTCAGGAGTACGACTTTACCAAGTCCGAGGGCACGGAGACCGGCACGGCATGCGCCAACTGGGGCACCGGCGCCGCTTGCCAGAGAATTATACTGGACGACTGCGGCAGCGCCACCAAGGAGACGGACACTTGGTACAAGGCCGCCCGTACGCCTATCGACGTCGGGTCCAACAAGACCATCATCGGTGTCGGTAACAAGGGCGTCATCAAGGGTAAGGGCTTGAGGATGCAGGGCAGCAACGTCATTATCCAGAACATTGAGATTACCGACTTGAACCACAAGTACGTCTGGGGAGGTGACGCTCTGTCTTTCGCCGGCGCCGACCTTGTCTGGGTCGACCACGTCACGGTAAGTAAAGTTCTGCCATAATTTAAGTATTTGTAACTCGAAGCTGACTTGAAGAAAGACTACCCGCCCCGGTCGCCAGCACTATGTCTTCGGCTTCACCCCTAGCAAGCGCATCACCCTGTCCAACAACTTCATCAACGGAAACTCTACCTACTCCACTGGCTGCGATGGATACCACTACTGGACTTTCGAGATGGTTGGCGAGGATGACCAGATCACCATGAAGAACAACTACGTGTACATGACTGCCGGCCGTGGTCCCGCCCTCAGTGGCGCCACCCTGCTTCACGCCGTCAACAACGTCTGGGAGGACACCAAGGGACACGCGATCGAGGGTGGCGACGCCAAGGCTCGCGGTATCTTCGAGGGCAACGCGTTCATCAACGTCAAGCAGCTCGTTTCTGACTACCAGGGCAAGCTCTTCACCGCCCCCGACGCGACCACCGCCGCTCAGTGCAAGACCGCGCTCGGCAGAGCCTGCGAACTCAACGTCTTCGAGGACACCACCGACGAGTTCAAATACACCGACACCTCCTTCTTCAGCGAGTTCGATGGCTTTTCCATCGCCAGTGCCACAGCCGGCAGCAAGATTAAGACCACTGTCCCCAGCAACGCCGGCATGGGCAAGCTGAGCGCTTCCTCCTCTTCCTCTGATACCACAGCTGAGGCTGCTGATGAGACCACCGATACCGTTGTGGCTACCCCCTCCGCTGCCCCTGCAGCTTCCACCTCTGCTGCGCCCAAGGCGTCCGAGGCTGCGACTTCCGGATCCGTCGCACTCTACGGCCAGTGCGGCGGCCAGGGCTACTCCGGTGCCACTACCTGCGCCTCTGGCAAGTGCCAGCTTGTCAACGACTGGTACTCTCAGTGTATCTAAGTCGAGGGAATGAAGCCAACTACAAACGGCAGAAGCAAGAAAGGAGAGAGGTGTGCACATGATCACGGGTAACGGCGTCATGTTGCGGTACCCACCCTTTTGTAATATTATTTCGGATTCATCGGATTCATCGGATCCATGCATGTATACTTTCCCTCTGTAAATACATTATGGCCTGGGGCTATGTGGAAAATGTCAGCGTTTTGCATCAAATGTCTCCTACAGGCGAATACTTTCCTAATTCGATCAGAATACTGTGACGAAACCACTGTTCATGCAAGGATCATGAATCTTTAGAGCTCGTATCACTAGCTCATATGGTTTGATATCTACCTGAGGTAGTGGGTTGGGTAAGTAAGGTACCTAAGATAAGTCAACGGCGGCGGACAATATCCGTAGTTTGCCATGGGATGAACACTTAACATAGCCCAATTACCAAAGCCTTTCATGTTCCGATTTCCCGGGACAAAAGCTTCAATTGTGGGCGATTTAAAGCAGTGGCAGAATTACTCGTCAATTCGTGGGTTTCACTACCTTTTGTTCCCACTTTCGCTCTCGCTTTCGCTCCTTGCTGTGGCTTAGGCCACGCCTAGTTCTCTAGTTCATCTAAGTCTTGAGTCGTGAACACGATCATCGCACATCTCAGCCTTACGGCAGTACCGGAACATCGAAACCACTGGAGTCCGGATGTAGTTGAATTCGGCGATTGCTTCAACTACCTATGTTCAGCCCTACGGTATTGACTTACCGGCGTGCCAAGGAATGGCTATTTAAGTGTCTATAGAATCCTCTCTTCAGCACTCGTTCCATAATCTCACAATTCAACCAAATAGTCAACACTCACTTCAACAATTCACCACTCACTTCATCAAACCCCATTTTGAACCAAAATCGCCTACATCACTTTCAAAATGCAGTTCTCTACCGTCACCGCCATGATGACTTTCTTCCTCGCTGCCGCGACTGGGTAAGCTACCAACTTTCTCAAATCTCGTCCAAAACAATGATTCCTTCTTCGAATCCTCTCCTATTGTTCAACTACAAGGCACACTATATAGAGTTTCTAGGAGTCTGAGGCTAACAAGTTCTCAGCGTCACCGCTAAGCATCACACCCGCCTCCACAGCGGGCAGTTTATCTTCGGCTTCCCTGTAAGCTCCCACTCACCGCCCGAACCCCGTTTCTCAAGATGAAATAGACTGATGGCGGACTAGAATGATGCTGCGACCAACAAGGTCTGCCCTGGCTTCTGCTCCGACTGCACGCTCGGTGACGACGACGGTCACCGTGTCTGCAACTCTCCCGGCAAGGAGATAGACGGTGATGGTTTCTCGAACGCTTGCATCGCTGCCGGTGCCAATGGTAGCGAATAAGGGGCTTCGATAGTTTAGCTGAGCTGTAGTCTCTGTAGCCAAACTTCCTGGTGTCAAATTCCAATCCAAACAGTATAGCCTAAGTCATGTCTGGAGCTCAAGATTCTTGGACCAAAAGTACTTAAGTGAGGACGTTTGTGTTTATACACAATTCAACTATCGTTTTCATGCAGCTGTGCACTCTACATGTACGCTTCATAATGCCATTACATGCTAAACTGACGATTCCTATGATATCGCCGTTACCGCTTCCATCTTCGGCTTCTATGGGTTCTTCGTAAGAGGAACCACGCGACGGGTATTTAAGGTCAAGCGAAACACTGTAGGAAATAAACTTTAGAGATTCTTGCCAAGATCCGCTACCAACGGTTTCGTACTGAGCCTCTAATCTTGGCTGTTTCCTGTTTCGGCCACAGCAAAGTCGTGAACCCTGTCCGAACTTTGAAGAGGTGTTCGGATGGACCACCTTTAAGTCGAAAGACTGCCCGTAATCCCAGCCACAATGAACTTTATATCTCTACAGCGAGCAGATAATCAGCACCAAGAGTACAAAAGCCGAGGCCTTAAATGTCGTAAACGTACGGCAAGATATCTCTTAATTAGGACTTAGATTTCTGCGCGGACAAAAGCCAACTGCCGCGTACCCGCTCGCGCAATGTTACACAGGATTGCATCATCATCAACCACCCCAGCAAGACGTCTTACCGAAATCCAGAAGGAACGGTCGCTAGCCAACCACAGTATTCAGACCAGAGGCCGAGATAAGCTATCGGGAAAATAACTACATCCTTTCTATTGCCGGACTTCTCGCCATGGGTGCGCGAGTCTGGATTCTCGTCGGGAAACTCCCGACCCATGCCTGCCGGTGATGTGCTCCGATGTGGCATTGACGACTTCAACACAAGGCTTGTCGATGTTCCCTTAAAACTGATCATGATAAAGATTTATTAAGGGAAGAAATGATGGGTTGAACTCGGCGGTTTCGTCTCATACTGTTGCAAGTCCAGGTACATTTCGAGACTCAGGCGCCATGTCAACTCCGCCGGTTCGCCGTTGGTATCACTGGTTTGCGCCGACTGATACCCCCGAGGAGAGAAAGCTGATCCTCAAACTTGACTTCCTCATCGTGCCCTACGCTTTGTATGTCTCGTTTCTTCTACAAGTGCTCTCCAACAAGACTGACCATGCCTCCGCAGCATCATCTATTGGGTCAAGTACATCGACCAGATCAACATCAGTGAGCAAACCACCTTCGAGAGCACCTTCGCTTTGCTGCTTATGCCCGCTAACACAACATCAGATAATGCCTACGTTTCTGGAATGGCCGACGAGCTCGGCTTCCACGGCAATGAGCTCGTCCAGTTCCAGACCATCTTCGTCGTTGGCAACGTAGTCGGTCTTTTGCCGTTCATCTACCTGTTCCCAAGAGTCCCGATGCACGTTCTCGTTCCGACCCTTGATCTCGGCTGGGGACTGTTCACTCTCCTCCAATATCGCGCCAATAGTTACGCTGAAATCATGGCATATCGGTTCATGGTGGCCATCTTCGAAGTAAACTCCCCTCTTCTACCCCGGCCGTCTTGGATCAAAGCTAACAGTCAAACCAGGCCTCGTACTTCCCTGGTGTCCACTTCGTCCTCGGATCGTGGTATCGAAGCGATGAAATCGGCCGAAGAGGCGGCATATTCTACATCGGTCTTACCCTCGGTACCCTGACAGCATCCTTACTACAAGCCGCAGCAGTGACATACCTCGACGGGACTCACGGCCTAGCCGGCTGGCGCTGGCTCTTCATCATCAACGCAACCATCACGCTACCTCTCGCGGTAATCGGATACTTCGTGTGGCCCGGCACGCCCGCAAAGCCAAACACGCTTCTCATGAAGGAGTCTGAACTCGACCTCGCACGCTCGCGTCTGGAAAAGGCCGGCGCATCGGTCAAGAGCACACCTTTCTCACTGAGCCTCTTGAAACGAGTATTTACAAACTGGCGGTTCTACGTCTTGATCATTTGGGATATCCTCTTCTTCAACACCAGTGCGAACAGCGCTGCCTTCTTGTTGTGGATCAAGAGTCTCGGCAGATACAGCACCGCCCAGATGAATAACCTGGCTGCACTCAGCCCCGGGCTGGGAATTTTCTTCGTGCTGTTCATCAACTTTAGCGCAGACTTGTGGATCGGGCGTCCGGCGGCTATTACCTTGGCATCGGCGATCAACTTCTCGGGACTGGTCATTTTGGCTGTCTGGAATGTGCCGGAAGCCGCAAAGTGGTATGCGTTCAGCACCACGTACTCTGCCGTCGCAGTCTCTTCGGTGCTGTACGGCTGGGCCAACATTATTCTCAAGCACAACATCGAGGAGCGAGCGTTGACCTTGATCCTCATGACGGCTATCGCTACATCTACGAACGCGTGGATACCGCTGTTTGTGTACCCGACTGTCGAAGCCCCGAGGTTCCCAAAGGGCTATGTGTACTCTGCCGTCATGGTGGTTCTCCTGGTTATCATGACGCAGGTTGTGAGAGTATCACTAGGTTCTCATGGGTAAGCATTCTCGATGTCAAGAACGGAGAGACTGGAAGCTGACTTTTATCTAGGGAGAAGAGGATCCGCAAAACTCAGGACAATGATAGCGCTGCGGACTCTAGTGAAGGGCGTCCGTCAACGAACTACGAGGTATCTGACCAGAAAGGACCTATTCCTGCAGTTGCGGCAGTTTGATTGTGCTCTCATAGTGAGTCCAGAGGGATGGTTAATCATGGAAATTAGCCAGTCGATTCAACTGTATGTGAGGAGTGTTGATCAAAGGCATCGCCGCCAGGAACCGAGTCTCCTCTCATATCTAAGGTTCGTCACTAATGGCAACTAGTAATCCATTCTCAACTGAGTAGTGCGAGTCGTGATGCTTTATGTAATTTGTACCCGACGGAGACAAGCTCTTTAGGCGATGGTGGTGATGAGAGGAGGCCAGGGTAAGGGGGTTAGGTTGTGGCTCATCCTTGAGGTTGAGAGTAACCCACCCAGCTCTCAATGGTATGCGACGATACAGTGTCATTCGCTCGCATATCCTTTAACACACGGCACACTACAGCATGCCTTTAAACGGAGTCAACTTTGAGTGACAGTCTTCTAGCTTTCACCAATTCATTGCAGACTTGAGCCCTCTATCTAGCCCGCACCGAAGTCCACAGCCCATCCTCTCACACGCGACCTAATATCCCTCCCTCTTGTTAACAAGATTGGCAAGCTTCTTCCCCTCACTCAACCTCTTCAAATTCAACTCCAAGATCCCCAGCACCCTCTCCCCATAACTCGTAGACAACCCACTAATATGCGGCGTAATCAACAAATTCTTCGCCTTCCAAAGTGGATGCCCATCAGGCAACGGCTCCGGATCCGTAACATCCAGCGCCGCGCCCCGAATCGTCCCCTCGTCCAGCGCCGTAATCAAATCATCCGTATTAATAATCGGACCCCGCGCGATATTCGAGATAAACGTCTTCTTCTCCGCCAGGATGCCAAACTCCTCGGCCGAGAGCAAATGACTCGTCTTATCCGTCAACGGCGTCGCGACGACGAGCAAATCGAGCCCGGAGCCGAGGAAAGCGTGCAAATCGGCCTTGGAGGCGCCCGAGAACCATTTGGAGGGGAATTTGCCCTCTGGGTCGCCGAGCCCGGGGGGCGTGTAGGACTCGTCGCGCTTGGATTCGGGGGTTGGACGCGGGTGGAGGGTGTAGGCGTGGACTTTGAAGCCGAGGGCTGTGGCGACGCGGGCGGTTTGTCTTCCGATGCTGCCGTAGCCGAGGATGCCTCTGCGGTGTTTGTGTGAGAAGGGAGGGGGCTCTTGGGTTAAGAGTGGATGAGGGACTTACATTGTGCGGCCGACTGCGTCTTCTACGAAGTCGTTTCCGCGCTGCCAGTGGCCGGAGCGGTAGTTGTCGATGTATTTAGGAACTGGGGGGTCAAGTTAGGTGAGTACTTTCGGTACGTCAATAGCTATCTATGATGAGTTCTCTCTTACGGTTGTGCTGGAACGAGAGGAACGTTGTGATGATCCATTCAGAAATCTGAGGCCTACCGCCCTCACGTCAGTCAAAAACTCCCAGCTCGAAATCCCACAGACAAAATCTCACCCGTGGACACCATTCGCCGTACAAAAGCTCACACCCGTATCCTTGAACAACGGGTCCTTGAGAATATGATTCGCGCCGGCGCTCTGGAGCTGAACATAGTGCAGCTTCGGTGCGTCCTCGACGGCGGGCAGGGCGCTGCCGGTCAGCAAGATAGTCACGTCCTTCCACTCGTCGTGGTTGAAGGTCTCCTTCGGTTTCCTGTCAGCCCAGCCCAGCTCGTGATGCACCACCTTCAGATCGGGGAACTCGGCGTGCACCCTGTCGAGCCACTCCTGTGGCAGCGGGAACTGGGAGAGGACGAGGAGCTTGTGGCCCTTGAGGGTTTTGTTCGGCGCCGGGAGGAGCATGATCATTGATGTGGATGGTGTTTTATGAGGAACGCCTCAGTGGCATCTCAAGAGTGAGAAGAGGAGGGTTGGGCGATAAGCTAGGTGTACAGGTTATAAAGCAAGCTCAGGTACTCGGGAGGAGACGAAAGCCGTTGTGTGAGTTGAGAGTTTGAGAAGCTCCGACGGGATTGGGGGTTTCGTTTCAGCTGATGATCGCAAAGCAAAGCAGGCCAAGCTTCTCAAAGCTCAACTTCCAACCCACCATCGGCATCTTTATGGGATTCGGCGGGTGCGGGGGCCGGTTTGCGCATCGCAGGGTCGAATTGCGCAATAGGCAGGTCGGAAAGCCGCCGATGCGACCGATGGCTGGGGTGGGGGAAGCCACTGAACTGAACCAAGCTAAGTTCCTCAGTTCGTACTACGGAGTAATTACTCTGTCACTGTAGAAATGTGTGGGGGGAGAGGATGTTCTTTGGGGTTCAGACGGTTGGGTCAATGGCGTGCGGCAACATTGTCCATGTCATCATCACTGGGCAAGGATAAGGATACTCTTGATCCAATCGTAAAGCGGCATCGAGTGAGTTAGCATCAACTTATCAATCCCTCCCGGCCCGGTGTCGACGATGGGCGGGAGTTGCGGTATTGAATATACGGTTCTCCCGTCGGGCACCAATCTCAACTCCCGTTCCAAACGCCGGGCCTCATACCTTTTATGAGGCTGATAATGCCATTGAGTTTTCAAGAAGAAAGAAGGTTCTGTCTGCCCGTACCTTCGATGGCTTGATTTATGATAATGTAATCCAATCGACCGGGGCCTTTCGGAATGAAACGCTGATGCCTTGTAATTCACGATAAGAGTGATTTGGCTGCTCAACTCCACAATCGCACCCCATTCTCTTGGCGATTTTCATCTTGAGAATCTTGGTTCTTATGAGATGCTCTAGGCACTCATTAAGACTCATCATGATTTATCTCTTTTGTAGTCCAATGAGCATACTCATGAGAGTCCATTTGAAACATTCAAGCAGGCGGTGAGAACTACAACTGGATTCTGCCGTGGCAGTTGAGGGGGACTTGCATGAAAGCTTCCCCACCACATGACATGAGGCGCGCCCTTGACCATCACTTTTCAACATCTTTTGGATACAGAGTAGCATACAGTAGAGATACAAATACCACTTCGCGATCACGACATATGAGGCTCTGCTGGTCCTCGATATCGCAATCTCGGTCATTATAGATTTCCATCATCGGCCATCTTGTAACAAGACTTGAAAATGGCATCTGTCCGACACGCCCGCCGGGAGGGTAAGTGAACGAAGCGTCCCACTACCACGGCCACCACCACCACCACCAGGATGACGGACCAAGGACTAACACCCCACCAGACATCCCCACCATCCTAAGCCTCATCAAAGAGCTCGCAGACTACGAGCACGAGCTCGACAGCGTCCTCGCAACAGAAGAGACCCTCGGCGCCACAATCGCCTTCGCGCCCTCCTCCCAGACAACCTATACGCAAGGCAAACCCCAAACGGAGCCCACATCCCCCTCCAAACCCGCGCGATGCCTTCTCCTCTTTAACGAGAGCGGCGAGGGCGTCGGCATGGCCCTCTACTTTTACAACTACAGCACCTGGCGTGCCAAGCCGGGCGTCTACCTCGAGGACCTCTATGTGCGCCTGTCGGAGCGCAAAAAGGGCTACGGCAAGCGGCTGCTCGTCGAGCTGGCCAGGGAGGTCGTCGCCATGGAGGGCGGGAGGCTCGAGTGGTCCGTCTTGAAGTGGAATGAGCCGAGTATCAAGTTTTATGAGTCCATTGGCGCAAAGGCCATGAACGACTGGGTTGGCATGCGCGTCGATGGCGACGCCTTGCCGAAGCTGGCTGGCTTGCTTGATTCGTGAGGAGTGCCAGTGTCTATCGGAAGAAAAAAAGTAGTTACAATCATATAATACATCATTATAAAGACCAGCCCTGATCCGCAGGGTGCCTCTCTGAGATGCCCTGCGTCACCCTTGGTGGCACTCAACTGCCTGCAATCAAGTTGGCCCGACTTTTGTGGTACCCGAGATCTTGATTCTCTCGGCATTCCAGCTTCTCTGGAATCGTTCGGCTAGATATATGGATAGGGGATGGTGTGATCTCTTCAGGATCGATGGCCCTGTCCGCCCATTTTGATGTGAAAGGTGCCAGGCTAAGCCCGCTAATCATCACTTGGCTTGGGCTTCCTTGAGTCTCACGGCCTGGAATCTCTGGGCTTAGAAAATTTGAAGTTTCCGAAGCTGCCTGGCGTGGAGTCAACTTCACGTGGAGGTCTATATGGCTTTGGGGGTTTGAAGTCGCGAGGCTTTGCTTCAAAGTCGCCTGGTGTTCTGGACTTCTCGGAATCAGGCGACTTGGACCGAGGCTCGCTGGTCGCGCCGGCTTCACCACCGGAACTGACTTGCTTTGAACCCTTAGGGTGGGCTTTCTCACCGTCAGGCATAGGGCTGCTGGTCGTTGCAGACTTGGGTGACTCTGGCTTCGGCATGCGCCCCTGAGCATCGACGCCCTCGAAGAAATGATGGTGTGCCGCAGTGACCACGGGCAACTTTGGTTCTACGCGACCCCACACAGGCCTTGCCGCTTTGTTTGCGGGCCCCTTCATATATGAGGTTGCCTGCCACATCTTGAGATATTCGCGCCGCACAGCGCGCCTGGAGAAGATGGGGCGTTCGCTCTCCTTAATTCCAAGCCGACCCGTCTTACTGCCGTATTCAACAAGGAGGCGACGTGCTTGCGAAAATGGACCAAGGTCCTTCTTGCCGGTGAGCAGTTCGAGTTTTCGTTGACCAGCTCTCTCGACGTCGCGGACAGGGATATGGGCGGAAGATTGCCACTCCCAAGGTTCCCATTCGTTTCCGCCGTTGTTAAATAGTATCGAAAATCGGTCGCCGGTTATGACATCTTCGGGGGCTCTCATAGGAGGACCAGCGATACGCCTTCGTTTTAACATCTTGTACATCTCGGGAGGCGCCTCTCCGGATGCGAGTTGCTCCAAGGACTCCCACTCTTCCTGTGATACCGGGGGCATGATTTTGTCGGCCTGGGCCTTCCAGAACTTTCTTGTGAGTTTGGTCACTCTCCGCAATGCAACTGGACGGCCCCAGCCGTCCTGCTCGGGTACGTCTTTTGTTGGATCGAGATCGCCAATTGTGCCTCTAGGAAAGGCGGCGCCCGTTATGTTACGTTGGTGACTCTTTTGCGACCTGAGGTATCGATCCAGCTTGGGGAGGTCCCAATTTTCTTCCATGGGACTGAGATGCTGCCGAAGCCAGGGCGTGGGCTCGTCCCAGGTGTATGTGCGGTTCCATGGGTGGACTTTGGCGCGCTTTTTCATCATCTCTCTCTGCATCTCCTTTTTCCTTGCGAGCTCTTCTAGCTTGGCGGGGTCGGCATTCGGGTCCGACCCCTTGAGGACAAACGAAGCCATAAGCTCGCGGCGGGATTTGCCAAGTCGGCCAAAAACATGCCACATGACACGTCGTAGGCGGTCCTGATCGCCTTCGACGGCAGCCTGGAGCGCAGGAACCTTGTGTTTTGCGTCGGCAAGGACCTTTTTGCGGCGGTCCTCCTCCTTCTCTCGATCTTCTGCTGGGTTGAGGGACTCGAGGATTTTAAGCTCGCTTTCTGCCATTCGATCTCGCTCGTTTCGGAAGGTAGTTCGTATGCGATGATCGAGGAAGGGCCGTATGGAGGGAGGAAAGTAGGTGGCAGAGCGCAGCAGGTGACGGTAGACATGCAACGGCTGCACTGGACGTGGTAGAGGTATTCGGGTCTGCATTGCGGCAGTTGGCGGGCCGTCGCAAAGGACGGCGAAAGAGGGAGGGAAGGTCAGTCGAGAGGTAACGTTAGGGAGAGACTGGTCTTTTCTTCATTGTGGTTGTTACCAGGCCGGGCAGAGACGCATGTGGGATGTCAAGCAGGATGCATGCAGATGACAATGCAGAGGAGCACCAAGAAGCTGCCCTGACAGGACCTGCACCGTCACCTGCAAGCTCTTGCGCCGCCGTTGGTTCGCTGGTTCGGCTGGGGAGAGGCCGACTGGCCCAAGCTCCGGAGGTGGGGCCTTTTCGGCCCAGGTTGGCGCTCAGCTTACGGAGTACACCATGAGATATTCACAAAGAAGTAAAGGCATCTGAGAATAAAGCATGTACGGATAATGGCATGGCTATTGTGGAAAAGTAATATTCTACAAATTTCATTTTATTCCCTACGATGAAAAGGAGATCAGGTACTCAGAGGCTGATGGGAGGGCAAGGATGGAAGGTGAAGTACGTTGAGGTAAGGCAAGTTACCTTACTCGGGACTTAATGGATATGAGAGCATGACGCACATCGCTTTGTATGAAGTTATGGGTGAGTGGGAGGCATTTTGACTGCCCCTCCTTTTGCCATGAGTGATGCTTCAGTTCCATGACTGAGGGGTGTGGCAGAGACGCGATAAGAGGTCTGATAAGTGTGGCCGTGAATGGAAACAGAGAGTGAGAGTAAGAGTGAGAGTGGGACGCGTCACGGTCCCTTTCCTTCCACTTTCCAGAACGCGTTTGGAGGGGAGCAAGGGCCCAAGGGGGGACCTTCCGCTGCTCACACAGTCCGAAAGATACGTACCGACTAGTTGACCGAGCAAACAGTGGCCAGTGCATCTCGCTTAACAAATGGGAAAGCACCAATTCTCTCCCCCTCCCCCCGTGCCTCCCTTCCCAAGTGTCCACGGTACCGCCGTCTCTCACCGTTCCTCCCACAGCGTGCACTTTCTTCCACGTCCCCCCCGTAAATTGAGACGCGCGACACGTTCGCGGCTCACATCCCCAAGACACGCCCTCGCGAAATAGACACGTCCCGTCACCTTTAATTGAAATTCCCTTTTCGGGCTCAGCGTCGCGGGCCCTTTTTCACTTTCGGACCCGGCAACCAAAGCGACGAATACTCGCAGTTGTGAACTCTGTCAGATATCCACTTGATCTCCAGTTCAGCCGTTGTCTGGACGCTCCAATCTCAACCTCACCTTTCTCTTTTTGGTGGCCATTTTTTGCGTCTTTCTGGAACCTCAAACCCGCCGTCTCTAATCTGCTCGAACCCGAACAACCTTTCTCTCTCTCTCTCTCTCTCTCTCTCTCTCTCTCCCTTGGAGAATAGCCGCCCACGACCCAAACTTCGCCTGCGCATCCTTCCACTCACAACCCACGTCTCTGCTGCTGCTTGTTCCTCCAGCTGCCCTGCTTTACCTTCTCTATCGCTGCTCCTATTGCTACTGCATCCGCATAGCATACACAGCACACCACACGCACAAAGCACCCGGCCAAAGAGTGGCGCAACGCAAAGCACCGCAAAGCAACGCACCGCACAACGAGCCCCAACCAAAGGGAACAAGACGGCGGCTGCACGCATTTCGCATTTCGAATCAGCGCAACCTCCGAATCCACTGCCCTCCTCATCTCCTGGGCTTCCACAACCACAAGACCCGCCAACGTCGATTGATCGCCTCACTTATTTAGAGCTCCCTTCTACGTCTACGGCCCCTCTGCTCTCCTCTCCTCCGCCTCCGGATCCCATCACCTTGCCATCGGTTGCTCGCTTCCAATGTGCTAGCGCTGGCACATGTCTTCGACCACCCTCACAACTAGCCATCCCTCCCGCTCCCTCCATCCCCGCCGCAAATCGTCCTCGTCCACCGCTCGACGCCACGACAATCGCGGGAATCCCGCTTCTACAGTAATGATGCCTTCCGCATCGCAATCACAGCCATCATCTCAACAGTCCTTCACAATGAGCCAACAATCTCAGGGCGGCTACCGAGCCTATGGAGGGGACTCGAGGCTCGCCAATGAGGCCCCGCAGATTTACAGCGTAAGTACCGGTCCTCCTTGTGGCCGCGCTACCCTAATGTCGCAGTCCATAATGGGCAGTCGCACTGACAAGCGCAACTAGGCCGTCTATTCCGGTGTCGACGTTTACGAAATGGAAGTCAATGGTGTCGCCGTTATGCGCAGGCGGCAAGACAGCTGGCTCAATGCCACCCAGATCCTCAAGGTGGCCGGTGTCGACAAGGGAAAGCGCACAAAGATACTCGAGAAGGAAATCCAGACTGGCGAGCACGAAAAGGTCCAGGGAGGCTACGGAAAATATCAGGGCACCTGGATCAAGTTCGAACGAGGCGTCGAAGTCTGCCGCCAATACGGCGTAGAGGAGGTCCTGCGTCCCTTGCTGACGTATGACATGGGTCAAGATGGAGGTGTTGCAGGCCGAGGAGACTTCAATACCCCGACCAAGGAGCAGGCTATGGCTGCGCAAAGGAAACGGATGTACAATGCCGGAAACGAAGCGAGGACCAACGCCATGGCCGGTCTCAACGGCACCTTTTTCAAAAACATCTCGAGCACTGCGTCGCACGCTGTCGCTGCTATCAGCAAGGCACGATTCGACTCCCCTGGCCCGAGAAGCCGCAACGGACCGACCAAGGCGCCCAGCTTCAGCCGCCAGAGTTCCATGCAGAATGGCGACGACTTCCCCGGCAATTCTCAGCAAAGCCTCGCTTCCGACTACGGCAACCAGAACGACTCGGCCTACTCGACTCAACAAACAAGCCAGCAGTTTGATGGTCCAGAACCACCTAGGAAGCGGCAGCGTGTGACCATGACACCGCAAGACAGCTTTGGATACAACAGCAACTCTATGGAGATGTACCAGAACCAATTTCCAGGATCGCCCACGGAACCCAACGAATCTTTCATATACTCTCAGGCCAACGCCCCGGCACACGACGGCCACAGCCCCCTGAGTCCTCTACCGTTCGAAATGTCCCCCGATGCCGAAGCGAAGCGCAGCATGTTGATGAGTCTGTTCATGGACTCGGCGACCTCGGATCAGTCAAAGCATGAGATGCTCCGGACATTAGCGCCCATTGAACTGGACATGCCTATTGACCAACAAAGTCATACTGCCCTACATTGGGCAGCCACATTATCACGCATGTCGCTCTTGAGGGCCTTGATTACAGCGGGAGCCAGTCCTTTCCGAGTCAATGCCTCTGGAGAGACTGCTCTGGTCAGGGCATGTGTAGTAACAAATTCTATGGACCTGGGACAGTTCCCCGATCTTCTTGACGTTCTTGGAAGCACAATCGAGGTCCGCGATAGCAAGGGACGGTCGGTTCTGCACCACATTGCCATGACGAGTGCCGTGAAGGGCAGGAACGCGGCAAGCAGGTATTACCTCGAAAGCCTCCTGGAATGGGTTGTGCGACAGGGCAGCAATCCCAACGGTCAACTCGCCGCCAATGGAAAGGGAGATAGTGCGCCAGCCAGCTCACAATCCCAACCATCATCACAACCCAAGATGGGCATTGCTCGCTTCATGTCGGAGATTGTCAATGCCCAAGATCACGCCGGTGATACGGCCTTGAACATCGCAGCGCGGATAGGCAACCGGAGCATCATCTCACAACTACTAGAGGTTGGTGCTGATGGGGAGATTGCCAACCGCGCCGGCCTACGCCCTGTAGACTTTGGCATCGGTGGCGAACCTGCGGATGAAGCTTCCAAGATCATCAACGGAGCCAATGGCAACGCGACAAATGGGGATGTCGAGAAGAACGGACTCGTCAGCAGTGAACTTACAAAGGAAAGCAGTGACGATATCGTTTCATGTGAGTCTCCTACTAAAGCACCCTCTCTCTTGCCGCATCACCAAACTGACAATCATCAGCGATTACACATCTTCTTACCGAAGCAAGTTCCACCTTCCAAAGTGAGGTGAAGTCAAAACAAGCAGTTATCGAGTCTCTCCACACCACCCTCCGCACAACATCAGCCCAATTAGGCGAGGCCAAGAGAAACCTCGAATCCATGCAAGCAACGTTGCGCAAACAGCAACTCGCGCGGCAAAAGGTCTCAAACCTGAGCCACGCCCGCGAAGAAGAACAAGTCCGCCTCACGCAGGAACAAAACCGCGCGGGACGAACAAACGCCCTCTCCTCGTCATGGGAGACGGAACTTAGCGCCGCGCTCGAGACGGCCGGCACGAATGGCGAGGGCGGCCTTTTGCCCTCGGCGGCGACCCTCCAGGCGAGATTGAGCGCCGTATCGGCACGACGGGACGTTACGCGCAAGATGGCGGGCGCGCTCAAGGGGCGGAGTAAGGACCTTGAGGTCAAGTACCGGCGCGTGGTGGCCATGTGTACGGGGGAGCCCGAGGACCAGGTCGATGCTGTTGTCGATGGTCTGCTGAGGGCGGTGGAGAGCGAAAAGGGCGAGTTGGAGGTTGAGCGCGTGAGGCGGTTCCTCGGTGGTGTAGAGGGCGTGGTCCACTAGTGCGTGGCATCGCATCTCGACAGAGAAGTGAGGAGAATAAAGGAGAGATGGGAGAAGGGCGGTTAGTTGAATGAAGCGGGATAAGCTGTGTTGTGTGGATATTGTCATACCCCCCCCCCGTGTTGAAGAAGCATCTATATTCGGAAGAGGAGTGGTCTTTTGCCAGGTTTTATGTTTTTACCCAAAGGCGTTTGAGGAAGGGAGGGATGCAATTCAGGAGATGCGCGAGAGGCTCTGGATATCATGATATTATTTATTCGTCTCGGAAAAAAGACAAGACAAGGCTTTCGACATAATCAAGTCTTTTCAATTTTCAGACTCGTCGAGGTTTTCCAACACGTCCCCCACAAAGGTATGAATGCTTTACCCATGGATAGTGAATATCCCAGGGGTGGTTTGCCTTGTTTGAATATCCCTTCCAAAAACGCCTTGCAATGCTGCTGTGAGATTCTGCAAAAAACCATTGAATCGCTTCTCCTTCTTCTCCTCTTTCCTGTCTTTCTCTCTTCCCTGCTTTTGTCTTCCCAAGTTGTGAGAGTCCTCACCGCGCCAGGCCAGAAGCATAAAGGCCCTCCCACCGTTCCTCAACGCCGCCCACCAACTTCTTCGCCCTTTCGATTTCCCTGTCCAACTCTTCCACGTTACGTGTAAGCGCGCTGACCTCCTCAAACCGCCGTGCATCCCGTGCAGAGTCCACCATTTGCTGCACCATGAAGCGTTGCTCCTCCAGGACAACCAAACGCTCGCGAGCCTCCTTCTCTTCCGTCTCGAGTGCTGATACGGCGGTACTGGTCTCGCTTGCCTGGCTTGCTGTTTCGGATTCGGCGAGCTCCTGGTTGCGGAGTGGTGATAAGTGTAGGGACGATGAGGAACCATTCACACTACCAGACTGTAGGGCGCGGAGGCGAGATGCCTGTGATGACCGAGAACGTAGGATTTGTGGCACCGACTTCAGAGTCAACATATGAGTATGCAAGAATGTGGAGGCTGCGGCATAGACGGCTTGCTGTAAGCGAAGCTGCGTCTTCGAGGTTGTCTTCATATCACGGAGGCGACGGGCGGCCGTGTCGTATTTGGTAAAGGCATCGGTTAGACGTTTCCGGATTTTCGAAGCCTCTTGAATCTGAGCATGTGTGGGAGGTGGTTTTGATGATTCAGCCCCATCGTCCCCCTCTGGCTGGAGCGCGAGTAGTGTTCGTTGGAAGATGGGCATAAGCTGGCGAATACCACGCTCGAACTGGCGCAATGTCTCGTACGCTCGCTGGTCGGCTGGCTTGTGGGAGATGGTGGACGCAAAGTCGCGTTTTGCAAAGATTGTGTGGTTGCACTCGCGGCACATGCGAACATCGATGCTGAGTTGGCCGGGCTGTGCCGCCGTCGGGGGCTTCTCCGTCGCAGGGCTCGTTGCTGAGACTGTTAGGCACGATATTCGTGATGATCCCGCGGATTGAGACTCACGACTGGCTATGCTCAAGCCCACTTCACTCGAGCAGCCTGTAAGTGGATCGGCGCAGACCACCCTGCCACATATCCGGCAGTGATGTCGTCTAAACGTCCAAGATCCAAACTCTTGCTGGCAATATGGGCATTGCGTGACGGAGGCGTCGTCCTCCCACGTAACCACCGACTGCTCAATCAGTTTCCTCTGGTTCTTCTGACCTGCCAAGGCGGCGACAGGCGACAAAAGGCTTCCTCCGTTTGTCGTGACCTCTTCGGGCGCATTCGCAAGCAATTGCGTCAGCTTCGTCAAACGCTTTTCCAGCCTAGCCACTTCGAGGTTCTGCCTCTCCACCCTCTTTCGTCGCATCTCCGCAAATGTCGAAGTGTGGTCGATCAGGACACCGTTGTGGTCGTTGTAGCCATCTCTCGACTTGTAACACGTCTCGCAGACTCGGACCCAGTATCCCCGCACGGGGTCGTGCTGGGCAGACCTCGACAGCTTCATCTGGTACATTGTATGCTCCTCACAGAACAGCCTGCCGCAATTCCTACAGTTGATGCTTCCATTGACAGCCCCGAGGCCTTTCCCGCAGGTTGGGTCGGTGCATCGGTCGTTGCTCGTTTGGCGTTGCCAATGCGATCGAGTAATGAGCTCGTCTGGGTCTATCGGCCCCTCGATGAGCTTCGCGGTCGTGGGCGGGGCGATGGGCAGGGACTCGTTGGATTCGAAGACGTCGAGGCCTCGCAGTTTTTGGTTGATTATAGATAGTGGCTGGAATCGTTTGGCCTTGAGCACCTGCTTGTCGAACCAGGTGCGGACCTCATCTTGTTCGACTTCGGGAAGTTCTTGGTGGTTATCGTCGATGTGTCTGAGTAGGGTCAGAGACTAGAGTTCAGCATCGCAAGGACGAAAAGCCAAATTCACCTGTTGAGTTGAAGCAGCGTCAACTGGGGGTTACCGTTAGCACGTCTCTCTCATTCATGGCAGAAGGTTAGACGGACCATTTCCTCCTCACATATTGGGCAGACTAGCTTCGAACTCGAAGTCGCGGATCTCGATGGACCGCCAACACTAATGTTGGATCCAAGATCCTGAGCAAAGCCGGGTAAAGGGCTCGATACTGGAGGCGACGCCGAGGAAGAGTTGAGGGACAGGGTGCTTTCTGAGGGAGCAAAGGGACTAGGTGTGCGTTGGTGGCCGTTGATGGCGGGAGGCGTGGGAGGGGCGAGGCCCTTGCCGCTGCCCAAGATGCGGCCGCCTCCCAGCTTGCGGCCGGACATCGTGGAAGACGGAGGACGATAGCTACGAGACCATGAATCGGTGGTTGAAAGTAGGGGACGTCGAAGTTGGTTTTCTTCGGTTGTCTCGGCGGGGAGTTGAATGTGTCGGAAGGGCGGGGATTTTGATGTGTAGATGGCAGATGACAGACGCAGGTCGCAGGTGCAAGTGCCAGTTCAAGTGCAAGTGGTTCGTGGCGGTGGTTCGTCTTCACGGGTGACGGCCCCCCCGTCACCTCAGCTCACGGGCAGGTTGGTTCCAGTTCCAGTTCCAAGTCGCAGGTTCCCGCGCAGCCCGTCAGGCCTCTTCCCTGCCAGGGATTAGCAGTGGGAGCATCAGCAGCAAGCGGTGGGCGGACGGCGGGCGGGAAAGGCAATGGCAGGCAAGCAGGGCGGTGGGTGAAGGTCTGAAGGAGGAGGACAGGGGTTGGGGAGCAACGCATTCGGCGGGATTTGGAGACTGAGACGCTAAAGACATGCGCTAAAGGCTGCGCTAGTGGAGACGGGCAGGCCAGGGCCCACAGACAGGGGAAAGGCGGGGCAGCCCGGTGCCGACTGATACAGAGATACTTCTACCACCATACAAAAACTTCCCTGAGCGGAGTACACATCTATCGTGCAGACCGCCATTGCGTCCCTCCATGTGGGGACAGCAGCCTTATCGACGGCCTTTGCGCCTTATCGCGCCGACCTGGCAGCTGCATCTCTCCAAAAATGCTGCCCAAAAAGTTGCCTTCGTCATCGAGCACTCAAACTCGTCCCACAACCACAAAGACATACACCATGGCCGCGAAGTCAACGACGAAGAAGTTCCCCGAAGTCAAGGGCGGAGGCAGTCTGATTCTGGCATGGCAGATCAAGGGAAAGAAGGTCTTGGTCGTTGGAGGAGGCGAGGTACGTTGGCACAGCCCACTGCTGCATCTCCGCGGCGTAGCTAGCTACACAGAGCTCTCTGCCCATCTTCCGCCAGAAATGACTCTTCCCAGTTTGCAATGCCATCACCAGTGTGATGTACCGATGAACACTCGCTGACTGTCTGCCTGGAACAGGTTGCCGCCGGCCGGATCCTCAACTGCCTCGATGCCGATGCCAATGTCACCGTTGTCTGCCCAGCCTCTGGCCTCAACCCCGAGGTAGCCCACCGTGTTGAACAAGCCCAAGTTACCCACATCGACCGTCTCTTCGAACCCTCCGACCTGGATGGCGCAGCCATGGTTCTTGTTGCCATTGACGACCCGGCCGCCTCTACCGTAATCTGGAAGCTGTGCAAGGAACGCAAAGTGCCCGCCAACATCGCCGACGTACCCCCAGAATGCGACTTCTACTTTGGCAGTGTCCACCGTGACGGCCCCCTTCAGATTATGGTCAGCACCAATGGCAAGGGTCCCAGACTAGCCGCCATCATCAGGCGGCATATTGCAAAGTCGCTTCCCAAGAATGCTGGCAATGCGATTGAGGCCATTGGTACACTCAGGGCGAAGTTGCGCAAAATGGCTCCGAACTCGGAGGAAAGCCCCAAGCGCATGGGCTGGTACGTGACAAACCCTTGTCTGCAGACATGGATACTTTACCTCCTATCGTAGATGGATGCTAACATTTGAACAACAGGATGATCAAAGTCAGCAACAAGTTCGACTGGGAAGAGATTTGCGATCTCACCGACGAGGACATGGAAAACCTTCTCAGGTTCTATGCGTCAAACGAGGTGCCTACCATCGACGACCTCTTGGCCATGAGAGAAAACCCCGGCTTCAACAAGATGGACGTGTTCGACGGGTCCTTTGGTTTCTGTGTGGGTGTATAAGTACCGAAGACATGTACATACGCTGTGTACATACATACCGGATATGGGTGTTTGAGCGATATTGGGCGTCATTTCATTGGGGTTATCTAGAATGCTTCACTGGCGACATCTCACGACATGAAAAGGGTTTCGGTATCAAAAAGGCCAGGCGCAATATGGCAAGACTGGCATAGCATCGGGTTTTGGAGTAGTGTACTATTCGAAAGGTAGACTAGAAGGAGCATCATCGAGTCTGCATCTCGTCCTTCTTACCTTCCAACACAACCAAGACCAGTGTGAAGGTATGTTTTCAGTTCTGAACTGAAGCCTGGCAAGAACTGGCTGGGTCTAGAGAATCAAAATCTCGCATCCAAGCTCCGTCCCATGATCCATCCGACTTCTTGCCCAGAGCCTCATCATGGACTCTTTCTGAAGACGTTCAGCAGTGGATGGGGCTGTCCTCGTGATGCTAAGCAGCTTCACTTTTGTACGCCGGTAGACTCATTTGCGTAAAGCCTTGAGTGTGATTTGACAGTATTTTTATAACGCTCTATATAGCCCTGAATTTAAGAGAAAAAATGTAGGAGCAGTAGCCTCGATGTGATGATATTGGGTGTATCCCCTGCCAAAGTGTCCGGGGAGAGAATTCCGGAGCTGGCGCCGATGGACCCATAAAACCGGTGTACCTGCCTCCGAGTACCTCCCGCTGCTGTGCCTCTTGGGGAATCTTCGATCCCAGTCCTTCAAATCCATGACAACTCGTCTTACCTTAGACACCACTAGACAAAAAGTTCCTCCATCATAATAAATATCCATTCTGCGGATACCTCAGAGTACCTTTACGCACATAGTCCACCTCTTTCATCATTGCAGTACATTGGCACGCATTAATATTCTGTCTGCCCGTGCCTTGCCTGAGCGCCCATCACCAACTGGTCCCACTGTAGCTTTAGCAGGCTATCCTCATTACTTTCAACACATCATAGCTATCACGCACACAACATCCGCGCGCCTCCGCAACACCCACGATTAATCCCACTAAAAGTAACCGCCGACCGACGCGTATTCTTTGCAGGCGATTTCTACGAACCTGTCATCGATCACAAAAGTCGCAGGCCCAGCCAACACCAACGCGACATACTTGCATCCACTAGCAGCCTGAGACATCACCGCTTTTGTGCCCATTCCCGAGTCGCCAGCACCATCGCCAGCTCTTCACCATGCCTCCTCGCGGTCGCCCTCGTGCGGCCGAATCCGATCCTGAATCGCTACCCGACAGACCATCTCCATCGTCCCTCGAGGAACGCGAACCGCCTCCGCCCTTCTTCAACACTACCTTTTCCACCCATCGCGCATCGCCGCTCTTCGTCGGCGCCAACACCCTAAGCTTTCCTCGATTGCAGACACTGTCGCAGCGCTTACGCGACACGCTCGTGGGAGACGTCGTCAGAGGTGTACAGGTTGGGCTGGAAGGCAGCGACAGCTCTCTAGGACGCGCCGGTCCGTTGGAAAAAGTTGGCATCCGATGGGTCGGTGTTGAAGCACTACTGGGCGCCGCCGACGATACAGACCCAGATCTGAGCAGAGATCTTGTCAGCGATGCTTTTGGAGCCGACGATGCGGCCCGAAAGAAGAGATGTCTCGTCTTCGAGATGAGATACGAGAACGCGCTGTGCACAGCTGTCCTGCTACCATCGCTCTCTGAAAAGATGGCGGAGGAGTCTACCGGTGGACTACAGTCGGCCAATAACCTCGGCGTGCCCGGTTTACTTGCCAGCAGCGGCTCAAAAGATGACAGGCACTTTTTACATCTGCCTCTGCTCCTCCTGCGCATGCCAGCACCTCTGAAAACAGTTATTGTCGACTTCCTATCAAGCACATTCGACTGCCGCATCAGTCCTTTACGCCTCGGTACGAAGGGCCTTACCACGGCATGGGAGAGATGGATCGAGGATGCCGGACTCCCCGCACAGGGCCCTCTGGCAAAGGACATGGTCTTGACCCTGGGCTTCTACATACCACCAGCAGTGACTTCAGATGGCACAGACGAACAGCCCCCAGACGGACTTGGGATCAAGTCTATCGACATCATCATTCCGGCCGAGGAGCTTAAGCGGTTTACAAAGGAAGGAAGAGCCCTCACGAACCCGACACTTACCAACAAGACGGGTCTCACTCAAGGCTACCAAGACGATCCAAGAAAGAGAAAGAAGCTCGCGGGCGGCAAGGCGGACGAAGGATGGGGATGGGTTGACGGTGAGGGCGACCAGCAAGAAGCATTCTTACATGCCTTGGGGGCCTACTTAGAAAAGCATCTCGCCCTCAATCTCTTCCATCCGGGCGTGAGAGTCACCAAGATTGCTTGCGGCGGGTTCGTGCTCTCAGAGGGACGTGTCAAGGTGTTTGTTCCACCTGGTGACGACGACGAGGTTTTTGAACCGGTCAGAAGTCTGATCAGCGATCTCATCGCCAGCGCCAACTCTTGATTCATAGAGGCCTCGATACATCACGTTCAACTACGAACAAGGCCAACAACCTAGTGCCTGTATCAGGTGCCCTCTCATCTGCTTGCGAGCAGTCTAGCGGACGGAACTTCGATTCAAAGGCCCGACTAGCACTCCAACACAGTCGGAGCGGGGGTGTGATGCTCAACACACCCTTCGACCTTGCCGGGGACGACATCACCAGAGGTGAAGGCTTGTATGCCCCTCAACTAGGGTGAAAGTCCGGGGAATATGATCAATTTATTTCAATCTAGGACAATTTCCCGGCCCTATGGCTCATACCGGTTATCCGAGAAGCTACATCAAGTAGCCCTTACGGGTGGAAGGCCTCTCATAAGCAGCAATGGTGGCCAAGCCTCCAGGGTTTCATTCGGTACGCACCAAACAAGGGTGGCTTTTTGCAGCTACCGAGGCTCGCAAAACTCGGATCTCGCGAAGTTCGGATGCTACCTAGGCGCCTCACTGCAGCCGCCCTGAGCAATAACTCGCAATCTATCTGAGAACCACGAGATCACTGCATGGCCAGCAAGTTGCCGCCGCAGCGCCGAGTGCGTCATGCAATGTCCAAATTCATGACCAGTCCTCCCGGGTAATGTCACTGCCGGATGCCACCCAGGGACTAACACATTCAGCCGCCATCTACCATGCTTATTCCCCGCATTACCAGGGGAAATGCCTTTCTTCCAGGCCGGCTGGTATCCGCTTCTTACACGATCAATAGCACCTTCCGTGCCATTACGGCTTGTTACCACCGAACTTGGCTTTCCAGAACGGGCTGCAAATCCTGGTCTCTGCAGTTGCGAGCCTCTCGTTTGGCTTTGGACCGTGCCCGAATAAGCAATTCGGATTATGGTTATTGTATAATAGTCTAAGCAAATGAGCGGTCCTTCATCTAAGGTTAAGCCATGTGTGTTAGTTAGAGCCTCCATCTACCCGAAGGCACAACTTCCAACTCTATAAAGGCGACTAGTCAAGACAATGCAAGACACAACTCACAGCACCAAAGTCCACTCCTTTCCACATCGCTCACAATGAAGTTCTCCTCAGGCCTCGTCTGCCTCCTGGCACCCATCACCGTCCTCGCCGCCCCCCTCGAGGAGAGGCAGGCCTCGCAGTCCATCGACAAGCTCATCAAGGCCAAGGGCAAGCAGTACTTTGGCACCTGCAGCGACCAGAACCGCCTGACCGCCGGCAAGAACGCCGACATCATCAAGGCCAATTTCGGTCAGGTCACGCCGGAGAACTCGATGAAGTGGGACCAGATCGAGCCGAACCGCGGCCAGTTCAACTGGGCCACGCCCGACTACCTCGTCAACTTTGCGCAGCAGAATGGCAAGCTTGTTCGCGGGCACACTCTTGTCTGGCACTCTCAGCTAGCGGGCTGGGTGAATAATGTTCGCGACAAGGCTGGTTTGACGACTGTTATTGAGGACCATATCAAGGCTGTTGTTGGACGGTACAAGGGTAAGATCTACCACTGGGTAAGTCTTTCTCCGTCTCCTCCCTCTGCCTCTATAATCAAATTCCTCTAACGCGTACATAATAGGACGTTGTCAATGAGATCTTCAACGAAGACGGCTCCTTGCGTTCCTCCGTCTTCTCGCAAGTCCTCGGCGAGGACTTTGTCGGCATCGCTTTCCGCGCCGCCAGGGCCGCGGACCCCAATGCCAAGCTGTACATCAATGACTACAACCTCGACCAGGCGAGCTACGCCAAGACGCAGGCGATGGCCCGCAAGGTCAAGGAGTGGATCGGCAAGGGCATCCCCATTGACGGTATCGGTACGTGTGAAGCCGGCCTATATGCCATGACACCAGGTATCATGCAATGCTAATCGAGACTCTCCAGGCTCCCAAGCTCATCTTCAAGCCAACCAAGGCGGCAACGCCCTCGGCGCCCTACAGACCCTCGCCGGCAGCGGCGTCAAGGAGGTAGCCATCACGGAGCTGGACATCGTCGGCGCCAGCGCCGCTGATTACACGGCTGTGACAAAGGCCTGTCTCCAGGTTCCACAGTGCGTCGGTATCACGGTTTGGGGCGTGCGTGACCCCGATAGCTGGAGGGCGCAGAATAACCCGCTGCTGTTTGATGCCAACTATAACCCCAAGGCGGCTTATAATGCGGTGGTGACTGCTTTGCAGTAAGGATTTTGGTTGATACAATGAGGAGCTTGGCTTGCTTGTTGGTGACCTGTTCGGTTTCTGCCTTCATGTATAAATTGGAATCGTGGCGATTATGCCGTCGAGTATATAGGCTTCTTCTATGCACAAATTCAACCCTTACGATTTAGTTCTCGTTGCTTGATGGTCCGAATCACATGGAAACGCATCGAGCGCTCTTGTCGGATTTATGCGTATCCGAGACGACCAGACTGTCCCGACGTCTTGCCGGACCCAAAGGTCGGTTTCCAACGATCGGGAAGTTGTTGGCGTATCATGTGGGAGCGATATAGGTAACTTTCTTGGTAGATTGTAGTACAGTAGTGCATACATACGTTGCCCAATCTACTCCGTAGTCGCTATCGGTCCCGTCATCGACGGGACTTTTGTGACGTCGACTGCATGATGGTTTGCTATACCCTGTAAGCCACGGTAGGGTGTATGCAGTTTGCCAATGATATAGCTACTTATCCATGTGCCAGGAATCGGCAAACAATTCCTTCGAGATGCCACGAAACTCCGATTTGAAGACGGGTGACGGACTCCGATAATAAACCGAGTGTCCTTTGCCCCAACGCCAGAACAATCAAGGACTGGTTGAGGAGACATTGTCAATGGAATCCCAGGAGCCGACAGAGAGTGTCAACCCGGACCGGAACTTGGTCACTCTTCTTCAATATGTCGCCACGTCTTCATCTCAGTCGATCATAGCATACCAAGCGGGGCACGCCCCAGAAGATTCCGTTCCAACAGCCGTTTCCTACTCAGATCTGCTCTACATGGCTCATGCAAACGCTCAACTTCTTCAGCGGCTGTGTCCGCTACCCGAAAAAAACGCCGAAGAACGCCGTGTCGTCTTGCTCTGCCTCGACAATATCCTGGACTCCATAGTCTGGTTCTGGTCGGCTGTTATCGCGGGAATCTTGCCGGCAATCTCAACTGCGTCGATTCTTGAGCCTGATCGATCAGACTACCTATCTCATCTACGTATACTGTTGAAAGATCCGTTATGTATTGTCCACCGGTCGCTCTCAGGTGCGAATGGATCGCGGGACTTTGCTGCGAGATTGCCGGTTGAAAGGACAACTTCCCAAAGTCTCGCAGCGATGAGTCGATCGATGTCTCCACTGCCACTGTCCAGCCATTCCTCTCGGTTCGACCCGGCGGTTCTGATGCTGACGTCGGGTACGACTGGCAAAGCCAAGGCGGTACAGCTCAGCCATGGTCAGATACTAGCTTCGTTAGCAGGCAAGGCCAAGTCTGGTAGATCTCATGGCGACGGTCCCTGCCTCAACTGGATCGGCATGGACCACGTGGCGTGCCTGACCGAGATCCATCTCTTCGCAATGTATATGGGCCTCTCCCAAGTGCATCTTCCAGCGGAAGAGGTGCTCTCCAGCCCTGTGCAGCTACTAAACATGGTCAGCCGCCACCGGGCTTCGCGAACCTTTGCCCCTCATTCTTTCTTGGCGAAGTTATCCAGGGAGCTCGAGTCAGAGCAAACATCTTCGTTAGGTGGAGATCTAGATCTCAGATGCCTTCGATGGCTTGGTTCCGGAGGAGAGGCAAACATGGTAGATGTCTGCGAGAGGCTCCAAACCCAACTCGAGAAGTACAGTGCGTGCAAAGATATCATCGTCCCGGGGTTCGGAATGACCGAGACTTGTGCTGGGTGCATCTACAACACCAACTGCCCGACTTATGATCGAGATCAAAACCACCAACATGCTTCCGCTGGCGAGAGCATCTCTGGACTACAGTTTCGAGTAAGACTCCGAGATGGAAAGTCCTCGTCTGAATTTGCAAATACCGGCCAGGTTGGGCTTCTGGAACTCTCCGGCGACGTGGTATTTGACAGGTACTACAATGATCGTGAATCTACTGTGGCATCTTTCACAGACGATGACTGGTTCACTACTGGCGACCTCGCTTGCGTCAACCAAGACGGTCAAGTAAGCCTACAAGGACGGTCCAAGGACACGATGATTATCAACGGGGCGAAGTATTCCCCGAACGAACTAGAACGCCACCTCGAACGGGAGTTGATCGAAGGCGCGGTACCAAACTCTTTCTGTTGCTTCTCAACTTTAGCCCAATCATCAGATACTGAACAAATCGTCGTCGCTTACTTACCCTCCATTGAGGAAGATGATACCCGAATCCAAACCAAGACCCGCAATAGGATAGTCGATGTTGTCGGCATACATACGTCCTCGTCTGCCATCGTTCTACCTCTGAAAGCCATGGATCTCAAGCCATCGGCATTCGGAAAGCTGCCAAGGGGCGCAATCAAGACGGCTTTCGAGAATGGCGCATACAATCAGGAACTGCGCAAAGCGAGCGAGGCCTACGCAGTGGATCACGACGTCGCAGGAGGGACAACATCCCCTCTTGAGGTGCTCGTTTGCCGCGTAGTTCAAGAGCATTTTGATGTTGTCAAAGAGCCACATGTGGGCGTCCAGACATCCATACTCCTACTAGGTGCTACGTCCATGGACCTCATCAAGATAGGACGTCTCATCTCAAACCGACTTCAGTTATGCGAAAGACTCACGCTCAGCCAAATATTGAGAAACCCAACGCCTCGGCGCCTGGCTGCGGTGATTGAAGGATTTGGGAAGAAAGATGGGGCAGGAAGTCTGGTCGTCACTCTCCGGTCTGACGGCAGACAGACGCCGCTGTGGCTCGTACATCCCGGTGTCGGAGAGATCCTTGTCTTCATGAATATTGTGAGGCTCATCGACGACCGGCGAGTCTATGCTTTCCGCGCGGAGGGTCTTGATAGCGGCGTTTCGCCTTTTGCTTCCCTGGATGAGTTGCTGGATTGCTACTTCAATCACCTCAAAGCGGTCCAGCCAACGGGTCCCTACGCCATTGCAGGATACTCATTTGGCTCTATGATTGCTTTCGAATTGTGTAAGAGACTAGAGGCAGCAGGCAATGTGGTTATCTACTGCGGTTGCTGGAATCTTCCGCCACACATTAAGCATCGCATGAGGCAGCTCGGCTGGGTAGAATGTCTTGCCAACCTATTTCACTTCACGGAGCTCATGGGACAGGGTCAAGCTATGCATCAAATACCTCTATTGCGCCAAATTCCAAAACAAGAAGCAGTAGCGCACCTCCGAGCCCTCAGCGACTCAGCTCGTTGGGTCGAGTTAGGCCTTAGCGAAGACGAGTATGTGAGGTGGGCAGATTTGGCATCTTCACTACAGCGCCTGGCACAGGACTACGAGCCACGGGGAAGAGTCCGCAGCATGGATGTGTTCGTCGCAGATCCTCTCAAGGAGGTTGCTGTTGACCGTGAGGATTGGGTTAAGAACAAGCTGAGCCGGTGGCGAGAGTTTGCGGATGACGTGCAGTTCCATGATGTTCCGGGCGAGCATTACTCCATGTTGGACGAGATCAACGTTTCACAGTTCGCCCGCAAGCTGAAAGATATCTTGGAGGCACGAGAAGGCAGGATCCGTCATGTTTCCTCTGCAGCTCCTCGGTTCGGACCAGCGCATAATACCTAAGGCAGGATAGTTTTAGCATCGTGGGCGGGAAAGCAGCGGATACGCAACTTGAAAATTGCAACCCTCGTGTTAGCTTTTCCGTGATGCTACGTTAAGAAGCCGCAGACAACCTCCGGCTTCCGTCTTTGAACCGGCAAGGCAGCCGGCCGGTTCAAGATAGTTAGCACCGGTCCGGTCCCGAGTCAGGCTTCCGGTCCGTCCCTCAGCGGCAGATAACTTATCCCCGCGGACTACGTTTCTCCGCGGGAAAGTCGACCTTTCCCAAAGGCCAATTGCACACCGCGGTCATAGAGCTGAGAGTAATTGCATACTGACGGCTAGTGAATAGGTATAATAATAATACGCCCTAGTTTATTGACTGCCATGATAGTGGCTGAAGTCTCCTTCAAACTATATCCAAGAATATTCATACGTGTCGTACACGGCTACAAGCCGAAGAACTTCATATCGTCATCACCCCGAATGGGCACGGTGTGTCCAACGCCAACAGCCCAAACACCAGTGAGGTGATCACCAAATACATCCGTGCGGTAGTTGGCAATAGGTGTGTTTTGAGAAGAAGTCGTAGGCTTGTCTGGGTTGTATCCAAAGACTCCGGACCACTGCTTGATGGTCTCCTGGTAGTTGGCGTAGTTGAGCGTGGTGTCGGTGCTGCCGTGGTAGATCTGCATGCGGGGGCGGGACCCCGTGTAGCCGGGGTAGGCGTCGTAGACCCATTGGGCCCAGCGTGCCGGCGTGGCAATCGATTGGCCTGAAGAACAGGTGCTGTTCCAGCCGTTGACGGTGCCGGTGTAGAAGCAACCGGCCGGAACGCCGTTGTAGACGATGCCAGCGGCGAAGACGTCGGGGTAAGTGGCGGCTAGGACGTTCTGTTGCCCGTTAGTCACTCGAGCATTGTCTCGTTAAGTTGTGGATGTTGACTTACGGTCATCATAGCGCCGGACGAAGAGCCGGTGACAAAGACCTTGGACTTATTGCCATTATACTTGCTGAGAGTGTATGAGACCATGTTGGCGATGGAGTTGCTGTTGGCTCCTCCGTTGTGCGTGAGAGTTGCCTTGGAGGAGACATCCCAGCAGGTTCCTGAGTACGGCGACTCGGGGTAAATAACGATGAAGCCCTTCTGATCTGCGAGTGTCTTGTAGGGACTGCTGTTGTAGTAGGCTTGAGCTGTACCAGTGCAGTAGTGAATGGCCACGACGACGGGAGGGTTCGCTGCCAGCTTGTCGGGGACGTAGATGTACATCTTGACGCCGCTGGGATTTGAGCCGAAGCTGGTGACCTGCTGCAGCGAGGCGGCGCTGGCAGAGGCGGCCAGGCCAAGGGCGGAGAAAATTGTGCTGAACTTCATGGCTGCGATGAACTTGCTACAAACAAGCGCGTGCTGATTCGGTCTCTGGTGAACGATCTTGGGTACGTTCTTGAGCAACTACTTATAGTCCCAAGGAACGAAGCGAACGAAGCTGTCGACAGAGCATCCTGTGGCGCATCTGGCAACTTTTGTAGACTTCCCTTCCGCCGCTCGCGAATAGCATCAGGGGCCGCATGCACTATGTGTAAAACCTGATCATCTCGTTACCCCACATCCAGGGTCGTGGTGAAAAGGGGGCCATCATCGTCAATTTAGCCGGTTGGCTGGGGGCCGTGCTAAGACCCATGTCTCATCCGAAAGCGAAGAGAAACTGGTTCATCTGGACTTGTCTAAAAAGCTTTTCTTCGGCACTTGCCTGGCTTCCGAAAGGGAAACCCGGCTCTTTTGGGAAACTCTGGGTGCCGGTATCCGTTGTCCAAAGTGGCTCTTGCATTGGCCTTCCCGAAGGGGGTGCCTTGCAGCGCGGAGCTGATGAGCCTTGAGAGGTGGTGGCATGCCGCATTGCTGATCTGTGCGGATAATTCGACGGGGTACTCCGTATTTCTACCGGTCATGCCGGGCATGGGTGATACTCCCGCGCTTAGTATCTGTAGGTTCATGTTCTATTGCCGAACAAGCTGGGATCCCACGTCGAAGCAAGTTGGCGATGAACAGCTCTGGTGGAGTTTTAGACGAAGCTTGAAGGAAGGGGCTCGGCTTGACAAGCAGCTCCATCCCCGTAACGCGAGACCACTTCGCCTCAATCTGGATGAACAAGCAGTATTTATTATTCCGGTAATTCTGGCAGATCGTTGATTCGGAGGCTCAGGCTTGCCGTGTTACCGATTGAGCGTGCGTTGTTCCCTGTCTCCTCACAACTCGCGCCCGATCTGAATGCTTTGTCTGTCTAACAACTAATTTGTATAGCGAATAGCTCTTATTACCTGGTATCTCAAACATGATACGCCATTACAATATCCTTGTCACCCGGACGAACCTCGTACTCGATGCGCGATCATCGGACATCCGGCATCCAGTAGACTGGCGATCCTTCAAAGTTGGGAAACGTAGCAAAGGCCTGAAGACAATCAGCTCAACACCCTAGTTGAAAATTCTGGAGGAAATCGTGTACCGAAGAGTCCAAGTCCAGCCAATCCGTCGTCTCCCAACCGCTCAGAAGGTTCGTCATCCCTTCGAACCCGTGTTGCTGGAATACCTCACCCATATCGGCTGGCGGTGCTGGAGCGCCCGAACTCTCGTCCAATTGCATCGGCTCCGCACTTCCATGATCGGCACGCTCAATGGTTGGTTTCTTCTCGTCGCCTGAAGGACCTTCGGAATGGGGAGTGGCCTCCTGTCGAAGTTCTTCGAGAATGACAGAGTATCTGCGGCTGGGGCTCTCGGCAGACGTTGCTTTCATCAAGTGATTCTGACAGCGATCCGCCAGTTCAAAGAGCCCCCTTTCCGGATCCTGTCTCCCTCTTTGAATCTCATAAACGTACACCACAGCGAGTGCACAAAAGGTGACGTATGGTGTCCACCAGAAGGCGTGGAACAAGGTTCCGTCGCTAGCCATGCCGTCAACCGTCTCAAGCGTGGTCTTGGCTGCGGTGATGCATTCATCTATGCTGTCGTCTAGGGGAGATCGCTGACCATGTCTTGGGCCACCCGTTCCAAGGAGAAAGGGGCGGTTGGCGTGCATGATGGCATGGCAATATGCCAGCTTGAGGGCTGTATTCTGCCTTCTGAATGATGGAATCAGAGACATGGGCCGAACGGTGCCCAAATGATGTGGCAAAGACTCGCGCCACCGGTGTAGAGCCTTCCCGTATCGATGCGCAATCATAAGACGATCATCTTTATGGACAGGTTTGATCGAGTACACCTCGCGAGAGATACCGTCAATGATTTGAGCGAGTTTAGCGTGGAAGATGAGGCTCTCAACGTGACAGTCCATCTCTGGCTCGTCACTTGATCTACCTTGGGGTGTCATGTCCTCATCGTTGACACAGTCGGGGAAGTCCTGGTCGATATCGTCATCGCGATACATCCTCGGCCGGCCAAATACAACAGAGAGATACTTATCGATGGTGTATGCCACCCAGAAAGTCCTCTTCCGGCACTGCGACAGGATGTAGTCCTTGTCACTACTCGCCCTGTTGCGTCCGGATTTCCGATGCAGACCCAGGGCTGAGATGATGGGAAGAATACTCCCGAAGACGTACCACGCTTGGTTCATCCGAGATGTCTGGAGGAGATACAGCACCTGTAAGAGGCGCGCCTGCGAGGACTCTAGCTTCGGCAACCCGATCTCCATATCCGTCAAACTCAAAGCCTGACAAAACAGAGCATCACTACGTCGAAGGTCAGCACTCTCTTCTTCGCCGACGTCTCGGACCTTGCTTTGCCGAAGGGTGACGATGGCGAGAATCGTCAATACAATGGAGGCTTTGGCGTAGCCGATTTCGTGGTGTAGCGGGCGGTTGTTCTTTGCATTTGCGAGCAAAATCTCGAACCATTGGGCAACGTAGCCTTGGTGTAAGCATCGATAAGTCACCACGCAGACATCAAAGTAGAAGTCCAGCATGTCCAAGCCGACCGACTGGTCAGGGAGAGTCGAAACGTCCAAAGATTGCGAATCGAATGGCTTGTCTCCTGCTCTCGTCAACCTCTGGTGCTGCTCAGTGCCGCTCGGTACGTTTCCCGGAACATCGGTGGTGTTGGATTTCTGCGACGAAAGTCGTTTCCATGCTCGGTGTAGGAACGTTAGACTTGACGTGGTGTCAACATACTGCCCTTCGATTTCGGCAATCTCGACTTCTGGCGAGGCTCGCGAGACTGGCAGAAGGCTACGGCGGCCACCTCCTACGATTTCCGGTTCCTCAGCCACAAGATCAACGCTTCTCGGCCGAGCCGCACCCTGGCGGGCAAGAGGGGGATCACGCGGAGCTAGGGATGGAAAAGGCGCCGCAGAGGGAAGTGGTCTTCTGTGAATGGTCAACTACAATTCTAGCCATGGTCAAATACTGCTAGACTCTTACAACGACGTACCTTGGGGCCTCTAAAGAAGTTGATGGGGCTAGTCGAGCTTCAGATGTCTCGTGGCTAGAACTACCGGCTGGGGGAGGTGTTGGCGGTCTACCCCGTCGATAGGTAGCGTCGTAGATGCAGGAGAGACGTTTCCGGGTGCAGACGTCGCAGGGTATCGTTCCGGAGCATTTCAGTTTCTTAGATTTGCAAAAGTCGCATGCGCGACTAACTTTGTGACTTCTTCGCCGATTAGCGGCGGCATTGGCGGCGGCGGTAGCAGCCGATGATGAACGGCCCTCGTCAGGCCCTTCAGGCGAGCCCTCGGGCAAGCTGCGTTTCCTCCGATCGGTAGTAGTCGACGGGAGGCTAGATGGGGAGGGTTGTGAAATGTTTGACGAAGGTGTCGGGGCGGATGTCGCTGCAGGGGCATCGTCGCGGATACCAGTGTCGGTGCTCGCCGTTGTTTCCGCCGGCGTGTCGGCCATCCTACCACCATCCACTGATATCCGACCCTCCGATGGGTTTGCTGACTGTCTCCACTGACTCAAGTCCGATCCTCCGGACTACCACGTCGATTCCAGCACCCACAACGACTCCTACACCGGGTTCGGCGCTCCGAATGTGTGCGCTTCGTCTTATTACGGCATATGGTGAATTCGTAGGTGGGTCATAACGGAGGATATCTCGTACCGGAACAAATCGAGAAATACCTTACGCCTCTCGCGTGGTGTGGCACGCAGATCTGGCTAGGAGTTTGTGCGCAGAAAACAGTCCGGAAAAGCAAAAGTCAGGGGCCAGCTGATTATTAAGGGGAGCAAACAAACCGGCCACCAACACACAGCAAACAAACCGGCCCCCTTGCCCGCTCAAAGCTCGGCTGAAATGCGGGGCAAGGATGAGCAAATCGGTTGGATCGAAACCTTCATACCCTCCACAAGTCCGGGCTCACTATTGCCAGAGTCTGTTTCCATGATGCCCCCTCGCTTCACATGCTGTTGATAAAGGATGATATCTCTCGACGAGGAGGTTGTCCAATGGGGATTGTTGCCGGGCAATCGCTACATGTGTTGCCCACGTGTTGCGTGCTTACAATCAGATTGTGTTAGTTTGTAACTTCGTCCAGTATACTCGATATGGCCTATGCATCAAACTGCTTATGACGAGCCGGCAGATAGTACAGCCTCGCCCTTTTCTATGCATACAGAAAACTCGCAAGAGACGTCTGGATAAATAGTTATGCAATGATATCATTAAGGAGCTAAATACTACGATACTTGCACAAAGAGTCGGATTTGTGGCCCGAATTGGCCTTAGTGACCCCCCTCAATGGAATGACAAATATGCCAACTCCCGAGCTTTGATCCCTGCTGCACATCATCATTGACTCCAGCGCTGCAGAAACGATGCAGCTGAAATCTTCACAGACACTCGCGCGGGGATAAGTCCAGCACTCAAACAACCATCATCCAAGTAGACAGCAGTCTGCAACCCACGGCCTCTCACTATCATCCCTTAGAGGTAGCTCGGCACCGATGTGGATGAGATCTGGGAGACTGTCTATCGGACGATCGGACGGTCAGTCCATCCACCCCCACCAGAATCCTCCCTAAATCCGGTCGTCTGCCCCGCTATCCCCCGCTCTACTCCGGACAACCCGAGCCGGTCCCTGTCCGCTGCCCTTCTGAGGCGGACGGCGGCTTCCAGAGTTGAACCGGCTCTCCAGAATTTCGACCCACCGGCCGCAGCACCGTTCGCTTCGTCGCAGCTTGCTCGTGAACTCTGCTCCTGGGCCCCTGACGTCAACATGGCGGCACACAGGACTCTGGACAAGCCGATCCCCTAGCGGACGTGCTACTTTATATCATGCGGGCCGACCCCTCATCTCTTTTACCTCGAAGCAGACAGATTCAACGACATCGAGCATCTACCTCTATCTGACTCGTATCGGAACAATTATCCAACATGTCTATCGAAGTTTTCCATCTTGGACTCTCTCAATCTGAGAGAATCGTATGGCTTTTGGAGGTTAGCAACAAGCATTAAGCAAATACCCATCTAGATCTGCAATCGCTAAGACTCTACTAGGAACTTGAAGTACCATACAAGTTGCATGTCTTCCAAAGAGACCCCATAACAGGTCTCGCACCTAAAGAAATCAAGGAGATTGTGAGTATTTCTAGCAGAGTTTGTGGATAGTGGATAGACAACTGAACGAGTCAGAACCCCGCCGGAACCGCACCGTATTTCCGCGATACCACTGTTTCACCGCCAGTCGAGCTCGGAGAGTCTGGTGCAACCGTTGAGTACATTCTCAACATTCATGGCAGCAAGGTCGGATCAGGAGCCCCGAGACTCCTTCGTACCCCCGATGACGCCGATTACGCCGCCTATCTCGAATGGTTTCATTTCGCAAACGGCACTCTGCAGCCCACTCTCGGCCGCGCTATGACCCTGTTGTTCGCCGGCGCTTCGCAAAGTGACTTTGGCAAGCGGATGGAGGTCAAGTCCCACGAGGCTCTCAAGCTGATCGACAACCGCTTGGCTAACAACAAGTGGCTTGCCGGTGAGAATCTGAGCGCCGCGGATATCATGACGGTTTTCACTCTGACTACCATGCGTGGCTTCTATCCTCTTCTGGACTTGTCGGAGCACAAGAACATTCTGCGGTACCTGAAGGATGTTGCCGAGCGCCCTGCGTACCGCAAGGCGCTGGAGAAGGGAGATAAGGACATGGAGCCTATGAACGGGCCAAAGGTCAAGGCTTTCAAGCAGTTCAAGGGATTCGGTGCCATCTACGAGTCTCTGGGCTACTAGAAGATTACTCAAAACAATACAACTCAACTCCAAGAGAAAATGACGCAAAGTACCGAATAATTGGACAAAAGAGAACACTTTCCTGCCGCAAGCTAGGTTATCCTGAGATATAAAAAGTGGCAAAAGTATACTCGCTTGACCAGCCTGGGGGTCGAACCCAGAATCTCCTGATAACATGATAAATCGTAGTCAGACGCCTTGCCATTGGGCCAACCGGCCGTGATAGTCGAGTAGTCGATCCACTGAGGTGGATACTGGTGGTCGTCGGCCTCAATCGACTTAAGAAGTTGAGGTTGAGGGTGATGTGGTGGGCGACGAGTTAGCTCGATAAGTAAGTAGACTCCGGAGTTAGAAACTTTCGATCTCCTGCGGGGTGGTTCATATATAATAATCAAAAACGGGACACAGGGCCTGGTTAGATCAGGCAGTCTTCATTGATTCTCTACGCTAGCTTAGCTAGCAGCCCTTAGGGAGGCAGGAAAAGCTCTCGTTCCACGACAGCATACAATGCACGGGTATGACAGCTTGAGAACATGTGTATCTTGGAAACGGACGTGAAGTTGTAATGGTATCTGGAAGTGTGGAAGTACTCAAGAATTTCTCAGAGAGCATATTTGAACAACGGGCTCTTCTCCCCCATGCCGCCCAGCTCTTCCTCAGTGTACCTTTCTCTGACCTCATCTTCAGTCTGGAGCGCCTTCTTATCATTCATCCTCTTCAAAAGAAATTCGAGAGTTATCACAGCAATGATACCAGCCGAAGCAAATCCAAACGATGTACCGAAGCCAGTGGGATATGTCGGCGCCTCTTTGTCGAGGTAGATGTAGCTGCCGATCAGGCCACCGATGTTTCCGACACAAACTAGGAAGCCGATGCTGATTGCTCGTTTCTCCGGGCTCGGCGTATTTGCTACGTTCCAGGCATTGACTCCAGGTAGGATCGGGTACATTCTGTCGATTGCGAATTAGTTCCTCGGAGTCTTCCACATTCAACAGACTGGTGTCTTGCGATGGAGAGAGACTTACCCGAAACAGGCCAGACAAACGGCAAAATAACACAATGCAATGTTGTCTTTGATGTCGGCACTCTTTGTGAACAAGATACTAAACGCAGCAACGAGGCAGAGCTGAGGGCCGATGATGAACGGCATTCGCCAGGAGTATCTGTCAGCAAAGACTGAAAAGACGTAGGCCGAAATAGCCCCGACTGCATACGGCGGCATCGTCAAAAGTTGAGCGTTGGCCGAGGTGTATCCCATGTTCTTAATAATCTGCGGCATCGTAAACTTCATGGCGTAATTCGGTACTGCATTCGACCAGTTTGCAAAAATCAAGAGGTAAATCTTCCAGTCTGTCAGAACAGAAATCAAAGCTTGCTTATCAAAATGCTTCTCTCTGAACTCGCTCGGTCGATGAACCCGCCGGGCCTCTTGTCGTAGTTCGAGATAACGCTTTTCGTCGTCGTCAAGCCACTTAGACAGAGCGGGGGAGTCGACGAGGAAGAAGAAACAAATGACACCAATGACCACTGTAGCCAGGCCTTCGAGTATGAAGATCTAAGACGTTTGTTAGAAGATTCCAGATTAAGAGCGATGGCCTCCGAACGTACCCATCGCCAGCTTTCGTATCCTCCAAAACCATCCAGTTTTGCAATGGCAAATGCTAACAGGCCAGAGAAGCCTCCACCAGATGCGGCGGACGTGTAGAGAAGAGCTATCCGAGTCTGTGTTTCATTTGGAAGGTACCACTTGGAGATGATCAGGATAGCGCCTGGTAGGAAACCTGCTCTGTTTACAAGTCAACATTTGCTACATTTGCCACCACCACCTAGAGGTGAATACTTACTCAAACAAGCCCAGGAATATTCGGACAGCAATCAGACCACCGTAGCTTTGCACCACGCCGTTGCAGGTCATGACAACGCCCCAGCATGTGACAATACCACCAATGTAGAGCGAAGGTCTCTTGAACATGTGAAGGATCATGTTACTCGGGACCTCTGCCAGTACGAAAGGGATGAAAAAAACAGAGACAGCAATGTTGTATTCGACGCCCGTCATATTGAGGCTACCTAATAGCCCTTCGATCTTGGCGTTCCCAATGTTGGTCTTGTCGAGATACGCCATGAGGTAGAGCAGAATCAACACAGGCATGAGTCGGTACTATTGAAGAAGCGAGTCAGATTATACTATTAGGTATATCAAGTAGTACGCAAATTAGGTGAGAGTGACAATCAAGGGGTACGTACGTCGACCTTGCGAACTGCTTTCTTCTTTTTGTCCTCTGGAAAGGTTCCGAGAAACGCAACATCCTCCGGACTCAAGTTGCCATGGCGTTGATACTCATCATGGGCAACAGAGTCTTTTTCGTGAGAGACGTGTTCAATGTCGGAGCGGTCCGAAGAGACTCTATTGACAGCCATGTCTCCTAATGCAGATTCGGGTGGTAACACTTTCTCTTTGTCAGGAAGCTCTCCACTGGATGAAATGATCGTCATGAAGAGATTTCTCAAAGCTAGAAAGTCGTCGCGACTCGGCTTTATAGTTGAAGAGCGGTTGACGGGGTCATCATATCAAATCAGGACTATAGAACCTGGGGAAGCGGCATAAACGTATGGTTGACTCTGGAGTTGCGGGGGGAATTTTGAAAGAATCTGGGGTACCGCCCTTGGCGCTGGGGTTCTCCAAAAAGACGAATGGCTCGGAAAACACGTATTTTCCAGTCTTGATAGTAGCGTCAAGCCACTCATGCTTAGCGTCAGCATCGATGGCAGCCCGGATTACAGGATTATGGTCGGAAATGACTGGATTAAGAATGTTTGACCTGTCACCCGACTTCATTCTAAAGAATCAGGCGTTGCTAGAGGCGGGGAGTGTCTCTGCAATGCGTTGCTGTCGCGCATGCCGAGAGAGTCGCGCTCTTCGTTCTGCGACCCTCTGCACCAAAGTTCAGGAGTACACAACCTATGAAACGGTTGCGGCATGTGGATGGGGTGACAATTGGACGAGCCCGGACTTGTCAAGCCCCATCCTGGCACTCACATCATCCTTTCCTAGTGCTCTTGGTTGTTGCCTGTGTGTTCTGGCCCCTCTTTTAGTGGACATGAGTCGTGGTTCCGGGCCTCCTCGGACTTGTGTTTCTCGGATTCCTGCCGGAAAAGAAGGCCACCATTTCACGCCGGTTCGGATGAGCGGGGCTGGCAGTCAGCTCCAAACATACGCTGCTAGCATTCACTCTTCTTCTAAACTCAGGAAAAAGATTGCAGGGTGCCGAACTTAGTAGACGCGACTTCGGCATATCCTCAAACGCGAGCTCATCTAGCCGCCAAGAGATGTTGTGTGTGTGAGGCTCATCATGATCTTGTTATATAAAAGCAGTCATTGCAAACCGTATCTCGAGACTTCCATTATTTTCACAACAGTCAAAGCACACATCAAAGTCCACAATCTCCAGAACAACTTTTGTACACTCACCAATACCAAAAAACATTACCCATCTTAATCATGGGTTCCAATGTCGGCCTTGACCTCCGCGGTCTCACCCCTGCCCCCGTCACCCCCTTCAACAAGGACGGCAGCGTAGACTACGATGCTATCCATCGTCTCGGATCCTGGCTCGGCAGCATCTCAGGCGTCAAGGGTCTCGTCGTACTCGGTCACGCCGGTGAGGGCACCTTCCTCACACAAGACGAACAACTCGCCGTCATCAAGGCTTTTGTCAAATCCGTCGACAACCGCATCCCCATCATTGCCGGCATTACGGGAGAAGGCACCGAAGTAGCCGCCCTCGAAGCTAAGCGCGCTCGGGAAGCCGGTGCCTCGGCCGGCCTCTTGTACCCTTCGCACGGCTGGCTCCGCTTCGGCTACCAGCCCGGTGCTCCGCAGGACCGGTACAAGCGCGTCTTTGAGGTCAGCAGCCTGCCGCTGATTCTGTTCCAATACCCGGACGTCACAAAGGCGACGTACAACTTGCAGACTCTTCTCGATATTTCGGCGCAACCTGGTGTCTTTGCGATGAAGAACGGCGTCCGAAACATGAGACGATGGGACACTGAGATCCCCGTCATCCGAAAGGAGAGACCGGATCTCCAGATTCTCACCTGCCATGACGAGTATCTTTTGCACACGGTCTTTGATGTTGATGGTTTCCTGGTTGGCTACGGCAACATTGCGCCCGAGGCTCTGATTGAGTTGATCAAGGCTGGCAAGGCAAAAGATTACCCCAGAGCGAGGGAGATCCACGACAAGTTGTTACCGGTGACCAAGGCTGTGTACCATCGAGGATCGCACATGGAGGGCACCGTGGCGTTGAAGCACGCGTTGGTTGCGAGGGGGATCTTGGAACATGCGACCGTTAGGTCACCTTTATTGCCTTTGGAGGATGGAGCCGAGAGCGAAATCTTTGCAGCTGTGTCTGCATCTTCGCTGTCTCGTGTGAAATAGTTAGGCAGTTTGAATATTCCAGATACTGCTGTGGTAAGAGAACACCTCGGGGTATGATGTTTGTACGGTAGCAACCAGAGAAGTATTGATTAGCACACAGACGAAAAAAAGACGAATCGCATAGGGATTCCTGTTATCCCCTCTGACAGGGCAGCCTCTACAGTGATCTCAAGAGTGATTTCCACCTCTAGGCCTCATCGTCGATGATCAGCCAGAGTTGAACCGCACCGCGGATGCCCTTGTATTCCAGTCACAGATCACCACTCATCGTACCTGTACGGGTCTAGCCAGTCTTTTGGAAGCAGCTTTGGCAACTAAGAAGACAGGCGTGCTCAGCCCGCTTTTAGCTGCTTTTAGGTCGAAGTGGCTTGAGACATCGTCCTGACTTCTGGTACACCTCATTCCATCAAAAGAGCCACCACCATCATCCACAAGGCCATAACCCAGTGCGCTACTCGGCAGTCAAGACAAAGAATCTGTCCACACCTCAGATACACAAGCGTCTGTTGGGTCGATTCACCAACCACGGTTCTCATGGCCACTCAACTTGGAGCAGACTGATGGTACTCTGACGTTAGAGCATCGGTCCCTAAACATGGGCCTATCTGCCGGATACAATGACAATCTACCGCGTCTTTTGTCTCGAAGATCGCGGTGGTCCAGGCTCAAGCTGTGGCAATCAAAGGCTTTTGTGGCAAAAGCCTAATGGCCAGGAACGGCCAACATGCGTCTTTGTGGCTCTCGATAGCACGAGCCAGGCACATGTCTAGACCCCATACACCTCCTCTCGATCCGTGATCCCCCTTTACCAAACGGCGGGGATTTCTTTCAGCCGTCTGAACCCGCAATGCCTCTTGTAAACGTGGACCATGCTTTAAGTCTCTAATCTTTCCATACCTCCTTACTAGTGTATCTGTCCAAGGTAACATCAGATTCCTAGGGTTTCTCACGGACAAAGTATGGAGTCTACCAGAGATCTTTCTTTCTTTCCCTCAATCTCTTGGGCCGCCGCCCGATGGACCCAGATCCTTGGAGTCGGGCTCGTGGCGTGGGCGCTCTACGGAACTTTCCTGGCAATCTACAGAGTCACCCTACACCCGTTGGCAAAGTTTCCCGGCCCGAAGTTCGCCGGCGCGACATACGGGTACGAGGTCTGGTTCGACGTGGTGCGCTGGGGAAAGTTCATGCATGATTTCAAAAGTCTGGCCGATGCTGATATCATCTGATACGTCTAGGTCCCATCGTCAGGATCAACCCGGATGAAGCTCACTGTAATGACCCTGAGTTTGTGGACATCATCTACGCGAATGGAAGCAAGAAGCGCAACAAGTCGAAAATGTTTGTGGAGGGATTTGCAGCAGAGTAAGTTGCCCTATCCCAGGTCTCGCTCTACAAATATAGAGTATGCTGACACGTGATGTGTAGCTTGAAAAATGTGAGCAACCTTCGGAAGGCGATCCAAATCAACCTTTCAAGTCGGCTAACTTTGTCGTCAGGCAGGATTTGGCACAGTTGACCACGCCCATCACCGCCCCCGCAGAGCGGCAGCGAGCAAGTACTTTTCCCGAGTACAGATTGCCAAGTTGGAGTGGGTGATTCACCAAGATGCCCAGCGGCTATGCGACAAGTTCCTTCGGTACCAGGGCCGTGGGCCATTCGAAGCTGCTTCACGGCCGACATCGTCAGTGATTACTGCTTCGGGCAGCCATTCGGCTTCCTTCAACAGCCTGATTGGGAGCCCAACTTCAAGGAGGCAGTCTATGTCATGTTGCAGTTGATTCACATCATGAGACACTTCCCGTGGACGACGTGGTTGATGGAGGCTGTTCCGTTGTTGGTGTTCCTGTTCGCATTTCCGTTCGATAGATGTTCAACATGGATAGGGATGTCATCAGAAAACTATCGTCGAAGATGGGAGCACTCGCTCGCTGAGAAATCCAAGGTGAGTCATTGTGACAGAGATATGCATACAGCCCATGCTGACCAGTCCATGTGAAAATGCCGGAGATGGTCAGACAGACCAAGTCAGCATACGAGGCCGGTATCAATCGCGACCGGACGACGGTGACCCACTCACTTCTGGAGTCAAACCTGCCACCCGAAGAGAAGACAATCAAGCGACTGACTGGCGAGGCGACTTTGATGCTTGCCGCTGGCACCGAGACGACAGCCTCAGCACTCAGCGTGTGCACGTATCACTTGCTTCGCAACCCAGACGTCGTTGAGAAGATCAAAGCCGAGCTTCTCTCCGTCACGACGGATCCAAAGCAGATACCGACCTGGGCCACCCTGGAGAGGCTACCTTACTTTGGGGCCTCTATCATGGAGGCACTGCGGATGGGTTATGGTTACCCGTCGAGACTGCCTCGAATCGCACCGGACGAAGACTTGGTCTACCAAGGCACGCGGACACCGCCGGGCGCCTCGGCGCCGGTAGAGGTGACGCATGTCATCCCGCGAGGTTATGCGAGCGGTATGTCGGCGTGGATCATGCATCACGACGAGAGGGTATTTCCCGACTCGAACAAGTTCCTTCCTGAGAGATGGCTTGATGAAGATGGACAGAGAAGGCGGGGTTTGGAACGGTACCTATTGACGTTCTCCAAAGGAAGCCGGCAGTGTTTGGGCATGCAGTAAGTTTCTCACTCTCTTAGCGATGGTTCCCGCATGAACCGACGGTTCAAAGTTTCTGAGCTTCAGCTAACCGACGTAGGCTGGCATACTGCGAGCTTCACGTGGCCATTGCTGCCAGGACGTTGCGCGTCCTGCCGCAGTTGAGACTCTACGAGACGACAGATGCCGATATTGAGTATGATTATGACCTTGCTGTTGCAATGCCGAAGAAAGGCAGCAAAGGGATCCGTCTAGAAGTGGTGTGAAGGATGAAGCCTGCATCAATGCATGCCGTGCTTGTGTGAAATGGCGACTTGGGGTCATAGGTCCTAGACAAGCTTTGATGAGCAATTGAATGTGTGGAAGTCATTATGATCGAGGTCCAATAGCGAAAGCTTACTGGCGTCATGAGATGATCATCCGAGCTCGAGAGTGTCATCAAGTTCCGTCGATGGCCGCTGGTCCTTCCTTACACTGTGGCTCAGTATGATTTCCTGCGAAACACCTTTCACTTTGCACCCAATTAACCCGCAGACGTTGACGTGATTTTGAATTGAAGTATGTCAGATTCGCGTTCCTCAGGGCGGGGGTTCAAGATGAGAGTGAGACTAATATGAGTGAGTGAGAATGAGAGAGACTGAGAGAGCGGCGGATGAGAGTGAGACCGCCGGAATGTCCGTGCGGCGCTTAGCGCCACACTGTGACCACATCCGATCTAGCGGGACCCACTCGGTCCCGAGCGCCGCGCCTACCGGGACCGAAGCCAGGGCCATCATGAACTGAAAATACGGCGAACGGACTCTATCTTCGCCGACACTACCAGCACAAATCTTCAATGATGGCTTTATGGTATGCAGATGGGCACCAGTCGAATTTGCTTCCACTCGTTTGCTTCCAATCCTTCACTGTCATTGGAAGCTTAGGTAAGACGACGCGCGCGCGAGTATTACCAATGCGCCGACCAACCCCCTGACTAAGGCAACGCTCTAGGACTCCAGGGACACCGCCAAAAAAAAAAAAAAAAAAAAAAAAAGACAAGTCAAGCCGTCCCTATTGATGATCTCCCACTCTAATCATCTGAATTCCAAAACTTCTGCTGAGCTGGGGATCTAGACCCGATGCGAATCTTGGGAATCAACGATTGGTAGAGGCTATTCATTGGGTCGCGACCTTTGCTCCCGGCGCGCGGCATCCCGAGTGGCACAGTACAGCAACAAAGGGCGACAGGGCCCGTAATACAGCCACTTGGCGCGGCATCTGGCCAGTTTCTCTCAAGACTCCGCAGTCAGTGTAGCAACAAGCATATGATCAAAAGAAAAAAAAAGCATCTTCTGTCCCCGTTCTCCTAGAGAGCGCGCGCTACCTCTGACTAATGCCGTGGCACCCGCCGCGCCGTTCGTTGCCTTGACTCGGCCTGGCCTTTCGGACCCCTGCCGCACCGAATCCCTACAGTGGACGCGCTGGAGTGGACGCGCTTCGGACATTGTCTGGCGGTACATCTGCCGTACGGCTTATTCCCACGTCTTTTGCTTGTAGCATCTCAGTCTCCGGATAGCACTACGACTAACCCGCTCCATGCGTCTGATCCCAAAACCGCAAGAAGAAAAGAGAAGCACACCAAGCTTTACAAAGCCCAATCTCGCTTGTCACACGCAAGCTCAAGCTGAATAATCCGAGCGCCGCTTCGTCTGAAACATTGGATTGGTTCTCAACTGGTCCCATCCAACGCGAGAGGAACGATGTATCCGCACAGGGAAAAGACCGAGCGGCAGTGCAACTAGGTAGGTAAATATGTGAACACGCAGGCATGTGTGGTACCTCACGTCTTTGGGGATGGGAAGTATTCGGCCGAAGCCCAGGGCGTCCGCTAAAAAGTCCCCGAATCCTCTGCCTTTGTATACTTTGTATAGATGAAATCATTCATTATCCTCCTCGCTCCCACCTTTCTCCTAGACCCTGCGCCCTCTACCTTCTCTTCTTACTGTAGATCTCTTTGTCCAAGCAACTGTGTCTCGTTGGGTGCCCTGTCAAAGGTGTCCACTCCCGCACTCCCCCACGACTATCCCGTACCGTCACATCTCAACCTCCGGCCCCCAAATACCGGCGACCTTGCTTACTTTCTCCCTTGATTGGGGAAGTTAATCTGACCCTCAACACCGTCAACACTTCTTTCACAACAAGAACGACTCGTGCCTCTCGTCAATTTCTACAACACAAATCACCCTCACAAAATGGTCAAACAGGTCGTGATTCTAGGCGCAGGCTACGCAGGCCTCGGCGTCGCCCACAAGCTGCTCAAGTACACCCAGCCCAAGGTCAAGGATCTCAAGGTCATCCTTGTCTCCCCCTCGACCCACCTCTACTGGAACTGCGCCGCCGTGCGCGGTCTTATTCCCGGCGAGTTCTCCGACGACACTCTTTTCAACGAAATCAAGCCCGGCTTCGAGAAGTACCCCCAGGATGCTTTCGAGTTCGTCCTCGGCAAGGCCACCATCTTCGACGCCACCACCAACACTGTGCAAATTGAGACCAACGAGGGCCTGAAGTCTCTCGAATACGCCCAGCTCATCATCGCTACCGGCTCTTCCCTCGCCAGCGGCGTCCCCTTCAAGACCATCGGCACCCACGAAGAAACCCTCACCGCATGGCACAACCTCCAGTCCGAGGTCAAGGTAGCCAACTCCATCATCGTCTCCGGCGCCGGCACCACGGGCGTCGAGACCGCTGGTGAGCTCGGCCACGCCTACGGCTCCACCAAGCAAATCACCCTCATCGTCGAGGGCGACGCGCCGCTTCCCGGCCTCCTGCCCCAGCTCGGCAAGATCGCCGCCAAGAACCTCCAGCAGCTCAAGGTCAAGCTCGTCACCAACGCCCGCGTCACCGAGGCAAACACCTCTGGAGCCCTCAAGTCCATTAAGCTGTCCAACGGCGAGACCCTCACCGCGGATCTGTACCTGCCCCTGTTTGGCGTCCGGCCCAACTCCTCCTTCATCCCGGAGCACCTCCTCGATGACAAGGGCAGCCTGAAGCTCAAGCACGACCTCCGCGTCGAGGGCCTCACCAACGTCTGGGGCGTCGGCGATATCGGCAACCTCGAGGCGAAACAGCTCATGCGCGCCGAGGGCCAGGCGCTGCACCTCGCCGACAACCTCGATGCCGTCCTCACCGGCAACGAGACCAAGGTCAAGGACCTCAAGCTCACGCTCAAGCCGCAGGTGTTTGTGACTATTGGCAAGAAGAAAGCCACAGGCCAGTTCAACACGATGAAGCTGCCTGGTTTCATCGTCAGCGCCGCCAAGGCCAAGACCTTCTTCACTGAGAAGGGTCCTGGTCTGGTCCAGGGCAAGAACATGGCCAGAGCGTCGATTTGATCAGCTGTACCAGGAAAAAACGATGTATGACGGAAGAAGATTGGTAATTGGGTTTGCTTCAGCTTTGATATCCCGGGTTGCGAACTGTCGTTGCTTTACTTGTTAGTGTGTGGGCACACGAAAGCTATTAATTATTGGACATATACCCTTAATACAGTCGAAATACGCAACTATGGTGTGTTCAATGCTTGTGATTTCTCTAATGATCTCTTATCTCATCCTAGGTGGCACAAGATAGGCGCCCACATGGGGCAACGACCTGACTACCGTCCGATCATGGTCACATGTAGCTAAATTCAAGCGCCTTGTTGATGACCTTCCTCATAGCATCTCCCATGTCGATGTCGACGCTCTTCTCTGCATCAACCCAAATCCCCATCTCGTGCTCTTCGTTGAGCTGGAAGTCGTTTCCATCTCCTCCAACGATGATAACAAAATTGAAGTGGACCACCGGACGCTTGATCACAGTAGTCTGGGCTGACGGGCCTGCGGCATCATTCTCTGCAGTACCCTCTTCTTTGGCAGACCCATACTCCACAGTCTCCTCCTGGATGTCTAGGGTTGGAGGAAGGCAATTCCCGATATCAATTACCAGGAGCCCGACCGACTCAGCGACCACTCGGAGGATGGCGTCTTCAACGGTGTCATCAGAGCCCTTCATCTCACCCCCAGGAATTTCATGAAGTTTGCGACTAATCCCGTGGTTGGGCCTGTTCTTGAGGATCAAAGTCTCGGTGCCGCCAGGTCCCCGGCGAATGATAGCGGCGCCGACCATGATCTTGGGAGGGGGGATTTGCGCTCGAAGGTCCAGCCATGACAGCATGTCTCTGCGAGAAAGTGTAAGAATGTCCATGATGGGTGGTGGTAGTCGAAGCGAGAAAGGCGTCAAGTCGTAGTGTGTAGAGTTGCGAGTAGAAAGTCGAAGTAGAATTCCCAATGAGAGCTTGGTGTGTTTAACGGTTCGGGTAGGAGTGAGGTCAGCGAGAACCAGAAGTTTTGAATGGGCTCTCATAGGACTTAAATACCTTGTAGAATGATCGGTATTGACATTCCAGTTCCTGGGAAGCAATGCTGCCTGGGAGAAGATTGTTACCTGCGATGGCTTGCCTGCCTGTGATGTTGAACCAATGTGACCAAGACTTTGACCGTAGTGTATCAGTGAATTGTTTTGAGACTTCAGTTGATAGATGATGACTGGAACCTTCAATCAGGATGCGGTTTCAGATCTCAATGAGAGTAGTCTGGAAGGTGACGGTAATGTGACCGCCGGCCTATTCCAGTAGCCTTTAGACTCACATGACCAATACTTTGATCTTATGTTCGAAGGCTAGACACAATGATGACGAACCCCCAGCGACGCAATTTTCTGGGCTCATTTGATGGATATTCAGGCCAACACATGCACTAAACACAGCGGCTTTCATCCGCTGGATATTTCGGTACAAGTAAAGTCTCAAGACGAGTGGTCATAATTCTAGTTATCTATCGTAAATCATTCCTGACATCGCAACTCTATTTCAACAATTAGTCAGTGACGTCTTGAGTACATGTAGCCATGAACACAAGACCTGGTACGCAACAAACGCACGAGATCCTCTTCAGCCAGCGCAGTACTGGCTCTTGCTCCTAAGCCACGCGCCCCATCTCCACATCACAAAGGGCACGATCAACCCCATCACAAAGACAATACCAGCAAGCAACACATTACCCCAGGCAATACCCAACACATCGTATAATCTCGGTGCAAACAACGGGAAGCTGAAACCAGCCATCGTCCGCACAAAGGCCGCCGCGCCTGCTGCGCTGGCCGCATATCTCTCATAAGAGTCGATGACATAGGTCTGCACGCACTGAAACGAGAGTATCAGCCCAGCGGCCAGAGTTGCTGCTCCAATGTTTGGAACGATCCAGTGGACTTCAAAGTGTGCTGCGATTCCGTACAGTAGGAGGCCTACGGGGGTGATGATGGCTGTGGGGAACATGAGAGGAATTCTGAACTCTGGACACCCTGTGTCATTGTTTCGCGCCTTGAGCTTGCGATAGACCTGTAAATGTGTAAGTTAATGATTTATTCAAGGTACTGTGAGTATGTAAATCTTACCTTATCAATAAGGGGTCCGGATATCTGTAACCCGATCACGAAACCAACACCAAGTGAGATGTAGTTCAAACTAGCCGGTCCGGGTTCCATGTCGTATTGCTCACTCCACACAAAAGGGAACGAAGCGAGGCTTGCAAGGAGTTAGCTTTTATCGCTAATATCATACTGAGTAATGAGATTGAAGCTTACACAAGATACATAAGACCATACAGGTACGCCCTGTACACCGCGGTGATCTGCAGCGCTGGCTGAGTAAAGAGCATTCTGAATGGTCTAACAAGATTCTTCCGCAACGTCTGTCCGAAAGTCCTGTCCGGTTGATCAAACTCCGTACGGAGGTTCACGTTTCCCGTCTTCTTACGCAGAATTTCAGCTTTGACTGCCAAGATCTTGGGGGCGTAAGTCTCAGAAAGGAAGAGAAAGGCGAGAATTTGGACGACCGCATCAGCGATGGAGACGGTCCAGAAGATCCAGCGCCATGAGAGATACTGTGTCAGGTATCCGGCAGCTGCAATAGTCAGTAAAGGTTGTCTGGTAGAAGTACCTAAGATGCAGGAAGTACTGACCGATAGGCCCAACAGCAGGCCCAAGAAAGGGAGCAAGACTGTAGATGGCAGTCGCTGTGCCCCTCTCTTCGGCTCTCCAACAATCACTCAGTACGCCGCCACCAAGCTAATGATTGTAAGGTATCAGCAAGATGCTCCGGATAGATGCGACTCGAGACTTACAGCTTGAGGAGCACTCCCGCCAAGTCCACTGAGAAACCGAAAAGCCAACATCTGCTGCTTTGAAGCAGAGAAGCCGCAGACAGTGTTGAAGATCAAGTAAAACATGTTGGCAGACTGAAGCACGACAACACGACCATACATCTCTGATAACGGAGCAAGGACGAATGGCCCCACGGCGTACGCTAGTAGGAAGATGGACATGAGGAGATAAGTCTCAATGTCAGACTCGACGTCAAATTCGTCGGCGAGGGTGTCTAGCGCGGGGGCTAGCATGGTTGAGGAGACTGGCGATATGAATGTGAAACATGAGACCAAGATGGTGGCAGTCCATTTCTTGTGCCTGGCCCAGTTCTTTGGGTTCATTGGGTCATCGGGCCCAGACCATGTTACCTAAGGTATGATTAGCTTCCTGAATAGACTCGATGAATTGTGTACTATCTAGATAACGTCTATTCATTACATACCAGGTCTGGGTCTTCCGGATCATCGGGCGTGATTCCCTGTGCAGGCTTTTCCTCGGGAGGGATTTCCGCAGAGGGTCCTGCCTGCGTGCCATCGTGAGAAAGCAAGTGTGAACGATCGTCAGGAGCAGACGTCTCCAAGATAATCCCAGGATGTCTGCTGCCTGATTCCTCCGCTGGGTCTTGGAGCCAGGGAAATTTGTATGCTGTTCTCTCATATTCTGAGAAAGAAGGTAGTCCTGGACTCCATCCTCGCCATAAGCTAGATCTTGATCGTGTCAGAGTCCTATGAAGGCTGAAGCCTGTTTCGGAGTCTGCCGATACCGGCTTCCGGGGAACAAAGTAGTAGGCATGTGGTTTTGAGTCAGACATGACAGGAACGAAACAAAGATGTGAAAGCGAGAGTTGGGAAGATCTTGAAGCGAACGTGTTAAGCGAGAGATTAACGAATGGTGGTGATGATTCTCAAGTGTCTCTGCATGTGGTGTGAAGTTATGAAGCTGTGAACCTTCATTTAGTCCATTATATGAATTTCCACAACGTTAACAGAACGAGATTTTCTCGTGAACAACACTGAGGGAGGCCAGTCTTCTAGCACCAAGATAACAAGGAGAAGAGCACCGCCTCATGCACTCATGATGGCATCGCCTCGGTCCTGGCGTGATGTTTTCGGGCTTAGAAAAAACCAGCCTTCCTGTAAGCGGCAGAACCAGCCGGGCTCAAGAGGTCACACATCCCTAGATTCATTCGCCCAAAGACATCCTGCCAAGTGACGCAACAAGGAAAACTAGCACTGCCAGAGTGTATCTTCAAACCAAATCGTGGGTGAGAATGACAGCCGAAGCTTTCTTGGCGGTCGATCGGCGGGGTGTGGGTGGGTTCTTGGATTGCTACGTCAACTGTGGCTGATGAGTGCGTCTTTTGGAGTAACATTTTTCTAGACTCCGCCCAAGCGAGGCCTTGAGCCCCTGGGATAACCCTGAAAATAAGTGCAATTCTTATTTATAGCTCAGGTACGGCCGTATGTGATTGGGAGACTATCTTTCAAGACGGAAAACCTTGGATGGACGTTTCGGGGTCCGTCGTCGGTTTCGATACGAGATCTGGGAACCAATCTGGTCGCGTGCTCACTACGACTGGCATCGGGTCTAAGAATCGAACATCATGATACCACGCATACCAGCCAGTTGGATCTCGAGAGCATCTAATCTGCGCACCATGCCGGTAGTCTGCTCTGCCGCTTTCAGAGGCTGTGTCATGATGTAACCTCCGTTGACGAGTTGCTACGCCATGGAAGCCGTTGACAGCTCCTAGTCTTACCTCGTTTCGAGACATCTCGTGTGAGTTGGTTGCAGCCTACAGCCCATCGAGGCAAGGGACAAGTGCAGGGCTGAAAGAAGCCATCATGGTCCCTGGCTTTGGGTATGCAGAGATCACACGATCGCATGCCCGTTTGCGAAAATATGCACCGGCGGAGCATTTCATCGCCACGACTCGGCAGCTGGATGTCTTCGTTACCAAGCCAGACTGCCTGATACTCAATGTCGTCAAGCCAGGAGACTGAAGACCAGAACCGAGGACAAGTCACACTGAGCCATTGGCAGGAGAGTTGTGTTCTTCTAAGGCGTGCTGCAGATCATCATCGTGAATGATATAAAGCTATCTGCTTGTGGCGTCTGAGAATTGTGTTTGACTAAATCCACATCACCATCAGTCCACATCTTCATTTACGTCACTCACATTCGCTTCTCACAACTATTCCACTCGCTATCAACATTCGCTTGATTTTCAAACAAATGAGCTCTTTCCCCAACAACATTGCGGTAACACCTGATCAAAGAGAATCATCACCATCTCCCATTGATCTCACCGAGTCCGCACCCCAAGCCATCACCCACCAAGACGATATGGGTTCTCTTCCTGTTCCCGAGGGCATGAGAGTTCTTGTTTGCCCTTCGGGATTCAAGGGCAGCTTACAGCCAGACGTTGCTGCTGATTGCATCGAAGCCGGAATTCTGGCTGTGATGCCAGAGGCCATCGTCCGCAAGGTTCCCCTTGTCGATGGAGGCGAGGGTTTCACTCGTGCCCTTGTATCGGCGACTGGCGGCACGCTTCATCCAATCACGGTCACCGGCCCCGTGGGCATCCCGATTGCATCCTTCTTTGGCATCCTGGGAAGCAGCAACCCAGATACGCCAAAGACTGCCGTCATGGAAATGGCAGCGGCCGCTGGCCTGAGCCTTGTGCCTTCTCATCTTCGCAACCCGGGCCTGACCACAACTTTTGGAGTTGGCGAACTCCTAGCCGCTGCTTTGAGCGCTGGCGCGAAGCGGATCGTCGTCGGATGCGGTGATTCGGGCACCTGTGATGGCGGCGCCGGAATGCTTCAGGCGCTTGGCGCTCGACTTACAGACGAGGATGGACTCTCGCTTCCCATTGCTGCCGGGGGCGAGTCTCTTCTGCGTCTGAGAAACATTGATCTTGGCGGCATCGACAAGCGTGTCAGGGACGTCACCATTGAGGTTGCTGTCAACTGGAACAATGTACTTTCTGGCCCCGACGGCGTTGCCAAAGTCTTTGGCGCGCAAAAGGGTGCCAGCAAATTGCAGACAGAGCGACTTTCAGCAGCCATGGAAGTCCTCGCCGTCGTGGCTGGCCGCTTTCTCTGCGACGATAACGTGGGCCTCTCGCCCGGTGGAGGGGCTTCTGGAGGGCTGGGCACCGGTTTGCGGCTGGTCGGCGCCAAGCTCCGGCCAAGATATGAGGTGGTGGCGGAGTATGTCGATTTCGACGGCTTGTTCACCGACTGTGACCTGGTGCTCACGGCCGAAGGGGGCATCGACGACCAGACGCCGCGGGGCAAGATTCCCGCAGAGATTGGCGTGCGCGCGAAGAAGCACGGCTTGCCTGTCATCGCCATCGCGGGAACCATAGGGCCAGGAGCGCGGGTCAACTACGACGTCGGGATCGATGCGTACACGTGTATTCTGCAACGACCATCCACGCTGGACGAGGCCATCCTGGACGCGGAGGTTCTGACACGCGAGAGCGCCGAGTGCGTCATGCGGATGATTGTCGTGGGCCAGGCGTTGGGGTCCAAGAAGGGCTTGCCCATGGCGCAGCAGCCGGCTTCGACATGGGTTTAGAGATGTTTCTGATTGATTGTTTTTTGAGTTGCAATGGAGCCAAGACCGTAGATAGGGAGACTTGACAGGCTCAGTGGACGCCAGTAGGGACAGGGATGTGATCTAGAGTTTTTTTTGACCGACATGAGAATATGAGAGAATGACCGCTAGCAGCCCTGGAATGAGAGAAATTCAAGACTTGGCATGAATCAGAAATACTGTTGTGAAAGGGGGACGTGACTGGCGGGAGAACGCACCAGCCAAGACGCTTGGTGTGGCGATGCAGACTGTGAGCTGGCTGTCCAGGGGCAAGATTGGAAAGCAGGTGAACAATCAGAGTAGTGAACAGGATTATGTCAAGTAAGAATCGGATGATTAGAGTGATCAAGGTTCAAAGGTATGTTCGTCCGAAAAGCAAGGTAAATGAATGGGATGGAGCCGGGTGGGAGCTGTGGTTATGATAGATCACGGAACGGGACGGGGACGGCGGGGAACCATGAGACGGAGGGAACGGCCGTCGAATGAGGGTACGTACCGATAAAGTTCCTGCCACAGTCTCTCGCCGCTCACATAAGAGGCGGGATTCATTGAGGCAGCGCAGGTCATGCCAATGAAGCCTTTGGCTTAAGTTGACAATAGACGAGAGCTCTAATTCTTTTCGGCTGAATCCCAAGGAATACCGTTTATATTCTATTTTTGTGAACTTTTGTAACCGTCTAACTAATCATCTTGATGCGTCCCTCTAGAACAGGTGCAATGACACGGGTCCAGTCGACCGTGAACTCCCCCTCATGCAGAAGATCACACACCTCAGCTTTGACACCTGCCTTGCTTGCCCATCTCGCGAAGAACTTACGCATAATGAGCATCTCCATGTCAATCTGAGCGACCCTATCCACCTCATCTTCAGAGTCAACCTCGTCGTCAGAGTCATCTTTGGGAGGTTTGATGTTCAATGCATGTCGTTTGACCATCCACTCAGCCCACGACTTGGACTCCACCTTTGGCTTGGGGTCCGAGGTGCCCGTCTCCGCCGGCGTCTCCCACATTTTCCGGGGCTCGACTGGGCTGTGGCACTTCTCGGCGACCTTGAACCAATGTTCGCTGAGGTTCTTCCATTGGCCAACGGTACGAAGGCTCATAAAGTACTGGCGCAACATGGCGGAGATGAGAATGCCGTTCTCTTCGCAGACGATCTCCTCGGCGGTTCCGCCCTCGGGCTCGACGAGCAGGCTGGTAAATCCGTCTAGGATGGTCAGCTGATGATCAATTCCATGAGTCTCTAAAATTACCTTTTCCTCTTCCCATGTACCCTCGAGTCGCAAGTGTATACTTCTTTTCCGGTTCTATCGGCCCGCCTCCAAGAGTGGCTTCTACAATGCGGGAACCAGCTGGCTTGCTGGGGTCGAAGGTGTACTCAATGTTGGATACTTGCGGGAATCGGCCTGGTGGGTTAGCAAATCATAACGTCTTGAAGACTACGGATTATGCCGCATACCTTCTTGTGCTGGGTACTGGGAAACGCCATTTTCCAAGGCATCCCAGAGCTGCTGACCGGTCACTCTGATAAAAATGACGGGATCCTCAAAGGGGAAGCAATTGGTGATATCCCTGACCCTGATCGCGCCAGGAGGATAAATCTGGTCGCCACGGATTGTGCCGGCCGCCATCAGGGCACAGTCGGCGTTGTGATAATGCCTCATGACGTCGCAGACGAAATTTCCCATGTTGCTCTCCTTCATCCGGACAGTGCTGAACCTTGCGTCTAACGGTGAGGCCGTCCAGCCTACGGACTTGGCCAGGCTATGCTTCAGCTTAGAGGTCAGCTCTTCGGTAAGCTTTAGTGTCTCCTGATCTTCCGCGATGGAGGAGACTATGTCGCGCTGCAGAATGTCAAAGTCCCACTTTCCTGAACCATCCTCCCTTTTCCGGACTTCGATGTAACTGAGTTGTTTGAAGTCGGAGCCGGATCGAAGCACGTGCGTGCCATTGATGAAGCTATGAGCATAGTAATGATCGTGTCCGCCCAGGATTATATCAATGAGACCCTCGGTCTTGTCGGCAAGCTTGTTGTCGTTTGGCTCACGCTGATGGCTGAGACAGATGATGATGTCGGCACCCTGGGCCCGGAGCTGTGGCACCAATTCCTTGGCTGTCTCGCTGGCCGACTTGTAGATGATGTTTGGCGGCAAGCTGTTGATTGTCTCTAGCCATTCTCTCTCGCCGAGGCCGAGGAGACCAATCTTGATTCCATTGGATGATGTGATCATGTGCGTGTGCTTGGCATGTCCGAGAGGGACATTCTCGCCCAGAGCCGGGTCCAGGACATTGGCGAGAAGCCAGGGAAAGTTGCACTTGGCGGTCAAGTGCTCGAATTGCTTGACTCCAAAGTCGAAGTCATGGTTCTACGTCCAGCATGTTAGTTCGAGAAAGAACCAGCAAGGTATGAGGCCCACTTACACCAACGCAAGTGCAATCAACGCCGATCTTGTTGAGCACTGGCACCATGTGCTCACCTGAGGCGCAATCAGTAAAAGTGACAGATGAGTGGCACGTGATGAAGATGGGCTGTACCTTTTGTGACGGAGCTTTCGAGACTGGGGTTGAAGACATCTCCCGAAAATAGAGTGACTAGCTCGGGCTGGTCCTGGTAGCGTTCGTGGCTTCGGTACTCGTTGACGGCAGTGATGAAGCGAGCAACACCGCCCACCGGCTCAGCGCTGGCTGGTTCCAAGTGGTAAACATCGTTGAGGTGGAGAAGACGCAGGGCAACCGGCGCATTGGAGCCCGAGCTGAAAGTAACGACGGGCTCATCGGGCGCTGGGGTGTTCTTGGGCATGGTGGGGACTAGGGAGAAGAGTGAAGGATCGAGAAGTGGTCTAGGAATAGCAATGCAGTCGGGACGGGTCGGAAGGTTGGTAATAGAATCGCAACGCAAACGAGCGTTGCTCGTGAGCTGAAGCTAGGGATGTGAGTGAGGTAAAGTTAGGTTAAGCTAGGTTTGGGGTGAAGGTGAGGTGCCGTGCCGTCCGCCGTCGTCCCTACGGTGCGGTGAGCTGAGGACTGCGGGGGCGGGGGCGGGGCAGGGGCAGTGAATTGGACCGCGATTGATTGGTGCAGTAGCGACGGGGACGCAGGAACCAACCAAAAGAGACAATTACCAATGGCAGGTCCAAGACACGTGATATGAAGCTGCGCCATAGTGGGTCCTGTCACTTCTATTTCGGGCACGGACTCCATCTGATAACGATAAGGTTGCTGCTAATTATAACATTTGCCCCACCGCGAGGCAGCACCTGCCTCGAGTGAATCTTTGCCTTCCTTCAGTTTTATCAATATGAAAGTACTTTATGTGATCTGTATACTTTAGCTAGTAGTTGAGTCGACTTGGTATGACAAATTGAAATATAAATAGAGTATTTTCATGGATAAAGCGACTCTAGAATACGATTTCCGGCTCTATGGCGGCTGACACCGTTGTGAAGCAATGGAAAGGACAAATCTGGACTAATGCACTTACAGCGCTGTCCTCAGTTCCGAGATATTTCTTGAAGGCACTACTTGAAACAATTACCGCCTATTCGGTAAAGTTCAGCAAACTTGGTGTTCGCTGAAATCAGTTCCTCTGGCGTTCCAAACTCCAGAACCTCCCCATTCCCGAGCAGGGCGACTTTGTCGTAACGGACCACATGTCCAAGTCGATGCATCACAGCCAACACCGTGCAGCCCACAAACTCTGTGTCAACCACATCCTGCATGACAGATTCGGTCACGGCATCAACGCTGTGACATGTTAGCCAGGTCCGAACGTATTGCAATTCGTTCCGCAAAAGACCTTACCTGCTCATTGCCTCGTCTAGTATCAAAACCTTGGACCTCCGCACCATGGCTCTAGCCAGGCAAAGAAGCTGCCTCTGTCCTGCCGACCACGCAGCAGAGTCTATGTCCTTGTCCAATCCACCCAGTCTCGAAACAACATCCCAAAGCCCGACCTTTTCCAAAGTGTGGGAAATTTCGCTGTCGTTCGAAACGATGCCGAACGGGTCAATATTGAAACGAATAGTTCCAGGCACCAGAAACGGGTCTTGAGAAACCACATTGATGCGGGAGCGGAAATCACCTTGCACCACTGTCGCAAGATTCACACCGTCTAGTTTAATGATGCCTTTCGTCACATGCATCATCTGCAATAGACTGAGAACAAGGGATGTCTTGCCGCTGCCCGACCGGCCACATATTGCAATGTGCTGACCAGCTTCTATGGTGAGAGTGACGCCTTTGAGCACCAATTCAGCTCTTAGACTGCATGTTGGTTAAGACTTCTGAAGAGAAAATTATCAGAAAGGTCACGGATATGTGAGACTTACCTATACGATGCAGAAAGATCAGAAAAGGATAGAGCCCCGGAAGAAGGCCACTCAAACGGCATTGAAGCATTTCCGACGCTAGTTTCAGTTTCCGTCTCCAACAAAAAGCGCCTGACCCTAGCGACCGCTCCGACGCTGGACTCAAGTTTAGTCCAGCTTTGAATTAGACGAGCCAAGACCTCGCTGAAGCCAATGACCATAACCAAGCTCACGCCTACGCTGCTTGCGCTGAACTTGTCGTGCCAAGTCACCACCGTAGACACCAAGATGACTGCTAGTGCGGCCACGAGGAGGTTGAGGACAAAAGTCAACCAAGCCTGTATACAACTCTGCAAGTAGTTTGGCCGTTGAAATGTGTCGATGTAGCCGTAGTTGCGCTTCTGGTACTGGGCCTGCCATCCGAAAGCGCGTACGGTTGCGCCACCGGCAACAGACTCAGAGAAGTGCGTATATAGAGGTGCCTTGGCTTCGATCCCAAGAAGTCGTATCTGGCGTGATGTCTGGAGGTAAAACCGTTGCAGGAAATAGAGTATGGTGGCAAGAAACGGTAGGGTTATTCCAAGATACTGAGAGAAGACGGCTAGAATGACGGCTTTTGCCAGAACCGAGATAGCGGCTAGTGAAGGTTTCAGTTATTTGCATCATCCATTCGGCTGCGGGGTACTGACTCGAGGTGTAGTTCACCATCGTCGCAGGCAAGTCCATATCGACAAGTTGCATGTCTTCGCTGAATCTACGACAGGGGTTCATAAGTGAGTGTCCCGTCACCAGCGCCGCGAAGATTGTGTGAGACCCACCTGTTGAGAAGCTCGCCGCTGTCCGTCTTGGACAAGAACCTGAAAGATGCTCTATATGGATAAGCTTCATCAGCATGAGCAGTCTTATCTGAGGGACGTCTGCGAAGACTTACGAAAAGACAGTTTGAAGAAGATCGCTGTGCAAGCCGAGAGCTGTGTTGGGCACTACGTCGAGGAAGGCAAACCAGGCGGCCAGAGATGCGCCGACCGTGCCCAAGGTCCCGATCATGACATAGATGCCCAGGTAGTACCCGACACTCTTCTTAGGCGCAGACGTGTTAGGCTCAGACCACCACTTTATCCAAACGGCTGGCAACGCTTGAATTAGCTTTTTTATCGCTTCGGAATGTCGGTCAACCAGTGCTTACTTGAAAATTCGGAAAAGAAAATCCAGGTTACAACGGAGATGGTGTACATAAATACAGCCTTCCTACCGGCACTTCTCAAGTAGTATAGGTAGACTGCCTTCTCTCCGTTCTTCCGTCGGATGTCGGTATGTTCTAGCGAGGCTTGAGAATGTGTGTCTGCTGATCTGATTGTAATCTTCTCGGGAGGCTCAGAGGCTTTGTCTATCTCAGCCTTCCCAAGCTCCTCGATCACATCGCCAGAAGTGCACTTCAGCTCGAGCTTGATGACATATCCCTTCCCATTAGACAGAGTCATAGGGCTGCCAGCTTCCTGAATTCTTCCGCTGTCGATCACAATCAAGTTATCTGCGAATTGCATAATGCTGCCTGCGATGAGAATTGTGTCAGTAGCATGCACACTAAGTACACGGGAGATCAAGGCGTTTTAAGCTTACGATCATGTGTTGCAATCACAGCTGTTATGTGATGTTGTCGGAAAAGACCCTTGGATCCCAAGAGGCGGGTCGTGACATGGCGAGAGGTATGAGCGTCAATCCCACCAAAGACGTCGTCAAGAATGACCAGTTTACATCTTGAATAGACAGCTCGTGCAAGTGCCTACAAGCCAAAAGCTAAACGTCAATTCTCTGAAGTCAAAGCATATACAGAACGGGAGAATGGATGGCCACTTACGACGCGCTGTTTTTGTCCCCCACTGAGATTAACACCGTTGCTGCCAATGACAGTCAGGTCGCCCTTCTCGAGTACCTTTAAGTCGGGTTCGAGTCCACAAGCAGAGACAACGCTGTCGTACCACTTTTGCTCAAAGGCGGAGATACCGAGTATGTTTTCCCGGAGAGTCCCGTTCTCGAGCCAGGGCGACTGCGAGCAATAAGCCATGGCGCATCTGCCAATACCCTCTGTTGGCTCCGGAGCTTCAATCGAGGATCTAGACTTGAGCTCGCCTAGTATTGCACTCAGGAAGCTTGATTTGCCGCTCCCTACCGGACCAACTACAACAGTCAACATGCCTCGGGGTACATTGACGGTGATTCCATGCAGCACCAGTTGATCTTTCGTCCATCCAAAGCTCTGGTCTCTCCAGGAAACAATGTGCTGTTGTGTCTCACAAAGGGGGTCCATCCTCTTGAGTTGCTCCAGGCCAGGTTCTATTTCCGGTGAGAGGTCTTGCGGAATTAGAGCGCCGGTCCATTCATCGCTCAGTGTGGACTTGCGATTGTAGTTGCAGAAGTCTTGTATACGACTGAAACACCCAAACGATTGCACCACCATTGGAAGTAGCTGAATGAACTCAACGACTGGTGTTGTGAGGAGCGCAATCAAGGCAACGGACGTAAAGGCTTGTGCTGGCAATAAGGTAGTGTGCTGCCAAAAGACGGAGACGATGACATAAACAGCGAAAGTGACAATAGGGGCGAGATTAATTGGAGTGATCGCTGGTTGTCCGTGATCAGAAATTGGCAAAAGTCTTAATTCCTCGCCGGGGCTGGGGCACTTACAAAGCAGCAGCGTTGTAACGAGAAGCTTCCTGAATGACTTCGAGGTTTCGACTTCTTCGATTCTTAGCCTCTGGAGCACATTTGCCATCACACGGCTGAGACCAAGCATTTTGACAGCCTTCATATCGCCTAGCATGATCGTCGTCACACGAAGACGCTCTTGAATTCTCTCAATCCAGCGTATCTGCGCTGTTTTGGTAGCCACCGAGATCCTGGACGTCGCTGCAATGAAGACTACACATCCGAGGTAAGCGAATTTGACGCGTAAATGGAGATCACTGATCTCTTTCACATACCTAGAACGAGGAGAATAGGGGCTAAGCAAGCCAGTGAAAGCTGGCGTCCAAGCAACCAGCTGGCGATAGCAATGTCGAGAAGCGATGCCCAAACTGAATGGAACATGGACATGGCGCCAAATATCCGCTCGACGTCTGTCCCCATGAGGGTGACCGCGGAAATTTCTCCCATGTCCACCTCTCTGGTATGAACAGCGTGCTGGTAGAGAAGAGCAACCAGACCCCCGCGGAGTCTGGTGGCAAAACGGAAGTTGTGGTATTGGTAGACCGAGGTGCTCGCCGCAATACCTAGATAGACTAAAGCCCACGCGCATATTAGGCCTCTGCCATAGTTGACGTCGGGATTGGTTTCAGCGACATAGGTGACGGTTGTGTTGATAAGAAATGGCTGGGCGAATGTGAAAACGCTGAGACATAGTCGGGGAAGTATTGGTGACAGGAAGGGACCAAGGTAACTTCGGAAACAAGCTTGAAGGAGACTATGCCGTTGTTCATGGTCATCTAGGAGGCAATCGAGGTCAGCAGTGTCTTGATCGAGTAAGATCGCTTGCTGGCACGAGGATTATAGCTTACATTTGTCCCACACTTTGGCAAGCCTTGTGTGCAACCTTTGGCTTTTGATGCTTGGGTCAAGACCTGGAAGATCACTCAAAGATATGACTTTAGTATATCCCAAATGGAACGTCCTTGCCAACCACCAAAAGCAAGTCCTCGCCCAGAAGCCGCTGCTTTGTTCCGGTGTTGCGTGCTTGTCGTCGTTCGGAGGTTCTGAATCAGCCAATCGCTTCTTCATCGCAAGAGATTCCAAGACCAGAGCCACAATAGTTATGAAGAGGATTAGAGTAAATATGGTGGGCAACGTGAGTTCTTTGCTGAAGAGCCACAAAGTCCGAAGTCGCGCAATACCCAGAATACTAGATGCGGAAAGATACAACACAATCAGCGTAGATGGCCTCTCGGACCTTTGGTGGGTTGAGGCGGAGAGCGCAAAGACTGCAACCGTTGAGATTACTGCTAGGATATCGGCAGGAGTTGATGCCGACGTCTTGAGTGGGGGGTTGCTTATGCGCAGAGCAAGATAGACGACCTGAAAAACAAACAATGCGGTCAATGTCGTCTTTGGGATTATTAGCTATATGATAACTGCAGAAATTTTACATCAACAGTCCCTTGGAAGCAAACGTACCAATTTACCATGAGACAGCTTGGAATGGAGAGTCGAAACAATGCGTCTGCGACTCAGGCCAATGAAAGACGCTGGCGCAAGAAGGAGGAGAAGGCCAGAAGGTAAACAGGCGAAAAACACGTCTTCAAAGAACAAAGTAAAGTCAAATGAACGACATTGGTGATCGACTCTTGGTCCGAAAGACCGATCGCCCAATGTCCCTTGGCAAGACATGGTCAAGCTTAGGGGCAATTAAATGTGTTCAACAAGGCGAGAGAGTTGGTGTGTTGGTATGGGTCATACTCTTAACGAGGCAATTGGCTTTGGTAAATGGCTCAGGGAGGGCTGGGATTGCAAGTGCATATGGGCTCTTCAAGACATAAGGTTGGACGCGCGTGTCCGAATGCCTACCTCGATTTCAGTGGTGCAGACACTGACGCGTTGCCCGCTGCCTCATTTCATGATAAGAAGTTCTGGTAGCCCAGGCTGCAACTTGCGTGTCCTGGACCTTCTCATCTTGCAGTACTGGCGGCATTGGCCAATGGCAGAGTGACTTGCAGATAACCCCTGCTCAAGTTGCCGGAAGTAGACCCTCGTATTTACACAGTTGATGTCGTGAAGCCAAGTCAGGGAGCAGACAGCATTTCACCGACCGCTTTTTCATTAGGCCTATAACAATGACCCGGTACATATTGTCGAGGCTGTATTTACATAAATATCAACGGTACGTCTGCCTATCAGTCTACTCGTTTATTTTACCATGAAACTCACTTCCATTTAGGTAGTCTTCCTATTTGGATCGTTAACCGCACTTCAATGGCAATCGTATCTGCGGAGCGTTCTACACTGGGCGCACATGGACTAATGTCGAGGAATCCTGTTGTGCATCTCCATGAAAATGGCTTATGGGAAGAGATCGGATCTTGGAACTATTCGTAATTAGTCTTGGTGAAGGATGCCTTATGATGTAAAGCTGATACTATTAACCAAATGCCGCTTAAGCTGATTGATGTTTGCCCCTTGTGACAACGTTACATCCCAGGTCACAGCTCGCCATACCGTTTGAGGGATAAAGTCTACCTTGTTCCACCAAGCAAGCAAAGATAATCTCACCGATGTGCGGGCTATGCAGATAAGCTTAGTTTGGCAGCCTCGGATCGTCGCACAACATCTTTCAGCTGCGGGGGATGAGGGTGTAGAGCCTCGCAGAGCTGAGACATCCCTGAGTCTTCATCTTCCACACTGTTGTCCACAAAGAGCGAAGATGGCTCTGCCTCCTACGTCACAGTCAAGCGTTTAATGTGCCCAGCTGAAGAGTTCAATCAGGCATGGCGTGCAGCATTGCATACCATACTGACACATGGTCACCACGAAGCGGGGAATCTGTCTCCCCGTCTGACCCGCTATAGTAGCTTCTTTCCAGGGGTGCCAGGACAGGCACGACAGGCAAGACAGGGTCCAAGACGAACCAAGGGACCAGCTCAGAAGGTTGTCTTAAAAAGTGTGTCGCACAGTGCCAAGATCGTTTCGACAGCTCAGTGACATATGACGCCATTCTGTAGGGCTCTAGATCTGCAGGATCTTCAAGGGATTGAAGGCTTGTTTCTTATGTGCGTAGGTACTATGGTCACTAGGTGTCTAAGTAGGTAGAATGTAGGTTACTGGTTTTGAGTAAGGACGTCGAGGTAAAGTAAACACCTAAGAATGAAACCAATCCGAACGAAATTTCCGCAGGACTAATCGAGTTCCCAGAACTGCCATCGCCGTCGAGAAGCAACAAAATTTATCGTTGTGGTTATGGCCTGATGAGGGTGAGCCTACATGTATCTTTGTGACCAAGATCCTGCCTTTGCCCCTCATGTCCGCATCGACCTAGGCAATGTTTGGTCCCATCTTCGTTTCTGTCCCATCATCATAGGCTAGTATGACCTTAGTTTCGGCCGCTAACGTAGCTCTGTAGGGCCATCCCGCTGCACCCTTGCAGGGAAATAGCAGTGTGAGTGGCTGATCATTTTGAACTAATCGTTGATGGCTTAGGTGAACCCCAGACTACATACCACCAAACAGGTCAGAGATATCCTGGATTGAACACATCTCGATACGATGAACGTTATAGCAGCTTTGAGTTGATCAAATGTGAGGTCGAGTGACGAGTGCCAAGCTTCATGATCAGCTCGAGATGCTGCCATGGTGTGCACATACTTTCAGCTACGGCCGCCTCGCTGATGTTCTGTGTTGCATAAGCTCGGACAAACTTATGGAAGGGAGCTGTCTGCTGGAAGAGGCAAGATGACTGATGACTTCGAACTATAAAGCCAACGGCTCAACGCGGTCTTTTGATGAGATAGAAAGTTGCCATTGCAGTGACGCACTTCTACAACATTATCAACATAATCCTCCAACACAGCTTCTTTCGAAACATCACCATGAGATATCAATCATTTGTCGTCTCCTCTTTTTCAGTGCAGGCCGCGCTAGCGGCGCTGAATGAGCCCTGCTATGGCTCCGGTGGTAGAGCCGGTACGATGATATCACCCGTGTCTCGACGAAAGGCCCTTGACTGACTCTTCTCCCAGGTGTTTGCGTAACTACAAGTTCCTGCTCCTCGAACGGAGGCACAACTGTTGACGGCGCTTGTCCCGCCGATGCTTCCAACATCAAGTGCTGCACCAAAGCTTCCTGCGGAAGTGGGGGCAATTGTCGTTGGACAAGCGACTGCTCAGGAACATCTGCTTCCAACCAGTGTCCAGGTCCTAGTGGCTTCAAGTGCTGCTCTTCCACTGCCACCGGATTCGGCGTCTACGATGATCCAACCATTCCATCTGTTGGTGCCTGTAAACAGGTTGCAGTCAGCGGCGCAAAGAAGATTGTCGCAGCGTTTCCTGGGAGGGTCAGGCAAATCTACTGCACTCGCGACTGCACATGCCCTGGCGACTCGGATCATTGCTGCGGCAAAGCGACAGATATGATGTGCTCTGATGCTGGTGGTGTGAGTGAATCCCACCGCGTTGATTGTTTGCTTCCAACATTACGTGGCTGATTCCTCTGCAGGTCCCCACTATCTCAGGCAAGGAGATTGCCGAGTGGGTTATGAATAACCGAGCAACGCTCGACCTTAAGTACGTTATCTGGGGCCAGAAGATCTGGAATCCTTCTCAGGACTCGGTCAAGTCTTGGTCTAGCTGGCGAAGTATGGATGATCGCGGAGACTTTACTGCGAATCACTGGTGAGTTTCTCTGCTCAAATATAACCCTAGAACCCTGTACTCATTCAATTCCTAGGGACCATGTTCACGTGAGCTATAACTAAGGGTGAAGTGAGCTCATCGGGACGTAAGAATCGAGGGCGCAATGAAACAGGGCAGGGCCTGGCCCGGCTTGAGGAGTCATTGGATGGAAGAATTTGCAAAGAGAATCCGTACCGTGTACGTCCTCACCGAAGCAGGAATACAGATAGTTTCGCGAGCGTGTGCCGAGGTGGGCTACTATGCAGTTGGAACCCGTGCCGGCTCCTGTACCCGAAAATAGACATGAGCCCTGCCCTGTTTACGAAGCTGTCCTCGTAAAGGTTGAATTTGAATCCGGAGACAATTATTTAGCCACCTCGGTGTAATGAAATTTGTGTTCTAAGAATGGCAGGTGGTGATCATAGTTGTAGACAAAAAACTCCTGCCCAACAGGAGATAGCAGGTTATTACGCGCCAACTTTTGCAGCATGCAGTTGACACATATGCACCAGGTCATCCAAAGAGGATCTTTTACTACTCTTCCGCTTCAATCCGATAGGACCGTGGACTTGTCTCTTTTCTAAGCAGAGAGCCCACATATATCACATTCAACCGCGTGGTCAAAACCAACATGCATACAGCACTTCCCTCTGGCTAAGATGAGGGGTAAGATCCCGAGCCAACAGGCTTCTTGTGTTCAAAAGTTGCGTTGCTCGTCACGATCCGAGACGCAAGATCAGTTCACGCAGTCGTCGTATTATGAGAAAGCCCGCTTCTTCTCCAGCGAAGCTGATACAATGACATCAAACACTGATGCAGCCGCAGCGGCCCAAACGGCCTCTCCCCTTCGATTATCTCCCGTGGGGCAGGCTCAACAACCTAAACTCACAACCACCATCGCCCCGGACCTTCACCCAGATGATGTGAGAATACAATAGAAGTCAGAAACCTGTGTTTTCTTTTACTGATTGAAGAAAGTCTGGAGATGACTCCTCTGCAAGAGGGGAGGTGAGGTTTAGCCCGGCCATCCTGAAAGGGTCTTCTTATTGACGGCAGTGATTTGCAGAGCATTGCTTCCTCCAGCACTAGCGTGACTGACTCTGTACTTCAATACCGTCTTGAAAATGGAAGGACATACCATAAGTACAAGGATGGCAGTGAGTTAATGAAGAAGAGAGTCCGGAGATGTAACGGACCATGATCACTAACAGAGTACAGAATATGCCATTCCCAATGATGAGCAAGAGAAGGAGCGCCTTGGTGAGACGCCAAATTTCTTGCCAATCTTTGTCTCTGACCCAAAGCTAATTCATATGGAAAGATGTGCAGCACAACATGTTCCTACTCACTTTCGACAATCAACTCGGAACTGCACCTCCCAACAAGAAGGACTCTGTTATTGAAGTGAATAGAGTTCTGGACGTTGGAACTGGAACTGGAATTTGGGCTATAGAGTTTGGGGACGAGCACCCCGAAACTGAAGTGAGTGGAAGTCTTAGACTCGATCACCTATACGTGACTGCTACGTTGCTGACTGTAGAGCGCGATTTGAACTCAACAGGTTCTTGGGGTTGACCTTTCGACAATTCAGCCAGTATCGTAAGTTTTGGCGCTTGCTGTTGGTTTGTATTCACGACTGACCTGCTTTTTTCAATAGCACGCCCCCGAATGTGAAATTTGAGATTGATGATATTGATGAAACGTGGACATATTCGCGGCCCTTTGACTACATCCACAGCCGAATGATGACATCCAGCATCGGGGATTGGAAGGTATATCTCCAGAAGTGCTACGAGTAAGTTGACTAATCTAATATCTATACTATACGCCACTAAATCCTTCTCTAGTCATTTGAGTCCTGGAGGATACGTAGAGTTGAACGAAGTGGACCTCAAATCCGGGTGCGATGATGGGACTCTCAAGGATGACCACGCATTGCTGAGAATGGGTCGCCTGTGGGGTGAAGCTGCGGAATATTTTGGCCGACCTTTCCAAAATAACAGAGACTTGATCACTATCTTGAGCGATATCGGCTTCGTTGAGATACATGCCCAAACCTTCAAGTGGCCCTCGAACCCCTGGCCGAGGGATAAGAAGCACAAGGAGCTCGGGTACTGGAATTACGAGAACTCTATTGCAGGCCTTGAGGGCTTCATGATGGCGCCTTTTACGAGGGTTCACAATTGGACTAAGGAAGAGGTCGCTGTGTTTGCTATGGAGGTTCGGAACGAGATGAAGGATCCTAAGATTCATTCGTATTCCAACATGTAAGTGACACCACTCTCCTCAGCACCGTGTCCATCGGTCAACTAATCTTTTTAGCTGGTCAATTTATGCCAGAAAGCCTACGGAAGAGCAGAAAACTAGCGGATGAGATTTGGAGGCACGCAGTTTCTGGAGAATACATGTACATTTTACTCGCACAACATAGTTTCGGTGCCCACTGTCCTGTGTATTTCCTCTTATAGGCTCAATAATAACCCTAAGCACTCGTCACTTCCTTTCTTCATTTCTTCTTCTTCTATAATATAGGTAAATGAGCCAGTGATCCGCCTCTTCTCGCGCTGTCGAATTATCTGAAGTCCCCTCTTGCAAGTTGGTACTTTCATCCCATTATCAGCCAGAACAGGCCTGTCCGAGCATGTTCGTCTCGCGAGGTGTTCCGCTGCCCCATGTGGAAGGGACCGAAGGGTGCCACTCCGCGATCCCTGACCTGCATAATCCACACAAGGTGCACTAAGGGATCAGTTACCGGCTTTCCGCTCCAACGTGATAGGTTTACATGCGAGGTGTAACCGGGCTGAAAGCTGGCCGGTAGCTTTCTTCATCAGGAAAAACAACCGTTCCTTCCCGCATGGTCGCCGCAGACGTGCGTAAATATCACATCTCAGGAGAGGGGTAGCCTGCCATCGAACGATGAGCTTGCAAGCGATAGAACCAACAGAAACCGGTCACTGCGTCCAACAATTTGAAGCAAAGATACATAACAATGCGTCTCCCAGCTACGCATAAACCAATTCAAGAGAGAATTGACGTTTGTGCCTGAACCATTTTTTGCCGCGCACTATGTCCGACGTCAACCAACCACGCAGCGCTGGGCAGGGTCCAAAATCGGCTTCGTCCCGGGGTGTTTCTCCCCACAACGCAAACAATGCACAAACACGAACTACACCCGCTCTAGATGCCGAAGAGGTAACAAACCCGTTTGGCACCTTTCACTTGATTTTATTGCAGCACGGACTTACTCCATTGCAGCCCAGCGAAGATGATCTTTCAATCAGAGGCGAAGTACGTGTTAATTACCTCATCCCTCTCTATTCTCAACCGAACGGAAAACACGCACAAAACTTTTGTCTAAGCACCTTACAATCTAGAGTGTCGCGTCATCAAGTATCAGTGTGACCAGCTCCGTTCTTCAGTTTCGGACAGAGAATGGGCGAACATACCATGGCTACAAAGACGGCAGTAGGTTGTATCACTTTGTTTCAATGGAAGAAAGCTAACAGCAGACAGAATATCTCATGCCCAACGATGAGAGGGAAAGTGAACGATTGGGTTTGAAGTCCCTGTTTGCCTGTGCATCCTCAACTCGCAATCTCTAATCGTCCAACAGACATTCAACACAACATGTTCATCCTCACTTTCGATAACCAATTGGGAAGTGCCCCAATAAACGCGAAAGACACCAAAATCAAGGCGGATCGAGTACTTGATGTCGGCACAGGTACCGGTATCTGGGCGATGGATTTTGCAGATGAACATCCAGAATCCGAGGTGATTGGAAATACCGTTGAACCAATAGCTCAACTGCTGACCGGCTTCCTTTCAAGGTTCTCGGTGTTGACCTCTCGCCCAATCAGCCAACCTTGTACGATCAGTCCGGTTCTGAGGCGGGATCAACTTTTGCAAAGGACTCGCTGACACTGATGTAGTGTTCCCCCTAACGTGAGATTCGAGATTGATGATATCGAGGAGCCGTGGAATTTCTCGCAACCCTTTGATTACATTCACAGTCGTCTGATGACAGCATGCATTGGTGACTGGAAGCAGTACATACAGAAATGTTTCGAGTAAGTTACGTGCACAAGTTGATCAACCAAATTCATGCTGATAACGCAATCACTGAAGCAACTTGAACCCCAACGGATATCTTGAGCTCAACGAAGTCGACTTGTACGGCAAGTCAGACGACGGTACACTCGCCGACGATTGCGCCATACACAGGTTCTCAAAGCTGTGGGGCGAAGCGGCGGTCAAATTTGGGCATGCATTCCAGGACAACTCGACTCTTAAGGACCTCATGACCGAGGCCGGGTTTGTTGACATCAAAGTGCAGTTATTCAAGTGGCCTACCAACCCGTGGCCTCAGGATGCAAAACATAAAGAGCTTGGGTACTGGAACCTCGATAACACTATTGCTGGGCTCGAAGGTTTCATGCTAGGTCCTTTGACGAGAGCCCATGACTGGAGCAAAGACGAGGTTACAGTCTTTGCAATGGAAGTCCGCAACGAGATGAAGAATCCGCGCATTCATGCTTACCAGACCATGTAAGTGGCTCTACTATCGACAAGTTACCTATTGAGTATTTGGCTAATTCTCGGATCAGCTGGTCTGTATACGGTAGAAAGCCTGCTGCGGAGGACGTTGCGGCCAACTGATTTATCAATGGTTAATTGAATCTGGACTTGCCTTGTGGTGGTAGGCAATGTGGTCTAGTGATGGAGATGGCTGCTAGGATAGCATTTAATGGAGAGTAGCCATCACGCGCGTCCATTCTTCTCAGGACCTGTGTTGACTTGCGTACTCACATGCTCTTCTAGCCAAGAATACAAACCAGGAATGTTTTGATCTTACGTTTGACTCTTACCTCATGTTGACGTTGGTCATCCGCCTGGCCGCTAATTCGAATGACCGTACTACTGTCGATTGATAGTGAAAGCATGAAGCATTCTGCAGAGCGTTACATTTCCAAAGAGCCAATCGTCAAACATCTTGAGCCAGCCACGGGTACTCCGTAAATATTGTTGGTAACTCAGACTAGACTAGGGTCAGAAATCTTGAGATCCACTGTTCACTGCATTCGAGGATCTGATACGTGCATCATATCATTTTTTCGGGGGTTTCCTCCCTGGATATTGTGTTGGATGGGACGCTCGCCGCAAACATGCATGACTGTACCCAGCCAAGGAGAGGGGTAATAACCCATCCTGCTTTAGTCATTCATTTCGACAGATAAATCAATTAACAGGTCTGCTGCCGAGTCTTGTTCCTCTTTATTTCAATTCCAGGCAATATCATCACCAAATCTTTGCGTCAAACTCCAGACGCGACTCTCTCGATCCACCCCCACGCCTGCGCAACAGCGTCTTCGAGAGCAATACTGCCAACGATGTGCACGACAGATAACACGGCCAACAGCCCGCCACGTGCAGCTGGGGGAAATCAAAGTAACATCGCGCTAGACGACCGCGATGATATTGCTGCCGAAGAGGTAATGCCAGGTATGCGCCAATTACATTTGGTACAGCGCACTAACATTCCTATTTCCTAAGATCACGGACGATGATGCCTCTGCTACTGGCGTACGTTGCCTGTCCTGAGCCGTTTATAATAGCGGATAAACAAGATCATCAATTGAAACATTTTCTAGCAAAGTGTTGCTTCATCTAGCACAAGCCTGTCCAGCTCGATCTTCGACTACCGCTTAGAGAATGGCAGGACTTATCACAAGTACAAAGACGGCAGTGAGATTTCTGGTAGACTTTCTACGCGACAGTAGTACTGACTCGGGCAGAATATTATGTTCCGAACGACGAGACAGAAAACGATCGACTTGGTTTGTGCAGCAAGGCCTTTTCTCTGCGGTTTCTCCAGCCGCTCAGTGCGGTAGTGGAACTGTCACGTTAACATTAGATCCGACAACTAGATCTACAACACAACATGTTCATCAGAACTTTCGGTAATCGACTGGGCACTGCGCCCCCCAATAACCCTGAATCCAAAGTTGGTCGGGTATTGGATGTCGGTACAGGCACAGGAATTTGGGCGATGGAGTTCGGGGATGAGCACCCTGAAGCTGAGGTCAGGCGCTGAACAGTCATCAACGACTCACGAGCGCAGCGAAATTTTTCACACTTTACTAACATTGAGGTCGCAGGTTCTCGGCATTGATTTATCTCCTGCCCAACCAGAGTTGTGAGTCAAGTTGAATGGTCATTCTATATACAGAGACCATAGCTGACTTATGCTGCTAAAGTGTACCTCCGAATGTACGCTTTGAGATCGACGATCTCGAGGAGCCTTGGACATACTCTCGGCCATTCGACTACATTCATAGCCGTGTACTCGATTCATGTATCACTGATTGGAAGGCTTACTTCCAACAAAGCTTTGAGTACTGATGTCCATCACCTCCACTTACGACAAGATGACCGTTACTAAACTAAACTTTGTGATAGTCATCTAAATCCAGGTGGTTATCTTGAGATCCAGGAGATCGACGCCGAGCCTCGTTCTGACGACGGGACCTTGAGAGCCGATTCATCCCTGATGAAGAGTCTGCGGCTTTTGAAGGAAGCAGCAGACTTCTTCAAGCGCCCTTTCCAAGACATCAAGTCGCTGGCTGATATCATGGCCGAAGTCGGCTTTGAGGACATCCATCTGGAGAGATACAAGTGGCCTACGAATACATGGCCAAAAGACCGGAACTACAAAGAACTCGGCGGGTGGACCTATGAGAACCTAGCTATTAATTGGGAGGCGTTTCTCATGGCGCCTTTGACTCGGGCTCTGAACTGGACAAAAGAGGAGGTGATGATACTTGCTATGGAGGCAAGAAAAGATCTTGGTGACAGAAGTGTCCACGCTTACTTCACAGTGTAAGAAGAATGCCCTACTCTCGGCGCCCATGGGCGAATTTTGTCTCAATACTGACACTCTACAGCTGGGCGATACACGGTCGAAAGCCATTGAAGGCCAAGTCGACTGAAGAAGGAACTACTGCCTGAGTAGTTGAGCCCTCAACTGCACGGCTTCTGACCTAAGAAGCAGGGTTTCAGCGAGACCTGATCTTTTGATTTGAAAGACGTTCATGAGTCATAATCATTGATTTTGTTTGCCTAATAATAACCTTCAAACGTATCTTCGTGATCTTTTGCCACCAGTGAAACAGCTTCTTTGATTGTTGGGCTGTCGTCCTTGGGCCCCAGCACATCGAATGCCAGCCCGTAGGTCTTCTCGTTTTGAATCGCGGCGTAGATGACCTTGGCGACATCTTCCCTGGGAATCATGCCCACAGTGCCAACCTTTCCAGCTCGTGCCTTCCCAGTACTAGGTCCCTCAGTCAAGCCACCAGGTCTCACGATGGTGTAGTTGAGCTTGCGATCCGCATTCCCCACCCTCAACTCCGTGTCGGCCGCTAGCTTAGCCCGGAGAATGGGACCGATGATACCCCACATGCGGTCGCTGAGCTTCTCATCGGCCTCGGTGTACCAGTCCGGAACGGGCTTGCTGTCTCGGTCGCGGACGTCGAGGGCGCTGACGACGATGTAGCGTTTGGCGACCACGCTGGCCTTGGCCAGGGCATCCATGGCGCGAATGGCTCCATCCCGGTCAACGGCCTCAGCAGACTGGGGGTCCTTGCCACCAGCAGCCCACACCACAATGTCAGGCCGGGTGCCTTCAATGATTTTGATAAAGTCGACCTCGGAAGCCGTAGCAATGTCCTGGACAATTGGCTTTGCGCCGATGGCTTCCAAGTCCGGAACCTGTTCCGGATTGCGGATAACGCTGAAGATGGTGTGCGGGGTATCGGCGTCCCGAAGGATCGTTGTCAATTGACGGGCGGTTTTGCCGTTGCCACCAAATATGAGGGTGGTTGGCATGTGAAGGATTGAAGCGTCGCCCATGTTGAATCGTTGTGCTTATACACGTAGTATCTGAGTTGAGATATAACAAGAGGTCACACAGGTACCAGGAGATATGTCGGACGATTAACGAAGCTCCGAGAGCGCCGAACCGTTAGCTCCTGAATTGACTTCGATGACGGCATAATCCCGACACGCACTGGAACGGAAGAAGTCCAGGGCCGGAGGAAAGGTTTCGGGCAGTCGTTTTTCCGTACACTGGACGGAACTTGGTCAACGCCAAGTCGCACATTCTTACAGCACATTTTACCCCCTAGGAAGATTGCTTACTTCACTGATTGAGACTTTCAGCAATCAAGTTAGGTTTCTGTCAAACTTAGAGGCCCAAAATTATGTGGGCAAAGTGGGTGAACCCCGAGCCAGAAGCCCCCAAACCGTGTCAGAACTTCAGTCACGACCGCTCTGCCTGCAATCTTCGCACTTTTGCATGTCAAGAAACAACTGCCTGTTCGATTCGCCTTGTCGGACGATACCTCGGATTCCTCTTGCCATGATCCCGGCCGAGTTCTATGTCGAGTGATCCGGATCTGGTAGGGCGTCCGCCCACGCAGCATCTTTACACGAACAAGCTACAGCACGCTGCGACGGTGTGCTGATCGTCACCCACGTCGCTCGTATTTCAGGCTGTATGCTAGGTAATTACAGCTGCCTTATTGGGCAGGAGACTATACCCCACGATGCATTGGGGATAAGCTAGGGAGGCCTGGTTTCGGGAAATGAACTAGACCAGCACTTAACTTCAAGCATATCTGGGCAGGGTCCACAACGGTAGGAACCGATGGGATGATGGGAGCTCGCTATCGGCATTGAGAGGAATTAGAATAGCATGGTGGGAAAGGGGAATGCGAGATCTTGTCCCCCCAAGCGCACAAATGTCTCCGTCCCATCACTGCAGGGACCAAGGGTCGCCCCGTTCAACGTTGCATTGCCGAGATGGAAGAGCTTTTCTGGAAACCCATAAAGCGAATGAGGGCTGGCATGATGTGAGATGAACTGAATATTTGGTCGCGCACCTGCCTTTCGTTTCAGTCGTTCGCTATAGGCCTGCACCCATCATGAAGCAGAGCATCCTGTCCACGCTCGCTCTGGCGTCCATCGCCGCAACGGAGTATGTCTGACCTTCTTAGTACGATGAGATTGAGGATCACCTCTCTCTTCAGTCCGGATACCTTCGCAGAGGTTTCATCAATGGTCAGTTGCCTCTCTATCACGGAATTTCAACCAACTACTGACAATAGATTAGGCGTCATTACCTGTGGCTTCGGCACGAGCATCCCAGGCCGTCAGAACTCTGCTGAATGGATCCGCGCCGCTTTCCATGACATGGCCACGCACGATGCCGCCGCCGGCACTGGTGGTTTGGATGCTTCCATCTTCTTCGAGCTGGATCGCCCAGAAAACATCGGAGGCGCCTTTAACAACACCTTTGGATTCTTCAGCAGCTTCCACTCCATTCGCGCCTCTGCCTCTGATCTCTTGGCAATGAGTGTCCTCGTCGCCAGCTTTTCTTGCGGCGGAATCCAAATCCCGTTCCGTGCCGGCCGTATCGACGCTCAAGAGGCCGGCTCTGCTGGTGTCCCCGAACCTCAGACCGATCTCAACACTACTCAGGAAGCTTTCACCAAGGCAGGCTTCTCGCAAAGCGACATGATCGCCATGGTGGCGTGCGGTCACACTCTGGGAGGAGTGCACAGCATGGACTTCCCCGAGATCGTCGGCGTGGAGGCGGACCCGAACAACGACACCGTAGCCCACTTCGATACCGAATTCGCTAACTTCGACAACGTCGTCGTGACCGAATACCTGGATGGTACAACCAAGAACCCTCTGATTGTTGGAACGAATGACACCCTCAACTCAGACAAGCGCATATTCGCCGCAGACGGAAACAAGACGATGCAAGCCATGGCCGACCCCGCTGCTTTCCAGACCGCCTGTGCCGACATCTTCACTCGCATGATTGACACCGTTCCCGCCAACGTCAAGCTCAGCGATCCCATTGTGGCCACAGACATCAAGCCCTACATCAGCGGCCTCTTCCTCAAGGACGACGGCAACCTGTCCTTCGGCGGAGATTGGACTGAAGCTCATGCCACTGGCTCCGAGATTCAATCTTACTGGCAAGGTGTAGCGGAAAGGTTCGACGTGCGAAAGTACATCCACTTCAAGCACAGCGTTACCTCTGCGGAATGGTCTGGGGGAAAAGGCAAATGGATCGTCAAGATACAGACAAACGACGGTGTAATTACTGACGAGGCCAACTTCCTGATAACTGCCACGGGTCACTTCAGCGACCCAAAACTTCCTCAGTATCCTGGCATCGATAAGTTCGAGGGACACTTACGGCATACCTCCAATTGGGATCCCAAGTTTGATCCAAAGGGGAAGCGGATCGCAGTCATTGGGAACGGCGCTTCCGGGCTACAAGTATTCCCTCAATTGCAGAAGGTGGCTACTAGCATCGACCATTACGCCCGCAACAAAACTTGGGTCGCAGCTCCGATCGGCGGGGAAGACTTGGCAGACTTTGTCGCAAAAATATCGAAGACGCGCGATCAGACCCCGAGAAGTATCTCAGCTTTCGCAAAGCCCTGGAGGGAAAGCTTTTCAGTCGCTTCGGGGACATCTTCAAAGACGGCCCTCAGAATGCAGCGGCTGAAGATTACATCAAAGAACTTATGAGAGCGCGGCTAGGGGCGAACTCTATGCTTGCTGACGAGATTATACCTGAGTTTCCGGTAGGCTGTCGGCGACTGACGCCTGGACCCGGCTATCTCGAGGCGCTGACTGCGGGAAACGTCAACAACATTACCGACAGAATCTCAGAGTTCACTGAAACCGGGATTCGGACTGTGGATGGTGCGTTATTGCCTGCTAATCGTGACGGGCTCTTTGGCTGATTCAGGGATTACTAGGCACTCTTCGTGAGGTCGATGCTGTAATTTGCAGTACAGGTCACGACATCACATTCAGCACCCAGTTCCCCGTTGTCCACAAGGGACTCGACCTACAAAAGGCTTGGAGGCCTGGCGGAAAACCGGGATTCCCAGACACCTACCTGGGGATGCTTGCTCCAGAGGTTCCGAACTTCATTACAGTACTCGGACCAAATGCCACAGGACCAGCAGGAACGCCGTGCCATGCGGTCGCGAACCAGCTCACATATGTTGCCAAAATACTTGGCAAGTTTGCAACCCAAGGTTTACGGACCATAGCTCCGTCAACAGCTGCGACTCGTGATTTCCGAGCCTATACTGAAGCTTTCTTTCCTCGCACTGTCATGAGTGAGCACTGCAGCTCCTGGTACAATGGCGGTATCAAGGGAGGGATGATCCATGGTCTCTGGCCCGGCAGTGCTGTTCATGTTGACCTGGTTCGAAAGGATCCGAGGTGGGAGGACTTTGAGTACACCTATCAGAACCCCCAGGGAAACAGGTTTGGGTGGCTAGGAAATGGCTGGACCAAGAAGGATGTTGCGGCTGCCCATGGCGAGAGTGGTGTGGAATTAGATCTGACTCCTTGGTTGGAGAAGGGTGCTTTAAGTGGTGATGTAGACCTGAGAAGCTACCATGAGAAATGGTGGGCGAGCTAGTAGCTGTTTCATTGTTGCAGTTCATCTAAGACTGAACATATAAATTTCATTACCATTACGAATACTGTATGTGTCTAGCTGCAGGAACTCAAGGCTCCCGTCTTCTGGAACACAACTTCGGCGGGGTTATCACCACCCAACTTGATGTCAAAGCTGGTGTTCCATCCGTCAGCATCGACGCTTCCAGTTGCTGTGTAAACCGACCACTGGCCCTGATCCTCTCCCTCCATAAGCCAGAGGCACTTCCACCTTGGAAGGTCGCCTTGCGGGTAGTGATGACGGTTGATCCGTTGCCGTTGCGGCCAGCGAGAGTCAGTTGGACCGAGAGATCATTGGGGTCTCGGTCAGTGACCGCGGTGGTGCGGATGCGAATGTGTAGAACACGCCATACACAGTCTAGCTTGCGAATCTGCTAAATCCCGGTTTTGTCCGGATTTCTGATAAGAAATTGCGAGACTCAAGCATCCGTACTTGCTGCCGAAATCGGCCACAGGTTGATTGCGTGATTCTTCAATTCTGAGGCAATGGTTTATCAACGGGAATAATGTTCTCTTTCGCCGATGGCAACAGACGCAGTATCAGCACATATCCTCCATTGAGCTCGACTCAACGCAGCACAGGTTTGCCCCGCCAACATGGACCCTCCCGCTAAGCGGCAAATAATCCTCAATGTATTTGACATGTTCACCCCGAGCCACCTATGCTTCGGCCAGTGGCGCAGGGGCGATGATGAAGTCGCCGACAAGTTTGGGGATCTCAATTACTGGACCAATCTCGCGCAGACACTTGAGTGAGGAGACATTAATGCATTGATATTGGCCGATACCTTTGGTCAGCACGATGTTTACAAGGGAAGCGCCGAACCGACGATACGAACGAGTTGCCCGTTCCCCATGGGTGATCCTGTTATAGTAAGCAACGAATTTACTGGTTTTGTCGGTTACCATGCATTGACACTAGGAGTAGCCGGTGACAGCGATAGCAATTATGACAAAGAAGCTTGGGTTCATCGTCACAACCAGTACGAGTTATGAGGCACCATTTGTCATCGCCAAAAGATTCTCAACCCTTGACCATCTTACGAAAGGCCGTTTTGGCTGGAACATTGTCACTTCTTTCAAGGAATCCGCTGCTAAAGCCGTACGTTAGACTCCTCATGCAAGCAATTGAAGCACATGGCTAAGGCTCAACAGGTCGGTGTGCCTTATGTTGAACACGATGAGAGATACGCCGCTGCTGATGAATACATGGAGTTGGTCTACAAGTAAGTATGTTCGATGACTGTCTATAAAGATTTAGGACTAAGGTATCAGAATCTGGGAAGGCTCATGGGCAGATGACGCTCTCGAAAAGGATGCAACAAGCAACACTTATGCTGATCCCAGTCGCATACGCTGGATCAAGCATCACACGGCAAGATTCAATGTGGATGCCCCTCACATCTTGCATCCTTCGCCTCAGAGAACTCCGTTTCTGATTCAAGCAGGGACATCGCCGTAGGTACAAATCACACAGAATACACAATTTAGGAACAACTAACAACCCCACAGCGCCGGTATAGCTTTTACTGCCAAGCATGCCGAAGGTATCATGATATCGGGGCTTTCACCTCACATTTTGGCGCCGCGCGTAGTCGCCATCCGTGAGAAAGCAGCTGAGTCTGGTCGTGATCCTCGTAGTGTCAAGATCTTCGCCGTCATTACGCCAATTATCGGAAGGACAGACGAAGAGGCTAATGCGAAATACCGCAAAGCCTTGGAATATGCAAGCTTTGAGGCTGGTCTTGCATTCTTTTCAGGCAATGCTGGAATAGACCTTGCCAAATATGACCTCGATGCCGAGATCAGACCAGATGATGCAACGATTGACGGGCGTGTACATTCGTTGGTCAGTAGTCTCAAATATCGTGGCGATGACATTCCCTCGTGGACGCCTCGCAACAACGGAAAGGCAATGGCAATTGGCGGGAACGTGAGCGGATTTATGGTGCTGATCAGAAACACCTCCGCAAGGACCACATTGGCAGTCAATACAGATATGATTAGAGCCGTGATGAGTATGAAAGACGGGACCATGTTGGCCTCTAAAGGTTGCTGGATTTCACTACTGAAGAGTGCATAAGAACCGGGATCTGGCTCCAATCAATGCAAACCCCCACTCGGCACGTTATGTTGTCATTTGTTCTAAACTTGCATCAGTTCCGAGAATTCGATAACAGGCCGAGAATGGGCTCTTCCGACCTCGCTCTTATCACTGAGGACGCAAGGGACTTCTGAAGTACCCTCTATCTCGATGCATCTTTCCCACCTGTGGACTCTCTCTCGGTCAAATTTCATCTACAACTACCCACCCAACGATTTTCGATTACCATGAACTCCAAAATTGGATCAAAAAGAGATGATGGTGATATCCTTGGATCTCAGAGACCCTCGTCATCGAAATGGGACCTCATGAGAGGTGTTATATGGGACGGTCCTCGAACGAAAGAAGAACATCGCCTTATACAACGTCTCGACTTCTTTGTGCTGTAGCGTACACTTTAATTCTAGTTTTGGCCTCAGAGCTGGACTGACGATGCTACAACAGAAGCTGGGCGACTTTTCGGTATTTCGTCAGACTACTTGACTCAAGTAACATAAGTAAGGACCATAATCTTGATCCTAGTGAAGAAAACAAATTCCTTACCATTGATAGCGAATGCGTATGTCAGTGGCATGAAAGAGGACCTAGACTTTCAAGGCAATGAGTACAACCTGCTGCAAACATTCTTTACTTGCGGGTATCTAGTCGGCCAATTTCCTTCACAGTTCCTGCTCACTCGTAGTAGGTCCCTGGGGTGCGATCTATTCTCATCTTCAACCAAAAAAGCTAATGGCTGCCAGTTCGCCCTTCAATTTATCTACCCATGACCGAGCTCCTTTGGACCATTGTCACCTTTTGTTTTGCCGCAGTCAAGGACGTTCGTCAGGTCTTAGCTATGAGGTTCCTGCTTGGATTTCTTGAAAGCCCCTTTGCCGTCGTCGTTCTAACCATCATGGGGAGTTGGTATACCCCGCGAGGTAAGAGCCGTCATTTCGCAAAAAAACTCTTATCTTTGCCCTAAACTCGTCCCGCAGAGCTTTCCAAACGGATCTCGATTTTCTACTCGGCCAGCTATGCTGCCAGTATGTTCAGCGGATATCTCCAGGCCGCGATTTACAAGGGTCTCAATGGAGCCGTTGGTCTCCCAGGCTGGCGGTGGCTGTTCATTTTCTGTGGCATAATCTCGATCTGGGCTCCTATCTGGGGATTCTTCGCCGTCCCTGACAACCCTCATATCACAAGGGCCCGCTGGATGCGTTACAGGTGAGCAATCAAAGCACATAGCGCTGATGGAGGCGATCGACCGGCGCAAACCCGAGCCTTTGACGAAAGCCAGGGTCTCAGCTATATTCACCAACTGGCCCATCTACGTCTTCAGCTTCGCCTTGATGTGAGATTTCTCTCCTACAAGTGTGGCTCCCTAGATGGAGGACGCTGGCGTAGATTGTACTTGTCATTGTGTTGTCACGCAGCCCCTCAACTACTTCTCGGTCTGGCTCAAGTCCTTGGACCGTTTCACGGTCTACCAAATCAATCTCTTTCCCACTGCAGCACAAGCGGTCGGCCTTGTGACTACTCTGCTGCATGCTTGGGTCTCTGATGGGCTGGGAAGAGGACCTCATCGGTATGATCATGGTAGCAGTCGAGTCCAGCTATGCACTGACCTTTGTCGGATATGTCATCAACGCTGCTTCGTGGGGCTTCTGGCCAGTCCTTTACGTGAGCCCTCTTTCTCTGTTGTTATTCTGACCCGTCACTGACGTCGACTAGGCGTGGGGCATTGACATCATGCACAAGAACATGGAGGAGCGCGCAATCGTCATCGGAGTCGCACAGACTCTAGGCCAGGCCTTCATCGCATGGGTTCCAGGTATGTAATTGCCTTTTCCTCGACATCTTCCAAAGATGCTGATTGTTGCAGTGATGATCCTCGATGTGGGTAAATACGCGCCCTCCTTCTACGTGAGATTCTCTGCCATGTGTGGAGTGGGCGTTTTGGAGCTTTCGAGTATTTTCCTCATCAGATACTTCGAGAAGCGAGAGGTGACGAAGAACGACCAAGAAATCACTAGCGAGTGATCATCGTTCTGTGAAAACTTTCATCATTTTCGGTATTAGTAATGTAATATTGAGATTTCCTCAACCCATAGTCTACAGATTTGCAGAGAGAACGCAAACGGCGTAGTTAGTCGGCACCTATGACTTGTAATGAGAGAGCCTGCAGATACTGGTGTTAGTTCTTTCCCGTGAGATACCAGCGATGTTCAACGCTGAGAAGTACTTACTCAATCAAGTTACCGTCGGGATCCCTCACATAAACGCTCTGAATAGGACCCTGAGCGCCCGTCCGCGCAACCACTTTCTCGCCCTCGAGAACCTGAACTCCGTCCCCTTGGAACCCCTTAATGAGCTCTTCGAGATTCGTGCCATCATCCACCAAGAAACAGAGATCAGCCGTGCCAGGCAGCGCGGTCTTGGCCTTTGGCTCGAACTCCTTGCCCTGCTGGTGCAGATTGATCTTGTGCGTGCCAAACTTCAGTGCATGCCTCTGGACGGATGGTTCTAAAGGTGACGTGAATGTTTCTGCCTTCATCCCGAGGTACTTTGTGTACCACTGGACCGTCTTTGGGACACTTGCGCAGGTGAGCACTAGGTGATCCAGCGTCTTGACGACGGCTCTGGCTCCGGACATGGTGCAATGATGTAGAGTAAAGCTTGCAGACTTGATCGACGCAACAAGGAGAGTCTTGGCGATTGTGTAAGTAGCGATCGGGCTTGGGCTATCTGAAAATGTTTCGTGTGAGAAGTGAAGTGAGGAAGAAGAGGAATGGGGTCTGATGAGCGGCAAGAACGTCATTAGTGCGCTGCTAGGGCGGACCGTGCCGAGTTTCCGATTCTGGAAACGTTCGGCTTGCGGATCCTACACCGAGTTCAGATTCGCCGGGACTCCACATCCGAGGCCCGCCGCTCTAAGTTCGGAGAGAGAGTATTCTGGTCTCTCTATTCAACATCAAGCGATGAAATATGATGAGCTCTTTCTTTCGCTGGGATCAACTGTGACTCTTGCTTTGTGCCATTCAGCGCAGGCTACCTTAAGAAGATGTTGGCATGGACCCTACATCAAGATGTCAGGCAGACATTGGCCATAACCAGCAAATGTGGAAAATGACAGACTGCATTACTTTTGAAGATACAGCACTTGCTTAGAATGTACTGAATTAAACCTGTCTTTGTCCCTCATTCGCCAAAATATGCCCGGTTGGATAACGGGGTAGTGCGCAATATCAACTTCCTACTGGTGCAATTTTGCCTCACAAGCCATTCTATGTTCTAACTTCTGTCTCACGTCTTCCTCATCTTCGCGTCCTCTTCGCCCTATTCCCTGTTCCAGCCAACGTATTCCCAAAGAGAACGCCTGGCCTTGGCCGTCTCCACGAACATTTCTTTCGGTTCGCTTGCAAGATAAACTACTCTCAGCCGTCATGTAGTGCTGACGCTGTTGGTTGTAGCTTCCGCTGGTAGATGATACGAATGAGAAGTTTGTTGACAGTCATCGGCGATCGACATCTGCAGAAGCGCAGTACGGAACACGAAGACAAAGCCTGAGAAGGATTCACTGCCATCAATTCCTCAATAGAATTGGAACTTCTAGCCAAAGTACGATGCAGAGCTAGTCGAACACGAACGCCCGTTAACTCGGGGCTAACTTCAAGCTAAGGCACGTCAGAGTCAGGGGTCATTCACAAATGGAAGATCCCTCGCAGGCTCGCAGCTTTGCCTAATGACCCATAGAAGTCTTTCGCGACGGCCTCATTTACTTGTTTGATCGTCCACGATAACTCATTGGCCGTTTGAGTTCGGTTGTGCTGGTGGCTGAGGTCGAGTGGGTGTACCTGGTCCGAGATTTGTGCCACGACGCCCGCATGTGTGGGCTAACGGGTAGGGCGTTGTGAACCGGGGACAGTTTAATAACCTGCATTCATGAGGATGTAGGGACAGAATAGTTCATTCCGAGACCCAAAGACGGGTGGAATGGCTCTACGAACCAATCGATATTTGATACAGTCAACGCACGATGCTTGGGCAGTGATCGCAAGCCTTGAGAAACATCGAGATACCATCTAGTCCCAATTGTATCGGCCAAAGAACATATGATATGCTTTCCCTTCTATCTGCGAGGTAAGTTTTGCAGGGCGAGAAGAGGGAATTAGAAAGCATCACTTGGCACTGCCAATTGGAGGGAAATCTAGGCTACTATGACAACGTCACAACGACGTTGCAAGCCACTTGCCGTAGTCAAATTAAAACAAAGTTAGCTGCCGACAGCTGAAAAACAAGCTTAAAGTTGATTCGGCAGCACGATACCATGTCCACAGTCTGCCGCAACAATGCATAATCAACGGGAGCTAAGTCCTACCTGCAGTGCTAGCAGCGGTTTGACAGGCAGACAGAGTGACAGACTCCTGGAAACATGCCTAGCTCAGGGTGATCGTGTCTGGGTTCTGAGTGTCTGGTTGATCGTGTTCCTCGAATCAGCCCAGCCACTCAGCCTGACGACTTCGAGAGATCGTGGTTATCGAGACGAGCGGGGTAACTCCTCCCCGTGATTACCTGCAGCCACAAGAAGCTGAGCCCTCAAAATAAGCAATTGCTTAACCCCAGACCCTAGTTCCCCGACGCCACCATCACCTCCTCTAACTTTGCTCAACGGCCACTTGGGAAGCGACTCTGACATCGCGGGCTAGTTTAGCTGCAGGAACAGAAAGATGCAGTTTGCTGTATGGCACCGTTGTGATACCTTCAATTGGACGCCACCACGTAATTGCTGGTTGCTCATCTCCGTTCAGTGTGGCAGCTGAAATGTTGCATCTCCGAGGAGTATTTGCACAGGGCCCAATGTCACAGCCTTACGTTGTGCGCCGTGTACTTAAGCACGAGAGTTCCAAGAGAAAGGAGAAGGGAATATCAGGCCAACTCGGATACTCGAACAGATCAACTTTCATCAGCACCTCTTCACCCTCGTTTCAACACACTCGCTTTCATAGCAATCATGCTTCAGCTCAAGAAACTTCTTGTTCTGGCTCTTCCAGCCTTGGCTCTCGCCGACGAGGCCTTCTCTCCTCTCAAGCGCCAGATAGTAGAGATTCCGTGCAGCGAGTCTGGCCGTAACGACTGCGGCGATGGCTGCATTCCCCTAACTTACACGTGCTGCCCAGACCAGCAGGGCGGCTGCCCCTTGACATCCACGTGCTGGCTCGGCAATAACGGCCAGTATGCGTGCTGCCCGATCGGCAAGCGATGCGTCGGCCCCGGCGGTGTCAACACGGAACCCGGGTCGACGGTGACGTCCACCCTTTCCTTCACGGAGTCGGTTCCGGACGTGGAGACTTCCACGTCCTTCTTCGCCTCGACGTCCACCGCAACCTTCACCCTCACTTCCGAGATCGAGAGCACCTCGACAGAGACTTCTCTGGTTGCTGAGCCGACTACGTCTCTTCCGGTACCTCCGGTTGTTTCCTCTCACTCAACGACGGCTGCTGTACTGCCGACGATCACTGTCAACAGCACCACGGCTCGCCCGCCTCCGGTCACGGTGAACGGAGCGAACACCCACGGTGGCTCGATCCTTCAGGCTATGGCCGCTGGTGCCATAGCTTTGCTTGCTCTTTGAAACTTGTGTAGGCCGAGATGGGATTGCGTTCGATGTTCGGGTCAAGAGAATTCGTATTGTCGAGCAGTAATATTCGTGTAAAGAAATGGACGGACGAATGTGGGTATGGGGAAAGAGAGGATCGATAGTTTTGAAGCCAAAACGTAATGGAAATTGAAATTGACAGGTTGGACCTCGTCTCCCCAACTTTCTGTATTACCATGGGATCCGCCGCCAGTATGGTTTGGCCGAGATGAGTCTCGTGCTTGCCTTCAGAATCCGGGGCTCCGGACCCAGGCGCGCAAAGTGGCGTGCTTTCTCGTGGGGGACGTGTGATTAAAGGGCGCAAACAAGGCGCAACAGACATGTGGAAGCCTAGACGGGGTTCGCCCAGTCGTTATCATGGTGGTGACGCAGGTTTGACAAGACTAAAACGTTTGAGTCAAGCATGATCACGGTGATAGTTCGTATCTCTGAGCGGCCAAGAACGACGTTTGAGCCGCCTCTCAGCTAGAGAAACTTATGAGTCGGGATCGGGATCGGAATGGGTGACCGACAAGTCACTAGTGAAAGGAGTTGGCGTCGGTTCAGTATTCCATTTCTCTTGGCCGGCGTGCTGGATGGGGGGAAACGGCAACTTTGAACCTCCACCGTCCGCATCAAGGGTACCAAACAACAGGGACTGGTAGAATTGGAGATGGACGGTATCAATTACCCTTTCCAGCTCCCTGGTCATGGCCGATAAGCTTTGCAGGTCCCTTGTGCTGAAGAAATGACAATGTCAAGTAGTGTTCGCGAACGCCGACAGCAGATTTCTCGCACTAGGATTCGTCTCGTATCAACCGCGGCGGTACAGAAGCCTGCCTTCCGGAAACATTGTCTTCAAACTTGGGCTTCTAAAAAGTGGGCGTCTGAGTTATTGCGTGCTGGTCAGGCGATCCTTATCGAGGGCGCGGCTCGGCACAAGGCAGTTCCAGGAACGCGACAAATTTAGACGCGAAGTCTCCGTATTACGACATAGCGATTCAGGTGTTTGGTAAACATCGACATCGGTGTTTAGAGACGTCTTTCGGAGCAACTTCCCCAACATCCAATCAGACATCTGACAGGCTTCCCCAGGACCGAGAGCCCAGGCCGAGGATGGTGACACTGCAACTGGGAATTTTGCGCGATTTGATGGAATTTGGCGAGTGCTCGTGCAGCCCAAAATTCCCAAATTCAAGGGACTCTGGAGAAAAAGACGAAAGTTTTACGTGATAGTTTGGTATGAGGGCGGGTACCATCGGTGTTTACCCCGTCGTGGGCCGTGGCATCTGAGATGCAGCCACGTGATATGGGGTCTGTTGCCCAAGTACGGAGTATGGATACATACAAAAGTACCGGGCTGGTCTTAGGTAAGCCACGGCTTGGATGTTTGCAGTTGTTCTGGAAGGTACGTACTGCTGCCTCCAATTCTCATCCTGAGGTTCCCCAATTCCTTCTGCCTGAGCCTCCAAATTGGCCGCAGATTTTCTCGGTGACAGCTGCAACCACTTTAACCACCCCGTTTTCCTCACCGTCTCAGTCTCTCAGCAATTCATTCCAGTAATCAACATGCGCCATCCTCGGACGTTAGCCTCTTATCAATACGGTGTGCCCGAATGTGTGGCCGAGTGTGGATGTCGTGTGGACTGCCAAGTAGATAAGCCTTCCCTCCGAGTTTACCCCATGGGTTCGCCATGAAAACGTTACCACACAGAAACAGCTGATGGACTGCTAGGTTTCTGCTTTCGGTTTAGTTCTTCCCCATGACTGGATCTGCCCGCCTTCTGCACCAGTCGCCCTTTGCGCCTTTCGCCTCCAAACAACATCCAACAAGGGTTCACTTGTAGCCCGCGCCTGGGCATACACGCAGACACGCAGAGTCAGTCTGTCGAATATTACCCACGCCGCAGAGGAGCACACAGCGTACCATCAATACGTCACGTCGGCATGCCCAGCAACACCGACTCATCGTCCACAAGGGTTGTCTCATCAGCGTGGGAGCGCGGGCAGAAAAACAATGGGTTGAGAAACCAACGGAGGCAGCTTCCGTTGCTTGGTCAAGCTTGAGGCCCACGTACGAGTGTAGTGTAAGCTGCCCGTCTCACGACAGACGGGAAGCTTTCGCCATGCTGCCCATCGCCCCGACTCCATAATACTGTAGCCATTCCCCTCCTCTGCCAGAAGCTTGGCCCTTTGTTCGCGTCGTTCAACTCTTCGCGTTCTGAAATCGTTCCGTGGTTGCGCCGGGGACGCCCACCGACAAGGCCTTGCCTGCGACCAGAGAAAAAAAAGTTGCCGTATTAATATACCATTGCTACCCGCCCGCCCACATCGCATACTCTCTCCCCCTCGACTGCTCTTCTGCTTTTTCTTTTCTTCGCCCGAACCAAAGTCGAGCTCAGTAGATTACAACTACGATTCGACAATGGAGACTGCGGACAAAGATTACAGAGGCGGCGGTCCCTTGACCGACGTCGAGTCCAAGCACAATGGGGAGTACTACCCCCGCGACGTCAACTTCGCCGCACTCAGCGATCCCAACGACCTGGTCAACTCGCATGACCAGCTGTCGCGTGGCTTGAAGAGCCGACACATTCAGTTCCTGGCGCTGGGTGGCGCGTACGTTTCCCGCCTTTATGCGCGCCCTCAATTGGGTTGAAGTGAACGCAAGCTGACAGTTACCTACAGCATCGGAACCGGTCTCTTCGTCGGCTCAGGCAGTATCCTCTCAGCAGTTGGCCCCGCGCCGCTGTTCATGGGATACCTCTCCATGATGATTGTCGTGTGGAACATCATGAACAATCTCGGAGAGATGGCCACCTACCTCCCGCTTAAGGGTATCTCGATTCCCTACTTTGTCGAACGCTTCGTCGAGCCCAGTTTGGCTTTCGCTGCCGGTTGGAACTACTGGTACGCATACGCCATGCTCGTTGGCGCCGAGGCCTCGGCCGGCGCAATCCTTCTCGACTACTGGAAAACACCCGTACCCTCGGCCGTCTGGATTACAATCATTCTGCTCGTCACCCTCGCTCTCAACATCTTCGCCGTTGAAGTCTTTGGCGAGGCCGAGTTCTGGTTCGCGAGTATCAAGCTCATCACCATCTTCGGTCTCATCATGGTGAGCTTCGTCATCATTCTCGGCGGTGCCCCCGACGAAGGTCGCATCGGCTTCCTCTACTGGTACGACCCAGGCGCAATTACACCATACCTCGTCGGCGGAAACACTGGAAAGTTCTTGGCCTACTGGACAGGTTTCGTCCGCGCCGGTTTCGCCTTCATCACCTCCCCCGAGCTGATCGCCCTCGCGGCCGGTGAGACCGTCGCTCCCCGTCGCAACATCCCCAAGGCCGCTCGCCGTTTCGTCTGGCGTCTGGCCATCTTCTACGGCCTCGGATCCCTCATGATTGGCGCCATCACCCCTTCCAACGACAAGCGACTCCTCAGCCCCGACTCCAACGCCGCTGCTTCCCCGTGGGTTATTGGCATCCAGCGCGCTGGCATCGGCGGTCTGAACCACGTTATCAACGCCGCGATTCTTACTAGTGCGTGGAGTGCGGGCAACGCCTTCTTGTACTCTGGCAGCCGTATCCTCTACAGTTTGGCCCTCAATAAGCAGGCCCCCCGATTCTTCGCCCGTACGACCAAGCGTGGTGTCCCTTACACCGCCGTCCTCGGCACCTGGTCGATTGCTCTGCTCTCCTACCTCACCGTCAGCAGCGGAACCTCGACCGTCTTCACTTGGTTCATGAACATTAGCACCATTTCCGGCTTCATCGCCTGGATCGTCGTCATGATCACCTACCTCCGCTTCCGCAAGGCCATGATCTACCACAACATGATGCACCGCCTGCCCTTCAAGACGCCCCTGCAGCCCTACTTTACCTGGTTCATCCTCGGGCTTCTCGTCATCCTGACCCTTACCAACGGCTTCCAGGTCTTCTTCCCTGGCCATTGGAGCGTGTCGGACTTCTTGTCGGCGTACATTACTCTGCCCATCTTCTTTGTGCTGTACATTGGACACAAGATCTGGTTCCGCACGCCGATGGCCCGCAACATCGCTGATGTAGATGTCTTGACTGGCGTTCCGGAGATGGAGGCCATGGCGGAGCTTGATGAGGAGCCGATCCCGAAGAACCTGCTGCAGAAGATCTGGTTCTGGCTTGCTTAGATACATGGAAGGCACGGAAAAGCATTTAGTTGGGCATTTACTTCAAAAGTTTTAGATACCAAGCAGAATAAATTGCATTGTAAAAATTTCGCCATTCTCCAGTTCGCTCAGCCTGTGAAATTACGTCCCGTCCGCTCCTCAAGTCAACTTCAGGATCCCCCGCCACCACCAGCATCGCCATTAGCAAAGACGTTCCGCGATGTACCTGAGAGATCACCATATTAGCATAGCGCAAGCTCCAACGCCGAACAGCATTTCGCAACACTCACCTGCTCTCCGAACCGTAGTCTCAATAATCCGTCCCTCCTCGTCAACATGATACGACTTCCCCTCGTGGGTAGGCAGGGCCTCAACCGCCCCCACAGCAGGAGGCTTCAGCATCCTCTTGAACTTGCTCAAGGCGCTATTCGGATCAGAAGGCGTCTTGGCCTTGGGTATTTCCTTTACGACGCGCGTAGAGACGTAGTGGTAGTTGTCGGAGCGGGCGGGCTGGGGCTCGGTGCCTCGGAGCGGTTGGTCGGTGGTGCTTTCGGCGTTGCGGATGAGCGGGTGCAGGGAGTTGGTGTCGGAGGCGACGAGTGTGTCTTGGCTGAAGACGGAGGGGCTATAGTCTTTGATATCGGTGTGAGACGCTTGGTTGCTGGCCATGGTTGAGGAGAGTCGCTGCGAGCAGATCTCGTTAGCTAGTATCTTTGTATTTGGAAGCAGCAAGTTGTCGCAAACCTGGGAGAGGATATCGAGTGTGCTGCTTTTGCGCCCAGTTATGTAGCCAAAAGACGACAAGCACAACTGCGCCTGAGTAAGTCAGCCTATTCCATTCGAGAAGCTGCACATTCTGCCGCCAGCGTCTGCTGACGCTCGATTCCGCCGTCCGGGAACTGGCACGAAACTCTGGGGTTTTTATGCAGTGGCAGATGCCCCAATCGAAAGAAGAATCCTGGCCAAGCTTGTTGCCTATTCGTGCTAGAGCAGCCAAGCCGTAATACTTCACTTGCTGGTCGGGCGTCTTCGTAAACAGGCTTCGGCAGGGCCGGTGCGGCACAGCAGCCAGTGTCAGGTCAGGTGCCATACGAAAAGGTGATTTATTTCCTATGAGCTCTTATACAGTTGCTCAACATTTCTCTTGTTCTTAATGAATCCATAGGCTAGGCACTTCAAGTCCTATAGTCGAGTTGAACAGGGATCTGGGACTTCTTCCACACGCAATTGCCAATATCTTTGGGCCAATATCACTGCGACGAGGGTAGGCACTTCCTCGGGCTGCAGAGCACCTGCTTCATGGACGGCTACAGTCATCCAATCGAGCAGTATGCTTTCCCAGGGCCCAGCATTGTTTGCTTTCATTCAGACGCGTGCAGCATAGGAATTGAAGAGCAAGACATAGCACAATAGAGATTAGAGTAGACGTGAAGCACACTTGAGGAAGCCCCATAAAGTGTATAACCCAACCAACCAAAATTATAGAATTACTTTTTACTTCTTCAAGTAATTTGTAATTTAGACTTGATCCCAGCAAAGTACAACTGTTAGAGCTCGTTACCAGCTTAATTAACTGAGGGGTACGTCGCATTGCGCTGTCCGAGAGCGATAGTCAACTGCGTTTCGATTGGTTGCATGTCTGCAATATCCTTGCTAGGCATCAGCAACCAGTCCGGAAACAGTCGAGTAAAACTTGGAAAGTAAAAGTTTAGTATTACAATTGTAATTTTTCTCAAAACTTTATCTAAATCCTCTAACTTTTCACCGCTTAATGGTCTGATCCCTGCCCATTTCTTTCTAAAATGCAACATGTCCTTTGTGTTAGTGTGCATTTGCGACGGAGTTCCGGTGTCTGTCTGAGAGGTATAAAGGCCCCAGCATCCATCCATCCGCACATTCTCCTCCGTCTCAACTCACATCATCATTGTATCACAACACCTCAGTCACACAGCAGCCACCACCTATTGATCATCACTTAGAAAAGAGTAGATCAAGCATGACTCGATCGTCCCAAGATACATGCGATTGATCCCCTTATACTGCACTTGCTAATCTGTCATCCCAAATCCACCCGTCAGCAGGAAACAGGAGGATCATTGACCCGGCATTTGTCGTCGGTCACATAAAGAGCAGAGGAACGTCTCATCAACCCTTCTCATAAATACGCTCTCATAAACATACTCTCATATAAATAAAAGCTGCAAACGAGCAAGCACATACTACAAAGGCACATCATAAGCACATATCATAAACTAGGCTTGGAAGGCAATCGCCAACCACAGAAACAGCTAGATTCCGCAGTTGTAGCATCATAATAGAGCTCAATTGCGAATCGCACATACCAGTAGAGCAACTGGACAAGATAACATACTCTCAAAAAAGAGCAACGTCCTATAAGTGCTATCATAACAAACCTACTTCAATCAAGCTGTCACGGCGTCTAGAAGACATCCATATAAAAGCCCAGAATTGCCTACTTGAGCAAGACCACTCTCGAGAGGGCTTCGGAGGCATTGATCCCAGCTGTGACCTCGCCGGGATTGCATACCTCTCTTGAGATAGGGCACTGAAGTAGACCTTCGTCTCCATCCAAGACCTCTCCTGTCGAGCGCATCGATCGCCATTGCCAGAACAAAGTTGGTAAGTTGTACGCCCTGTCTCATCGCCAACAAGCCAACACAGACACCAGAGCAAGTCTGAGAACCCAAGCACTCGGGTCTCTTCACGTTGCCGCGGACACAACACGTGCCATAATCTGCACTGGAACCTGGCTGATTCCATTCTCGCGGATTACTTCTCCGACCGCCTATCCATTGAATTGAGTCAGCAGGAACGACCGACCCGTTTCTGCCTGAATCATCGGGGTTTCGTTTCCAAACTTCCGGGCGGACTCGGTGAAAACGGCCCCACTTTACGGCCCTGAGGCCGAACATTCACACTTCCCAGGCCCGGCGTGTCAATCACCACCTCCGAGTGCACCGGCCTAAGGCTCTCGCCTCCTCACAACTTGGTGGATGCCTCGATACCTCGCAGCTGGTCTTTCTCTTTAATCTCCACTCTAAATCAACTTCTCCTTTTTCTTCCCTTTCTTCCTGTTCTTTTTTTTACTTCTTTTTTTCATCCACATCACAACTTCACAAGCTTCAACCAACAACTGCTTTTGCTCTACACCAACAAAAGCATTCATCTCCAAACACCAAGCAGCATTCACCCTCTTGTAAGTGGCTTTTGTCTTCATCATGTTCCCCTTCATCCGCATCATCGACATCATCGACTTCCCCTATGTCAAAACCACTCATCATTGTTATTCTTGTTGTTATTTTCGTCTTCCCCTGCTTTGATGGTTTTGTCTCCTTATTACCTTCATCGTTTTCATTTTTCTTATTATCCTCCTCATCGTCATCTTGGTCTTGTCCTCCTATTATTTTCGTCTCCTATATCATTTTTTATCTCCTTTGATTGTTTCTATCATTCTTCATTACGACAACTCTCTCCTTGTCACTTTGATTGTTTCTATCATTCTTCATTACGACAACTCTCTCCTTGTCACTTTGATTGTTTCTATTATTCTTCGTCGTTACAACTGTCTCTTTTATTACTTTTATCGTTTCTATCGTTCTTTATCGCTATAACTCATGTTGCCCTCTCGTTTGTCATTTTCATTGTTTTTATTCTTCTTCATCACCTTAACTCATATTGCCCTCGACTTTATTACTTTCATCATTTCCATTATTCTTTATCACTGCAACTCTCCATATCTAATGTCTCCTTTATCACTTTTATTATTTCCATCATTCCTCATCACTGCAATTGCCCTCTCCTTTGTAACTTCCATTGTTTCCATCATTTCCATCTCTGCAACTCATCATGCGGTCGCTCTCGCTCGCTCTCGCTCGCTCTCGCTCGCTCGTATTCGTCCACGATGCTGACTATGATAAACAGTGAATAGAAACATGAGCCTTTCTCTTGGTTCTGGCAGTGGTGGTCTCGGAGGTGGAGGTGGGGGGGTGGGCTCAGGCCTGCCTCCTACACCTCCCGGCTACGGTGACGTAGCCGCCTACAGCAGGGCCTTCGAGCGGAAGGTCGGCAGCCTTCTTTCGTTGGCTGCAAGGCCAGCGAACACCACTGCCACTGTTGAAGTGGGAAATGTTCGCCGCTTCCTGGGCGGCTTTTTATCCTTCCTCGAGGAGGCCCGGTCGCGCTTCCCCGACCAGCTGCCCGGGGAGCTGTACGACCAAAGATACATGATAAAGCGGCTCCTGGTGACGATGGCGACGATCCCGCCCGAGGGCGCCGCTGGAAGGAGATTCCGTTTCTTCTCGCCTCCGACCAGAACCAGAGCCCGCGACCTCATCGAATGGCTCACTTCTGTTGTCGACCAGCCGCTGCCGCCTCCTCAACCGACCATACCCGCGATGCCGCCTCCTCCAGTTCCGGCTTCCTCGACCGCATCAAGACCAACCGCCAACAGCTCTCAGCGGAACAGACAGGCCGACGACGTCAAACCGGTCCCTGCCGACCATCCTATCTGGGGTGTCAACCGCATGATGCATGGTATCGCCCAACGAAAGGGAGGAAAGATCCGTGTCTTCAATCCTGCCTACATTGAATTCAAACGGCCCGCCAAGATACTCGGTCACAACGGCTGGGAGGTTGGCCAGTGGGTTCCCGGCCAGCTCAACGCGATGTACCTCGGTGGGCACGGTGAATCCAATGCCGGAATCTCATACACCAAGGATGAGCATGGCAATATCGGACCAGCAGCATCAATCATCATGGCGGAGAAGTACGGCGCGATGGACGTCGATCAAGGCGAAACCATCACGTACTGCGGTACCAACTCGATGGAGACGACACGCGATAGCCCGGCCGACGGCGCGCAGCTCGTCCGCGGAAACAAAGCTCTCATGGTTTCCAAGGAACAGAAGACTCCTGTCCGCGTCTTCCGCAAGGCCAAAAAGGGCAGTCAAAACTCCACCTACGCGCCCAAGGTCGGCCTCCGATACGACGGACTTTACTACGTGACCGGTTACAGCAAGGCCACCAACGACAAGGGCGGAATTTATCACAAATTCACCTTGCAGCGTCACCACCCCCAGAAGCCTCTTGAAGACCTCAGGAACATCCCCAGCAAACAGCAGCGGAGAGACTATGCCAAGATTGACGACGGCTACTAGTCCTGACATCGCTGTTCGACACCACGAATTGAGTTCTTCGGCTACATCAAGAATGGTCTGGATATCAATCACGAGACACGACTTTATAATCGGTGGTTTGGGTTAACTTCTCGGCGGCTATACGGCATACGGCATACAACCTCAGTCGACACATACTCCATACGAAAGCCAGAATACCAACAAGTTTTCGGACGCGGTCTTCTTCCTTTCTTCCTCGGTACTTCATCGTCCATGAATAGCATGAGAATGTTCGCTCTCTGATGGTCCCTTTCAGGCGTCGGTTCGGAAAAGTCACAGATACGTTTTGCTTCTTCTTTCTCTTCAGCGACGCGACCTGTACCTCGACTTCACTATACTTCGGAGGGTCTCAGACACATGATTCTGGTCTTGGGTTTGCAGACACGGTTCCGATCTTTTCCTTGCGCCTCACGGTCTGCTGGTTAAGAGAACCTGACTCTAGTCTCTAGATGGAAGCTTGATGGACATGGACATGGACATGGACATTTCGTTTTCTTCTTCTCTCAACAACGCGACCGACTCCTCAAATTCAACATACTTCAGATGTCATTGGACTCAGGATCTCATTCTTGGAGGTTCAGACATGGTTCCGATCTTTTCCTTGAGCCTTACGGTCTACTGGTCAAGAGAACCTTACTCCGGGTGGAAGATTGATGGGCATGGGTTGTTTTCTTTTCTTTTTTCTTCTTCTTTCAAGGCCAAGGGGGCCATATTGATTCTTTATCGGCATGATCAGGCATGATCCACAGGCAATCGTTTCCATTGAAGGATCGAGCCGCTTATTACTTCACATTCTGGGCCTGGGAAGAGGCTACCGTGGATGGTATCGGCATGGTCAACAGGGTTACTTTTCCATTGAAGGATCGTTTCTAGCTGTGTTTTGGGCGTTTACAAGGGTTTATTTCATGGATTCTGAGTCTGCAGATGGTGGAGGTAATATCGGGGGAGAGCAAGGGGACTTCACCACAGGCAGTGGCATCAGGCAAATCAAATTCGTTATCAATCAAGTCTTGCTTCTATTTCGTGATACTATGACAAGTGAAACATGTGACACCTGTGGAATCTGTAGAATTAATGAGGCCAATGTCTGTTGTTTGCTGGTGCCTCATCTTAGTCCTCACAAAGAACCACCTCTGTTGTAAAACCACAGTCTAGCATCCTCAATACCCATCGCGCCGACCATGAGTATCCTCCCAAACGCGTCAATGTCATCAGCAGCAGCATCCCTAAGAGCCTCCTCAAAGCACTGCTCCGTAATAACAAGGTGCTGTTTTTCCTTCCAAGCAACGGCGAACTCCACTACTGTAGGCGCCTTCCAAAGATGAGCAGACATGGTCCACGACTGGCAAAACATGTATCGTTGTTCACAGCCGTTTGTGAGCGTGTCGACGAGGACACTGTACGCGACAAGGAAGAAACAAGTGAAGAATATAGTCCGGCGGGCTGACTCTTGAAATATCCATTCCTGCCAAAAGTCCTTGGTCGGGCAGGTGGAGTAGTCTTGGGCTGGGCCTGTTGTAGGCTGTGCTTGTTCCCATTTCACGAATGGCAGCAGGGCGAGGATAGTTTGTTCTAGAGAGGAGAGGGTATGTTGAGCGGATGCTCTCATGGAGATGTCGCCGTCGAAGAGGCGGATGATTTGATACAGGAGGATGGCGTGGAGACGGGCTAGGATGTCGAGACGACTCTTGGGCTTTGGGGAGGCGAGGAGCTCGTGGGCTCTGGCTTGGATGGTGCGTAGTATGAATGAGGCGTTGATTGAGTTCTTGGCTATGTAGAGAGCGCAGCAGGCTTGGGCATCTGGCGAACACATGGTCAGATTCTTTCCGTGAACAGTGGACTTGGGTGAGGGTGACATGAGGTGCTCACCTTGCATGTCTATGGGCATGTGAGCGCGATACAGGTAGGGATGGCTCCATGGGGCCTGGTTCTCCATCACCACTATGGTCGGAACCTTCTTAATTTCATCGAGGGAATATTGGAGACGACTGGCTACTAAAGCTTCAAGTGAGCCTGACGGAGCGTCATAAGATGGGACGAGCATCTCGTCTGGCTTGGGCGTGAGGGAAGGAGCGATCAAGGGCCCTTCAAAGAAGGCGTCAGAGGTTATGAGTTCGTCAAAGGCGAGATCGAAATTGACGTCTTCCAGGTTCCCCATGTCCAAAGGTAAAAGATCAGGATTCTGGGACCATGGAATGAGAGAGGCGCCCAAGCCAGCGCCGTCACCGAGGAGGGGAGCGGAAACTTGGGTCGGGCTGCTTAGATGCTGTTGCCGCCGAGACTTTGGGGTTCGCGGGACGAGATCACCAGCATTCCCCTCCGACCTGTTGGTTGCCGGCGGAGCGGAGTAGTCGCAGGCGATATTCCGCCTCGAGCACCGCAAACATGCGGGCTGGCCGTGGTCGCATCTGCGCTTGGCTTTGATGCAAGCTATACACGTCTTCCGCCGAGGAGGTGGGTTGGCCCTCTCGAAAAACGAGTTGGACATGTTGGCTTCGATGGGCGCGTCGGTCTCTCTCAATTATCATTTGATGAGTATCTGAAAACTGGGCTTTCTTTTGAGGTTCGGCGATAGCTTCACTGTCCTCGAGGAAGCTTTCCAGACGAATTGAATGAGCGTCAAAGCACTGAAAGTGAGCGCTGGAGAGGACTCATTGAGGCGCTGTCAGCGCTGCCCAGTAATTATGAGCTTACTTAATCTGGCGGGATTCCGCCAACATTTCCCACCTCATCCTTCATCCTTCCCTCTCTTTGTCTGCGTCCTCATCTGCAAGAAACACCAAAGTACCTATCGTCACAGCCAATCAGTCATGCCAAACATGTGATCAACATAATCATGCGAAGCTGGCGGCGTTCCGTCGTCGATCGCGTGTCTCTGGGAAGGAGCCTGGCGATGAGACCTTCAACGGTGCTGTGAGCTGCGCTGGGGCGACGACCTCAAAAACACATGTTCAACATCTGGGATTCAGATGATCATCTTGTGAGTATACAAGCCTTCGATTCGAGAGGACTCTTCTAATCTGCTTCTGATCAAACAGTCTCATCACAATAGCACCTCTCAATCGAATCTCACAACGTGTCTTCCCTCAGATTTCACTCCGAATCATCAACCTACTCAGCCTCAACCTCATCCACATCCACCCATGCCTCAATACACAATTTTCGTCAGCGGCGCAACAGGCACAGTAGGCGGCTCAGTCGCACGAAACCTCCTCGCAGCCGGCGTCGCCGTCCACGCCCTCGACCGTGACCCAAGCTCTCCCGCCGCCAAAGCTCTTTCCTCCCTCGGCGCGTCTCTCACACTGGGAGGCTACGTCGACGAAGGCGCCCTCGAAAAGGCAATGAGCGGCGTCACGGGGGCCTTTCTAAATCTGATGCCCGACTTCGTCGACCACGACTGGGAACTCAGGACTGCAAAGCGCATCATGGCCGCCGCCAAGGAGGCAGGCGCCACTCACTTTATCTACAGCAGCAGCTTCTCGGTGGATGCTCCCCAGAAGCTCGAGTACTGGGATCCCGAAAGCTTCACTGCTACAGTCCTTCTCTCGAAGCAGGCCATCGAGAATGAGGTTCGGAACGCGGGCTTCGAGCACTGGACCATCCTACGACCGGGAAACTTTACGGCGAATTACATCCTGCCCCTCGCCGCAGTATTCCCTGACCTCGCCAACAAGGGTCGCTTCATCACGGCCTTGAAACCCGAGACGAAGCTGCCGACGGTGGATCCGAACGATATTGGACAATTTGCGTTGGCGGCGTACCGGGATCCTGACAAGTTTCACGCTCAGGAGATCTCGCTTGCGTCGGAGCTGCTTACTGCGGATGAGATTACGGAGAAACTTGCGAGGTTTACGGGGAAGGATATCAAGGCTGTATACCTCTCTAATGAGGAGGTTGAGGCGCAGAAGGGTGGCAATCCGTTCTTGGCTGGACAGTTGGCTATGCGTGATATGGAGCAGTTTGCTGATATTGAGGGGACAAGAAGTTGGGGAGTTGCTTTTGGTACCTTTGACGAATATCTGAAGCGGGAGAAGGATAGAGTCACGGAGACGTATGGACATCTTGCATAGAACTTTGTAGTATGGTTCTCTCACGGGCTTCAAATAAGAGGAACGCAGACAGTATACAAGAACCATGAGTCGTAGACATATCAAACATCATCCAATATTGAACTCCCAAGCCTCCCCATGCCTCTCCCTCCCCCATGTCGCCATCCCCACCCCCAACCCCTCCGTCAACCCAGCATCATACCTCATCCCGCTCTCCGCCCACGCAACCCGCCCCGTCCTCCATGTAACCCACTTCTCCGCGAAAACACCCTCAGGCGCCCTCAAAATCCCAGCAGCAACATTCACCAACCTCTCCCCATTCTCCTGCCTCCTTCCGTCAACGCCAAAATACGCCATCACACTCGCGCCACACGTCCCGCAAAACGACCGCCACACGTTCTCAGACGACTTGAACGTCTTACCCGTCCCGCCGAGCTGCAAATCCTCCGGCACGGAGGGTGTGATGCAGGATTCCGGGATACAAACCCATCCGATGGCGTGAGCGCCCGTTTGCAGACGGCAGTTGTCGCATGCGTCGACACAAGCAGGCCATTTCCGGGCGTCGACGGGGGAAAGCCAGGCTCCGTAGGCTTTATCTTCGAGCATGGATGCCTTGGGGCGGGAGATTGTAAAGGAGACGCCGCCGCAGTGGCATTGGGCGCGGAGGACCTCTTCGCCGTCTACGCCGACTTCTCGCCCGTGTGTCGTTGATGCTGCGGCTTCGGATTCAGCTGTCTTGGGGTTCCAGATCTTTAGTTCGTTTCCATTCACACGCGGAAGCCATTCATATAAGCCCCCGCCGGGCGCCGAAGCTGTGTTGACGTGCGTACGTATGTCCCAGACAGCGGGTACGTCATCCTGATTCGCATCGAAGATGGACGTCGAAATAACCCACTCGTCGTCGTCGACGCCCACGTCTCCGATGTGGCAGCTACACGTACTGCAAAAGTACCGCGTGCTCGAGGCTGTTGCGTGGCGATAGGCCGTGAGAGAGGATGATAGCGAGGACGGCGCGATGAAGTAGGGGGATACGCCGGAGGGGAGGGGGGCGTGGAAGATGCAGAGAGTTCCGTGGGTGTAGCGGCAGATGCTGCAGTGGCAGAGGTGGACTTTGAGGGGGAGGGAGGAGGTGGGTAGGGTGAGGGTGAAGTGGACGGCTTTGCAGTAGCAACGGGCCGTGAGGGTCTTTGTTGCGGGAGGTGACCCGGTGGGTTGGGGTTGGGTTTCACTCATTGCAATGTGAGATATCCATCACCATGTCAAGTGTGAAGGAGTGTTCCGTCAAGTACGATGAAATATAAAGAGGCAATGAGGGGCGGAGCTGGACTTGAGCTACCGGTCTCACTTCCCTTTTGAGCTGAGCGATAAGAATCAACTTTGACATGATTGAAGGGCGTGGTTCAAGTCGAGTTAGCCTCAGATGCGGGGTTCGACCGTCATGAGAACCACACCGGCAATGTTCTCGACTCAAATAATGTGGCGTTGCGATGTCGGACAATTATCCTGTAATTATATTTTATTTCATAAACGGCTAGATGTAGGTAGGTCTAGACAACTGTCCAAGACAAGGGTATCAATTCACGCGACATTCGTGTTAACTTGGTATCACAATTTCATGATGCGCTCTTCCTCGTCTCTTTCTTGAGCGCCTTGTCTTTTGCCTTCTGACGCCACTCCACACCCCAGTACATGATGGCCAGCAATGCCGGGCTGAAGACAATGTAGAGAAGAGCCAAGAGCGTAAAGGCCCAGCCCACGCCAATCCCGTTAATCATGGGGATAATCGCTGCAGTTGCAGCTGCACCAAGCAGACACCTCGTAAAGTTATTCGCCGCCGTCGCAGTCCCGGCTTTGCCTGGATGGATATCGATGATGAGCGTGTTGGTAGTGTTATTAAATCCAATCATGCCGACTCCGAAGAGGAAGAGCAGCACGCATGGGACAGCCACGGGCGCGCGGAGGTGCAGAGCCCAACCCCAGATGAGCAGCAGGATCGAGCTGAGATACAGCAGTGGCAGACCGACTTCGAGGCGGGCTTTCTCAATGGGGAATCCAGTCATGTCTTGCTGACGAGACTTGTCGTAAGGGATCCCCAGACGCTTGCAATGCCGGCGGTAGTTCCAGTTGATCAAAGGCCCTACAAGAAAGGCGGCCACGACTGAGCCGCCAGCCATGGGCAGGTACATGAGGCCGACCTTGAGACTGTCGAAGCCGTAAATCTCCTGGAACTGGGTCGGCATGGAGGAGGCGATGGCGTAAAACCCGGCAAATACGATAGCGCTGAAGCCGAGGAGCAGTCCAAGTTCTCTCTCGAAGAGCAGACGAAGCGACTCGAATGGGTTGATCTTGAACTTGAGAGTTGGTTTGGCAGTGTTTGATGCTCCTGTCGTTTGTCTCGTCACCGGCGCTCCACTTCCCTTTTTGGCTCTGTAATAGTCCTTGATGAGCTGGAAGCCGGTTCGGTAGAGCTTTGGAGGCCGTACCGAGCCATCGTCCACGATCCTCCGGCAAGTCTCTGGAAAGAAGAGGAGAAGGATGATGAAGAAGACGCCGGCCAAGATGGTAAGAAACCAAAAGATGGACCTCCATCCTAGATATTGTGCCAGAACACCGCCGAGAACTGGGCCGAGTGCTGGTGCCAGAACGATGGGAACAACAGTAAGGCCAACGTACTGCCCCCTCTCAGCCGATGTAATGCTGTCTGCCACTACAGCTGAAGCCAAAGCGACGGTGCTGCTGGAGCCTGCAGACTGGATGCAGCGAACGATGAGCAAAGAAGCGAAGTTCTGCGAGAGTGCAAGGCCAATGTTGGCCGCGATGTAGACGACAAAACAAATGACATAGGCAGGGCGTCTGCCGCTCTGATCAGCCAATGAGCCGATGAACATGGGCACGATTCCCTGAAAGATCATGTAAGTCGTCAGGGTAAGATTCATGTCCGAGTCGGAGACGTTGAACTCGTTGGCGAGGACAGTCAACGCCGGAAGGTAGATTTGCGCGGTGAAGGGCGAAAAGAAGGCAGCCAGAGCGGCTCCTAGCACGATGAAGCGCTTCTCCCATGTCGTATATACTGTGTATGGTGGAGGTTGTTGCTCCTCTGGTGGTGCAGCTGCTTCCTCGTCTACTATTGTCGTCTTGGTAGAGTCGGCTGGTGGCGCCGACATGTCTGAAGATGTAGGACTCGTTGGTCGAGACACGGTGGGCGATGATGTTGGATCTCAGTCTTATCCAGCCTTGCCACAGAGCCTGGCGGTGAGTAGAAGGCAATAAGAGGAACGCCAGGCATGGGGCAATTGTATTGATATAGACATGCTATTGCCGAGATCAGGACTTATGATGAAAAAGTCAGTCTGCGGCTAGATACTTGGCTAGGCAGTCATTGGAGGCATAATCCATAATCGGGCACTTTGGGGGCATTTGGGGGCATCGGGGGCGCAGATGTAATCCATCACCGCTGGTCCGTTGGAACTAATACGACATCGTTGTCGGAATGCATAGTCGGTGCCGAGTCGGCGTGTCTCATCGCACACTGGAGTTGCGACAGTATCAGGCTAGCGGAGAAAAGGCTTCGGTATCTTGCTGTCTTAGTCAACTTGTGCCCCGTGGGTCATTTCTAACCCAAGTAGAAGAAGCATTAGATCCCGGCGATAATCACATTACCGCGTGACTTCTCCATCGCGGACCTCGACCGAAGCGCTCGAGCTGACTGCTGACCGGCCCGCTCTCGGCAAGGCATCCCATCATGGTCATCTCGTTTATCGACGGTTGTAGAGGGGAGAAAGGGTCCGGCCATAAGAACTTATCCACGGTTGTAGAGCAAGTAGAAGCTATCGTAGGGTTTTGGTGGGCGAGTTCAAATGTCGAGGTGAAGTCGAAGGTTTAGAGTTACAATTGAACTTACACGGAATGCCAAGAGGAAGGACGGAGCCAGGGAGGAAAGACGGGACCTCCGGGATGGAGCGGACCGTCATCGGCTAAACTCGACACTGTACGTACACACGGTACGGATTACCTAAGGTACGGCCCCGCCGCCGATTGGGAAGGCGGTGACGTGTTTTCTTGGAGAAGCCACCTGGAGGGTTGGAGGTACTTTCGTACCGAGGGAGCTCCAGCATGAAGTGTCCACTGTCCAGAGCTCCATTAGGCGTCAGGCAGTACCTTACCTTGGACCAAGAGACCCTGCATTCACTCAAGGGACGCGCTTTCAACGTCTACTCTCTTAATTGCTCCAGTCTCGACAATTACTCTACCTGAATTCAACAACAGCACTCCGTTACACATCAGTCTAGCATGGTAGGTTACCTCTCAGACTCAATCCCAGCCTTAAATCCTGGACGCGCCATACTAACAAGCTGCAGAACGTCCAGTACAACTCGGCCCTGCGCCAGAGCAAGGCCATACGCAACGACCTCGAGAAGCTTTCCACCTCAGCTGCGCAACCAGCTGCCCTGACCCCAGCCGAAATTGGCAACGTCTCCGCCTCCCTCGCCTCCTTTTCCAAGACCGTCGACGAATACAACCAACTAGCCCGCCAGGAGCTCGTACCTAAGAAACAAGAAGAAGCCTACGAGCGGGTGAAACGGTTCCGCGATGACCTCTCCGATTTCAGATCACAGGTCGACTCCCTCAAGAAGGCTCGCGAAGAAGCCGCCCACAGCAACAATCGAGGCGAGCTGTTAGGCCGTCGAGCTTATGTTACTGCTACCCCCGAGAACCCTTACGCCAACGTCAACAAGTCATCACAGTTCCACAGCCGAGGAGCATCGACAGGCAAGGCGGGCGGCGGTGGACTGAGCATGGGCGGGAACGATGTCACAAGGGAACAACACGCCCTACGAGAGCAGAACTTCTTCGCTAGCACCAACTCGGCCTTGGACGAATACATTGCTCGAGGACAAGCGGTACTAGGCGACCTGGGAACACAGCGTGAGATGCTCAAAAACACCCAGAAGAGGCTCTACTCCGTCGGCAATACGCTGGGCATTTCTGGCGACACCATTCGCATGATTGAGCGCCGCGCCAAGGAAGACAAGTGGATCTTCTGGGCCGGTGTCATCATCTTCTTCCTCTTCTGCTGGGCGTGCATACACTTTTTACGGTAGATGCACATCAGGATGGGGTTGCGCCGCCAGAGACGAGAAAACGAAGTTTGGGAAACAATCAGGGCAAAAGGCGTTTGGAGTCGGCGGGGCTGCAGCTTATGCGCCGTGCAAACTTTTGGTCATCATGGAGCTCCCTGTACAACAAGCGACGATCGACTTTTGTTTTTGACCTCTTTTTTTTATCTTTTTTTTTCTTCTTTTTTTTTATTCAGTGCCCACAAGAGCAATGGTGAAAAGGACCGTTTCGGTCGTCTCGATCTCTACCACCTTGGTCTCGGGCAGCACGTGGTTGCTGGTGCTGATGTGGCCCCCAAACTTGGTCTCCCAGTTCTCCACGTCCCATTCGAGGCCCTTGGTGGTGATGTAGCTGGTCCCGCCGATTGGGATGATGCCGATGTGCTTACCAAAAACGTCCTCGCCGTCTTCGCGGACCCAGATGCTGTGGTGGCCGGGCTTGAGGAGGAAGGTGAGGCTCTGGCCGGAGACGAGGTACAGCTTGCCCTGGGCATAGTCCGGGCCCGGCTGGAAGAGGTACAGATGGTGAACCTGGCTGAGTCCCTGGTCGACGCGACCTCCCAGTCCCCCGAGAGCCACGATGTCGGTTTTGGGGCCGTGGTTTGATCGGATCCATGAGACGGCCTTGGCAAAATCTGTTGAGTACTGATCGGGATCATGTATGACTTGCGTGGGCTTCTCTAGCGTTGTGTAGTAGTCCTTAACGGAGGGGAGGAGCGAGTCCAAATCCCCGATGATGACGTCGAGGTCATTCTGTATGAGTCAGATAGGGCCGTCGAGATGGCAAGGGAGCCAAAAACTCACGTATGGAGGATGGGAATGAGCTTGAGCTGCTTTGTTCAGATCGTGTAGCCTGTTTGCTCCGCCATCTGCAGCAACTCGCGTGAGAGCTTCACGGGGTGTTAGCAGTGGCTTGGACCAGACGAATGCGACAAGCTCGTACCATTTGCCCAGAGTGAGTCAAAGACTGGTGTCTGCTTCACAGGCTGGTTGAGCACGATGAGCGAAAAGTCGACACTGCTAGGTTGTTCTGGCTTCTTGTCGCGGAGGATGCCTATCGGTCGCCACTCGAAAGTTGGCGACATTCTGAAGAGCCTCTCTATCTTAGCACGAAGCCACTCCAGCCAGATAGCCAGAAAGTCAAAACAAAAATGTCTCTAAATACAAGTGGCCTATGGAAACCCCAACAAGTCAGTTCAAAGGAAGTGCAGACGTGCCAGACTTTGACCTGATGCTGCTCGAGTGACACAGTTGAGAATTTGAGGGGAATAACAATGTATCAATAACTTGCAACATGTGCTTTATCCAAGGTTGTCCATGATGCGTTCCTTAGGTATTACGCAGGCAGTCATCATTGTCACCGGCCCAAAATGGAATATCTCGCAGAAAGTGGTGCACGGCATCAGCAGCCAATGAAGCGCCGAATCTCCCAGATTTTAATTGGATTTTTTTTGAACCGTCCGATCGGCCGGACCTTGCAGACCGCATCGGACGGGGGCGTGGGCGGGCGTGACACTGTGGCAGGCGTCGACAGCGCGCAATCGAGCGATAATGCGCCGCTAAAACCCCGGCAGAACCCGCCAATTCGAAGCTTCAATTTTCTTTTCCACCCCGGGATTACCAACCAGCAACAATTGGAAAGCTCCCAAAGCTGCCCACCACCACCACCAACCTGCGCCCTCCGCCCATCTCTCTAATTCCCCTTTGTCGTTTGTCTTTTTGCCATTTCCCCACGTCCTCTTTTTTCCTTTTGGTTCAGTCTCTTACAGACACTACATACACACAATGTATCGCAGCGGCATGCGTTCGGCGCCCCGCGCTCTGAGCGCCGCCCGACAGTCGCCAATTCGCGCAGCTCCCAGACGATTCGCCTCAACAGCACCCGCCGACAAGCCCAGGACGTGGAAGGGCACGGCTGTGAGATGGGGTCTCGCCGCTGGTGCCCTGTACTGGTACAACACGAGTCCGGTCTTTGCCGAGGAGCCCATCCGTACGTCTCTCCCGCCGATAGAGATGCTTCAAGGGGAATACGTCTATCTAACTAATGTTTACCAACAGCCCGAACGATCGCCGCCCCGTCCCAATTCTCCGAGTCCGACCTCACCACCGTCGACGCCATTGTCGAAGAGAAGCGCAAGCGAGCCATCGTAAAGGCCGAGGAGGCCAAGCCCGCCGCCGCCGCCCCCCCCGTACCGACAGAGGCCAGCGAGCAGACCAGGGCGGCGCTCGAGGGTGAGGGCGCCGAGGGAAGCTCGGCACCCGCCCCCGGATCCCCCGAGGCATTGGAGGCCGAGGCCGATCAGCAGGGTGCCTTCAACCCCGAGACGGGCGAGATCAACTGGGACTGCCCGTGCCTGGGCGGCATGGCCGACGGCCCCTGTGGCGAGGAGTTCAAGGCTGCGTTTAGCTGCTTCGTGTACTCCAAGGAGGAGCCCAAGGGCATGGACTGCATTGAAAAGTTCCAGTATGTTTGCGGATACGACGGGATGAGGTTGTGGGGAGAAGATATGCTAACTGGAATTGCAGGGGAATGCAGACGTGCTTCAGGAAATACCCCGAAGTCTACGGCGACGAGCTGGCCGACGACGAAGACGCCGATGAGGCCGATGCCGCGCCCGCACTTGACGCCAACGCCGATGCCACGGTTGCGCCACCTACCAAGGCCATTGAGGAGAAGAAGGTGGACAACAAGGAGATCAAGAAGGAGACCAAGGCCGACACCCCGGCGCCGGCCCCCAGAGCTGAGATCAAGGCCGAATCAAAGGTGGAGGAGAAGAAGCCCGCGCCGGTCGAGAAGCAGGAGAAGCCCAAGGCCCCGGCGGTGCCCTCGCCTGAGCCTGTTGACCTTACTCAGCCCAACAACAAGGCCGTCGATGCTACTGCGGCGAACAACATTTAAACGACAAGAGATGTTGCTTTCTGTACCAATTTTACACACAAGTGGCCATCGGGAGGACTGTAGAGTGAAGGAGAAAGAGAAGGAGCAAACGCTTTAGAGCAAAGATGTAGCTGCGGCTGCGACTGCGGAGCGAGGCTAATGAAACCATGACGGGGGAAACATCAGGCATATTTCATGTACCATAATCGTGTACACAGTGTACCAGTATGGAAGCAAAAAAAAGACCAATAGACATACACTTCTCTGAGGGACTCCCCAGTCATTTCTCTTGTTTATTTTGACCCTTTTGTATCGATAGTGCAGATGGAATGCCTAGCTTCGAAATGTCAAGCTACCAAAACATGACTCTATAGAGCCCCATCAGCATAAATAACATCACGAAATGCATCAATGACAGCACATCTACGGATACCTATCTTACTCGGCCTAGGTAGGTAGGACCCATCAACCCCATCCGAGGATGCCCCGGCGCATGATATTGTTCCTGGCCAACATTTGTGACGGCAGGACCCGACCTTTTCCCCCCGGTGGCAGGTACGGAGTATAGAGGTACCCAGGCACGTGCAGTGTAGTTATAGTGGATTTTGATTGGATCGCCGATCAACTTGTCCCAAGCTCCCGAGCCGCATACGTCATACGTCATTGGTCTCTCCGGGCCACTACGCGCCAACCAAGATCAAGGAAAGCGCTCGCGGAGGTGCGCCATCCGCCCTGACGGACCATTCCCTCCCATCCCATCCCATCCATCCATCATCCTCAGGTTTTTCTTCCGACTTCTTCCCTTTTTATCCTCACTTCACACGACTGCATCCTCTTAAAAGGAACAACCTACCCGTTCATCCATCCCGCGCGTCATCCTGTCGATCTGCCACACACCTTTTTTTACACCTCTCACACACACTGCATCTCTCCCTCCCTCTTTGATACCCCCAAACACCTCAAAGCTCTCTCTCAAAGCTTCTCTTCCAACCACAGCTCCCATCTCTCACAAGTAAGTAAACAGAGTTGCGTCATACTCGACGTTGCGCATGCGATGCTGACAACCCTCTCTCAGTGGCTTCCTACGCAGACATGGCCGCCAAGGGCCCCAAGCAGACTCCCGAGGAGGTACGTTTCTTCTTCTTCCTCTCCCTGATCGCGTGATCTCACCATCTTCACCTCGCCTTCCTCTCCTCCGTTTAGTAATCGCTAACAATCCTCTCCCCATCCAGGCCGCCGCTCCCCCTCCCCCCGAAATCTCAGTCGACTCCACCGCCTCCACCTCCTCCCTCGTCGACGTCGACATGCCGAGCGTGCACACCGTCCCCAACGACTTCCTCGAGCAGGAGATCCAGACAGACACCCAAGCCGACCGCGTCGAGCGCGAAGAAAAGGCCCGCGCCGAGGCCGACCTCGCCAAGAAGAAGGCCGCCTCCAAGGCCCGTAAGGCCGACTCGTGGCTCAAGCGCCAGTTTTCTTCTCTGTCCGACGGCAGCGCCAGCGCCCTCGTCGTCTCCAACCTCGTCGGTGTCGTCGGCCTCAGCGCCTTCCTCGGATACAAGGCTTGGGGTCTGTACGAGCGCGGCCGTCTGTCGTGGCAGAGCGTCGGCTTGGGATTGGGCATCCTTGGTGTTGTTGGCCTGGGTGAGGGTATCTTTGGAAGGTGAGCTTTCCCCTTTCGTCTCTAGTGTTTACAAAGTACCTACACGAACCCATACTGACTATTCCTTTCCTGCAGCTACCTGTACAAGACCAAAGGCAAGAAATAAAGAGACAAGCGCGCGCCGGGGACGACGGCGGCTTTGAATTTCTTTTTCCTTCTACTACCTAGCTTGGGAACTAATCTTCTCTATTTGGGCATGTTTGCACGGATGCTGGCTTGTTTGGCGTGTAATGAATGGCGTCTTGACGAACAACGACGTCGGATAACGGCTCTTGGCTGTAATGTATGTACTGGGCGTTCGGGGCGAATTATGGAAATCCACACACACAATCTCCTCCAAAACACATGTTGCTCTCTCCATACAATGATTGAACAAATAACCTTGAAAGCTGATTGTAGGTGACCTCACGACACACCGCGGCACACCTCGATTCCCAACACAAAATTCAGTCTGATACCTAGGGTATACCACACCACTGGTAATATCAACAATAAATATTGAATATACTAAGAAAAGGAGAACGATCGTCCGTCCGCCCGATCTACTACTTCCGCCTCCGGCTAACCTCCACATAAGGTAATTTATTGGTATGGGTGGTGATCGTAGAATCGTACAGCAAAAAAAAGAAAGAAGAAAAAAGAGACGAAGAAAAGACAGAAAGGTAGGTTTCGCCCAAAGCGCAACATCCCCCCCATGTCGCTATGCCGTTTGGTTGCTAACTCCTTCAACCCCGTTTGTAGAACCCTTACAGACCGTAAAAAACGCCCCATTCGCAACTTGTCTTGCTGATCCAGCCCCCTAAGCCTTTCGAGTTCAACACCTTTGAAGCCAACACAATACGCTTTCGCCCTTTGACCAGCCTAGCCTTGCCTTTAGCCGTTGCCCGCTTTGCCCACACACACACACACACACACACACACACACACACACGCATACGATAAGCCTTTCTTACATCGATCGACCGAAAACGCCGCTGCTCGACCCCCCGAATCCCACATTTCCTCCTCTTGCGCCTGCTAGTCCAACACCACACATTGGGAAGGAGGGCGCTACGTGTTGCGGCTGTTGTTGTGCAACTCTCTAAGACGCTTGACCCAGTGCTTGCGTAGCGCCGGCGACATCTTGCAAAAGATCATGGCCTTGTTATCGTCCGCGAGAGCCTTTTCAGCAATCTTAAGCTGGAGGTCCATATCCTCGTCGGAGAAGTCACGGAAGAAGATGTCAATCGCCTGCTCGGGCCATCGTGGTGGGCTCCGGCCGCGGAGAGCGTCGGTGATCTTGATCAGGCCGTCCTCCATCAGCTGCTTGCCGGCAGAGACCATGGACGCCGTCGTCGCGTCGTTGCTGTGGTTGTGGCTGTGGCTGTTTGATGCGCCTGCCGCTGATGCCTGCGCGGGGTTCGTGTAGCCCGAGGTACGTCGGCGCTTTTCTGCTGGTTGCGCCGGCGGTCCCATGGGGGCTGTCGGGGCCTTGCCGCCGGTGTCGGATGTCGATACTTGCTGGGGAAATCTCTTACGTCCTGTGGCAGTTTCCTCCGGGGGCGTCAAAGCGCTCGTGCCTGCGATATGCGTCCTAGGCGGAATCGCGGTAGAGGTGGGTCGTTGCTGTGGTTGCTGTGGTTGCTGGTGTTGCTGTATCTGTTGCTGTTGTTGTTGCTGCTGCTGGGGCTGCTGGGGCTGCTGCTGTTGGGGTATCATGGGTTGTTGGACTTGTGCTACGGGAGACTGGCTCACGGAGCCGCGAGGCTGTACCTGGTGGTTAATGCCCGTTTGCGAAGAGGTTCCGTAAGGCGGCTCAACCTGAAGATCGAGGACTGCGGTGCCCGGCATATCCGGATCTTCAGACCCTTGGATTACATCTGGGCCCTTTCGCTTCGGCTTCATGATACGTTTAGGAGCACCTCCGGAACCGACGACGTCAGGATACAGAATCTCCATGAACTGCTCATGATCGAACGGCCGACCACGCAACGCGCGCGATAACGGCTCTTTCTGCGGAGAAGGGGTCAGCGACAAGTCCGATACGACACGATCATAAACACAGGGGGCAGGTGGATTGCGCGCGCGCGTGTCAACTCACCTCGATATGCGCCTTCCAGGCCTCCTCGGAAGCGGTGACGGTACGGGTGGTCGGGTTGTAGAGGAACTCGGGGTCCTCGCGAAGGCCACGCCAGAGACGAAATTTCTTGCGCGCATTATCCGACTTGTTGACGAGATGGCTCTTTGTCGGATATGCGCCGTGTTTCTCGCGAAGAGCGGTGGCGGCGCGGTCCCAGGCGTCGGTCTTGAAGGAGTGATTCTCGCGCAAGCCTAGCTGGACCGAGTCGCAAAGGGATCGGAAGAAGGTGGCCTCGTAGGCGGGCGTCCAGCTGAAGCGCGGTGCACGCTTGTCGCGGTCTCCGCCGGCGCTGCCGGGTGGGCCATCCGGGCCGCCGAACTCATCGTCTGACATTGAGACCTTTTTTCGACGAGAGCAGACGGAACGGAAGGGAGGGAGGAAGACGGAGGAGGCGGAGGGATAGCAGTGGCCGAGCAGGACGGAGGAGGATAAGGGTATCCCCCAAACGTCGAATGGGGGGGGGGGGGGGGGGGGGGGCAGCGGACAGTTGGGGACAGATGGATGCTCGCCGGGCTGGAGGTGGAGGTGGTGGTGGTTATGATGGTTTAGTGGCGGCAATAAGGGCGTTGTGCGGTAATGTCTTGGACCCCTACTTTTTCGTACGGAAGTCGCGATCCAATATGGGCCGGGTTCGGAGATGGAACGGGCAGCAGGGCCGTGATGTTTGGATCTGGACGGTGGCGACGGGAGGGGAGCGGCAAAAAAAAAAAAAAAAAAAAAAAAAAGTAAGAGGGCGCGCGCAAATGCCGAGCGAGTCTTTTCCCGTTGATGAATGGATGGATTGGGGGGCGTGTAGTGCGATACGGTGCGGTACGGTGCGGGCAGGTTTGGTTTGGTTGGGTGAGAGGTGTGGGCGTGTGACCACGCAGACGTAGGCTCGTCGAGTTTGCGTTGCACGGGAAGCGAACGTTGCGCGTGGGGAAGGAACCAAGACGACGGGCGAGCCTTTCTATCCGTATGAGCTCTCTGCTCTCTGCTCTCTGCTCTCTGCTCTCTGCTCTCTGCTCTGTCTGCAGTAAGGTAGGTATCCGTACGGAGTATCCGTACGGAGTAACCGTACAGCGTGGGCGGCGGTGGGTTCCAGTTTGTTACGTGCGTTGGGACGTGGGAAGAGACTTGGAGAGCGAGTCGCGGAGCCTGGGCGTGGAGAGGCGGGTGCGCTCACCTCTTTGCGGTAGGTAAATCACGAGGCTGGCGGCTGGGAGCTGAACCGTGAACACTGAACCCGGAGACTGAACCTATCCGTAGGACTGACTATCCGCAGACGGTACGGATAGAGGAACAGTACAACAGAGAAGGGGGGGGGAGGAAAGGTGAGGCGGGGCATCGGTGATAGTAAGTGACTTGATTGATTGGGAGCGAGTCGGGCGCAAAGTCACGTTCTCCTCTCGCAGACTGCAGGCAGACAGATCTGGTGGTGGTGGTGACGGGAAGCGACGAGAGTCCCCTCGGTATTGGACCGGACCAGACTCATCCCTTTGCGCTAGTCTAATTGGGGATAAGTCGTGGTGGTTATGCTCGGAGCGACGGAGTCGGGGTCCAGACAGTACGTACCTAAAGTACTTCGTACCTTAGCTGCGGTCCAGACGGGCAGTCAGGAGGTCCAGACAGATCCAGACAGGTGCCCACGGGTGGTTCCTCACAAAAGGAGACGCGGTTCCCAATTGGCTGCCGATCTTCCGTTCCCGTGCCAGCCGGCCTTTAGCCTTCAGCTGCTGCACGGGCCAGAGAACAGATCACGTGGGGTCACGAGTCTTCCCATTTCAGGCCCCCGGTCAGCACGTGTTTAGTCATCCTGCTCGTCTTGGCGTGGCGTTCTTCTCTTCTCTTCTTTCAGCCTTGGTACTAAGGCAGAAGCATAAGGCACAAACTTCTTCTCTTCTTCCCCCTGCTGCAAGCCACCTCCACGCCTTCATCCGGCTTAGCAGAAACACCAAGACTTCTTCGCAGGTGATCCTCCAAGCTTGTCTAATGGAGTCGCCGTGTCTGTTCTTCTTGTGTGTTTCCCCTCTGGAAGCAGCTCTATCTGGACATACTTTGCGCCTTAATGTGGGCGTCCTGCAAGCCCGTTTCTTCGCTCCTCACTCCCTCCCACTTTATTCAGCCAACATATGCAAGATCAAGCTTTCGTATGCCTACGCTCCCCTGACCACAACCACAATGGATCGCAAACCCCGAGATGGTCTACAATGAAATTAGATTTTCGACTCGTTGGTTCAAGGTTGTTCGAACTCCTCAACCCAGGCGCTGACCTCATCGCGAGCGTGCCGTCATCACATTGCATACCAACACATCGCCATCTTTGTTATCATCTCCGCCTCACATGTTCCTCCCTTCTTCAGACCTGTCCTGAGATCCTCGGGCTGAGAAGGGCGCACCCATCGCTATTCCCGAACACGAAAGATGGTGTAAGCGAATATGGTGGCGCCGGGCGACGGCGAACAATCCGTGTGTGCTGCGAGTTGCTGACTCTAAACCACCCGACCTCTCGACACCTTCTATATACCGGTGATTACTCAAACTTACTCACACTGCCAAGGTCGCCAAGTTCGCCAAGGACGGTGTCCGAATCGCCCGTGTGCAGACTTTTCCAACGTTGTTGGCATCCAACGCAGAGATTGCCAATTGGGCCGTTCATACGCATTCCATACCTGGCAATTTACTCTCGCAACTACCGCACTGCACGCCCATAGTCATTAACTATCGCCAAACCATCTTTACGCCGAGCCTAAACCCGAGCAGAAAACAGCAACCTTTTCTAGTCCAAGGTATCTACGGATACTACTACAATGCTGCTTTTTAGGTTGACTAATTGCTTCCTCCGACATGACAACTTTCTTCCATGTCTCCCGCGGGGCCTGCGCCGGTTCAGATGATGGGCATTAGAGCAGTCCCCTCTCGACTCACGCACTCACAGCAGCAGACAGATTATAGTTGATCTCATCTTTCCTACCGGCCGCAGGGTCCCATTTTCTCGCAAGTTGACGGCCTAGCTCACGCTCAAGTTTACCTGTCTTGCCCTATGGCCGTCATGGCATTTCTGGCTTTCACCGCGTTGTACGGATTCGGCGCATAGCAAATACCTTTATAGGACGGATGCACATGAAATGCTGCCAGGATGGGATCTTTCCTCCTCCTCCTCCTCCTCCTCCTCCTCGTAAGCTCACCTCTTCACACTTCGGTCTCGGGGGTCCATCTGATAAGGTCCCTGAGGATACGAGGCGATGATCTGCCTGGCTGCAACGTCGAATATATCAGGCGAGGTGCGTCAGCCGTCGTCGCAAAAGATGAAGTGGAAACGGATCTGCTTGATGCTCAGCGCAAGCAAGGCGTCACATTCGTTTCTCTGCGGGACAAACAGTATTGCAAATCGTGCAACGAGGCCTCATGGCCTGCGACACCGACACCTCGCCTTTCGGGGCTACTCAGGTCGACTTACTCTCTCATAAGGTCTTCAGCTCAAGCCATGTCCTTGTTGGGATGGTGGTGGATGGATGATGTATGGACTATGGATGGATGGATGGATGGATGGATGGATGGACGTCGGCGTCGAACGCTCTCTCTCTCTCTCACCAGGCCGCCATACTAACAATAACATGCCAATGATACGCTACTCCGTACGAGTACTTCCATCTGCACCTGGATGTTCTTTGCAACCTTGGTGAAGCGCTACGCTACTTTACCGCTACTTCGTACCCTACGGATCCCACGCTACGCCCGGGGCGCTGTGGCACATGTGCCGCTCGGAGTTTTACTGCTGGGATCCCGCCGCACAACTCTGTCTCAGAATCTTCAGTGGACCGTTTCAGGCCCTGTCAGCCTGTCCACTCACTCGACAGAAAGTCTGGACTCAACGACCATCCACGAGGACCCCCAGCAGACAAGGAACTCAGGGAGGACTCCTCAACTCTCGAGACTCGAGAGGGGGCAACTGGGGCTTCTCCGAGTCCACACCCATCATCGAATCGTTGCCTTCTCCTGCAGTCAGTCTCTTTGCCTGGCAAGCCTGGCAGCATCAACAGCCGCCAACAGAACTTGGTCTGGCCTGGACAACTCTGGCCACCATCGACCGATTGGGTCTCGTTGTCTCCGTTATCTCTCGCTGACTCCAACCCGGACCACGCGTTGATCAGAAACCACGTTGGGCGTGCCGTTTACCCGTGGATACGTCAGCGACCTTGCCGATATTGCCCTGTCTTTTCGCCAGCCTTTCCAAAGATCCCAAACCCCAAACCGACTTCTCCTGAACTAGTCATCGCATGGCCAAGGGGTTGTTTCCTCGCGGAGACCATGGTCAGAAAGAAACTAGAATCCAATCAAGGGAGGTGAGGCCTAGTCGAACAGGAGCTCGTTCCAAGCTATGCGGCGGGAGGCGGCCCCGTCAGTCAGCTGTCTAGATCTGTCTGTCTGTCTGTCTGTCTGTCTGTCTGCCACAACGCGCACGCGAGAACGATGGGCTAATACGGTCTACCTGACGGTCTGACTGTGACTGAGCCTGTGCCTGCCTATCCCCGGGGCGTGTCCGAGGTCCGCAAACAATGACAGTTTTGGCTTCAGCAATGGCACTTGTTTCTCCTTCGTCCGATAGGAGGCCCTTCGACCTAATTATGTTCGGTATTCCTCTTCCGCAACACCCAAAGCTTAGCCACGCTAAGCAGGCCGCAACATGGAGGCCGTGGGACCAGATCGCCCTTGGCAAAAAGTCTTGCTCTGCCCAGCAGTCACATTGCAGACACATCGCTACTGCGCCAAGCGCCGCGAGGCTTAGCTAGCGACGGGAGAGCAACCATGGGGATCGCTGAAACGCCAAGCGGAAACAACTGCGAACGCTGACTTACAAGGAGGGGTCCAATGACGAGATTAATCCGGGATACACTCCTCGTCCTTCTTTCGAATGCACCCTCGAATGCTCGCTCACATCCTTCGCCGCGCTCGATCCCCCCTCCCCCTGCCAGACCCCCTTGATGTTGGATCCAAGAGGGGATGATGCTGTTTTCTTCATGTCGGTCAAAGAAAACTCCCTCTCATTTTTTGCCTTTCGTTTCCAACCGACTAGGGCTAGACAGCCGGTTCGTTCTCGAGAGCGTGGAAGGGTTACCTGTTCGACGCTTGGGGCCAAGAATAGCAGCATCCAGTCCACAGTCCATAGCCCATACGGACCATGCTTGCTTGACCTTACTGCTTTCTCTCTCGCCCATCGTCGGATATTCGCCATCCTCTTTGTCAGTGTTTTGTCTGATGAAGAAACCGCCCCAAGTCGACAGCTTGCCGGCATCCAGCATTCAGTATCCAACTTGATAATTGGAATAAGGCCTGTGGGGAGCATGCGTGGGCCGCACATCTACCTGCTACGTCGTCTAAATGCTTAGCCACGCTTACTTGACCTAGACTTCTGGATCAACGGAAGCCAAGTTCGGCTCACCGTCGCCGTCCAGTGGAGACTGGAGAAGGGGTGACGAGCAACTTGTCTGGCCATCTGCACCAGGACTGGTCTAAATGCAACGGCCCGGCTAGCTGGTCCCGAGAACATCGCCCGAGGACTAGCATCCGCTTGGCTGCGGCAAGCTTGTGTCTTTCTCGCAGTAGCCCACGGCACTTAAGCCTTGTAGCAGAGAGAGTGTCGGCGCTAGGGGGAGATCTGACAGCGCCCTCGTCTTACCGTTTTTACTTCTCTTCGCCGCCGGGCGCCAAACGTACATGTGCAGACTGAGGTGGTGGTGGTGGTGGTGTTGCTACTCCCTCCTGTAGCCTGTCCTATCTGTTGGTTATTGGAAAGGAGGACCGGGATCATATCGCATTGTCAACCTGCCAAATCAACCACGCTTAAATGGTTCGAAATAAGCTAATTGAGACCTCAGATCAACGGCTCGCCAGCTTCCATGGCCCCATGAGACTTTACATCCGAAGCACGATATCTCTTGGCTCTCACTCAGACCTACCTCAACGGGCTTGCGCATAGTTGCGAACAGAAAGCGAGCATGGGAAAGGCCAGAGCCGCCACACAGAAAGAGAGAGAGAGAGAGATGCACACCATCCACGTCCACACCCACACACACACACACACAACTCTCAACATCCCCCTTGCCCCTTCCTCCCCTGCGCTAGCCTCCCGGCACCGATCGACCGGTATCCCTGCTCTGGATCACGGCCTGGTCGACTGTGGGGTAAGGGGAGACTCCCCTGCTTGTGACCGATCTTCTCCTCGACGTATTCGCAGAATTCCAAACATGCTACCAAGATCCACCTCGTTGCCGCAACTCATGTCTTGGGTCCTGGCTGACGGGAGGGAACCCCGATCCCAGGTGGAAGCGCACACGCCCTCCCCTCGTCCTCCTCGTCCTCCTCCTTCAGGCTTCGCCCTTCTCCTCGCCTTCGCTCTCAGTCAGGACTCTGCAGTGGTTCGACCGGTTCGGCGCCAGATCCGTCCATCACAGGGTTGGCCCGGCTTGACATGGACGCGCACGCCCCCTTGCTGAGCGGGACAATCTGTGACCAGGGCATCACAACTTGAGACTTGGCTCGCCTGGAGCCTCCAAGCAACGAGCGCACGACGTCGTCGTCCCATTTTTTGCAACATGTATAATCCTCGCTTCCTGAGCCGGCCCAGTCGTCATCTCTTGACTTTCCTACTTTGAACATTAACTCGGCCTTGTCCACCACCTTCTTCTTCTCCTTTTCCGACCCGGGTTACTCTTCTCTTCTTGGCCATCCTCTATTCCTTTCCCCCCACCCCCCCCACCGTCACCAGTTCCGTTCATTCACGACGACTCTTGTTTAATTCTCTTTTTACACATTGAGGGCTCCCTGGTGACAGCTCCTCGTCCTTCTCATTAACAAGCAAAAGAGCCGCCTGGTGTGGCCTGTTTTCTACCCTTTGTTCCTAGAGTTGTCTACCTGGTGACGGACGGTTTTTTTTTTTTTACATTACAAACATCATGGAGTCAACTTCATTGCGGTCGCTGGTCCTTTACGGCCTCCTGTCGACCTTTGCCGACGCCTCCCCGGTCGAGAAGCGCGCGAATATTCAAAAGCGAGGACACTTCCTCGTCCCCAGAGTGCCCAACGAGAACTTCGCCGGTCACAATGGTCCGAGACAGCTGATGAAGGCGTACCGCAAGTTCAGCATGCCCATCCCGCAGGGCCTGCAGGACGCCATGGACGCCATGGCCGCCCAGAACCCTGAGCCCGTCAAGGCCGAGAGTGTCAAGTCCGAGGGCTTCAAGTCTCTCGCCGCCGGCGCCACGAACCAGACCGCCGCCGCTGGACAACCCGGAACCGGTCTCGTCACCGCCACCCCGATCCGCAACGACGTCGAGTACGTTTCGCCCATCAAGATTGGTGGCCAGGAGGTCAACGTCGACTTCGACAGTGGTTCTTCCGACCTGTGGGTCTTCACCTCCATGCTCGACGCCACATCCCAGACCGGTCACCAGCTGTACGACCCTACCAAGAGCACGAACGCCAAGATGCTTTCTGGCCAGCAGTTCTCCATCAGATACGGTGATGGCTCCGGTGCTCAGGGTGTCGTCGGAACTGACGTCGTCGACATTGGCGGCGCTGTCGTTCAGGAGCAGGCAATCGAGATGGCCACCGCCGTCTCCCAGCAGTTCGTCCAGGACACCGCCAACAACGGTCTTCTCGGTCTTGCCTTCTCCAAGCTCAACACCGTCAAGCCCACGGCACAGAAGACCTTCTTCGACAACGTCATGCCCAGTCTTGCCGAGCCCCTCTTCACTGCCGATCTCCGCAAGAAGACCGTCGGCGCCTACGAGTTTGGCCGCATCGACAACACCAAGTTCACCGGCCAGATGGCCTGGATCCCCGTCAACACCACCAGCGGTTTCTGGCAGTTCGGCAGTGAGAAGTTCCAGGTTGCCGGCGGTCAGGTCCAGCAGGGCACCGCCGGTGCTCAGGCCATTGCCGACACCGGTACCACCCTCATCCTCGCCAACCCCCCCATGGTCCAGGCCTACTACCAGCAGGTCCAGGGTGCCAAGCAGGACCAGCAGGTCGGCGGCATCACCTTCCCCTGCAACGCCCAGCTTCCCGATCTCATGATGGACATCGGCGGTGTCTACATGGCCCGTGTCAAGGGTGCCGACATCAACTTTGCCCAGGTTGACGCTCAGAGTAAGTGACACCCACAACATACCACTACTACTATGAAGCTCGAACTAATACCTTGCAGCCTGCTTCGGTGGCCTCCAGGCAACCACCTCCAAGCTTCAGATCTACGGAGACATCATGTTCAAGTCGCAATTCGTTGCCTTCAACGGTGGAAACATGTCCCTCGGCATGGCCGAGCACGTCGTCAACAGCCAACCCGCGGCAGCACCCGCGACTGGCGCTGGCGCAGCGGCGTAAGCATTGACACACGTGCGAACCACACTTTACTTCTTTTGGCATTAGGATTCACTTTTTTTTTTGATGTCCAGGGAGAACAACATGAACAACGCCGGCTCGACGACGTCCGGTAGTGAGAGGTCGGCGGCTGCCAAGGGAGGGTTAATGGTCGTCCTCCAAGCCGTGTTAATCGCCATGGTCATGGGCGTCTTCTGAGACGGACGACTACAGAGAGATCTTTTTTTGTCTTATTCCCCCCTTATCGGGATGATTTGCGGAACTACATGGTGAAACTCATTCTAGCTTAGATATCCTCTGAGCTCTCTAGCCGGCATAGTAAATGAATGGCATTGTGAAAAAAAAGAAAAAAACCCCCCCCCCCCCCATTTCTCCAACGTCTCGCGTCTTCTCTCCTACTTGGTCTTCTCTCCTATCTGCTCTCCTCCGTCTTGTACTCTTTCTTTCCCACACGCTCACACAGATCCTTCAACATGTTTCCGGTCCACTCGAAGTCGGACTCATCGAGGAAAATCTGCGCACTCACCCTGACCCACCAACGGCCATCGTGCCTGTAGACGGGCAAGAAGGTTTGGTACTCACTCATCATCTTGGACACAAGCCAGGCCCCGACAGCTCCGGATTCCGTCTCGGGAACAGTGACCGTGCCATCAGAACCCACCTCTGCAGCAGTTCCCGTCACCATCGGTAACGCAACATTGACCATGGCGCACTTGCTCAACGTCTCAGTCTTGTTATCCAGAATAAACGTTCCAAGAATCGAAGCAATCTTCTTACCGCCGCTCGTAGCCAACGTCTGAAGGTACTCGACAATCCTCTCCTCCCCACCAATACTCTGACGCCACTCAATCGAATGCCTAACACATAAATTCGGGCTATTATCAAACGTCCCGTTGAACCCGAAATTCGTCACAAACAGCGAGTCCTTGCTCTTCGGCAGCGGGTTAAACCGCACCTGCCCCGACCGCGGCACATACCCATGCGACGTCGGCACCGTCGACGCCATGAGATGCTGATTCCGCTCGGGCACGTAGAAGACGGCGCACCCGCGCGGGACGTGCAGCCACTTGTGGCAATTCGACACGAAGAAATCCGGATCGACGGCCGAGACGTCGAGGTGGACCATGCCGATCCCTTGCGCGCCGTCGACGAGGCTCATGACTCCTAGTTCGCGGCAGGCGGCGGTCATGGCGACCCAGGGGAAGCAGATGCCGGGTAGGCTGGTGACGACGTCAAAGAGGCAGATTTTCGGGCGTTTGCCCTCGGCGCGGGATTTTGCGACGGTCTCGCGGAAGAGGGTTACGATATCGGCGTCTTCCATGGGGTACGTGAGCGGGATGCCGCGCTCCGAGACGCGGCCGTAGCGGGTGTCGACGATGTAGTCGATTGTCTTTGCGCAGCCGCCGTAGATTGTGGAGAAGTAGAGGATCTCGTCGAGGCCGTCGGCGGCCCAGGAGAGGTTGCGGAGGACCGTGTTGACGCCCGTCGTGGCGTTGGGGACGAAGACGGTGCTGTCGAGGGGGGTGTTTATGATTTGGGATACGGCTTTGCGGGATTCTCGCAAGTGGTCGTGGTAGGTCCAGCGGATGAAGGGGTCTGGACGGGCCTCGGTTTCGTCTTGGTAGGAACGGAGGACTTGGCGGATGTGGCGTGGGATAGTGCCGAATGAGCCTGGTGGGTTGTTAGTGAAGGAAGCATGAGATTTGGTTGAATGATTTATCGTCGCTTTGAGAATGGACTTGCGAAAGCCGTACCATTGTTCATGTTGTGATAAGCTGGGTCATTGAGGAACTCTTTCAACATGGGCTTGCCAAACGGCGTGGAGCCGAGTTGGAGCTTGCCTGTTTCTTCGGCGAGTTCGCCCATGATGTGTGAGGTTCTAGATGATGAGAGGTGATGAGTCTTGTTGGCGATGATATCGGTAACGAGATGCCGGAGACTCTTCAATGATAAGCCCTGCACCGACCGAGAATGGATTGAATCAAGATGAAGATGGTTTGGATCAATTGGCTCTATAACAACGGCCAATTCAATGTTATTTATACTACTGTTGTTTCTCGAATGTGAGTCGTACTTCAAGATGCCATTGACTCACAAGTGGTAGTAGTTGGGTTTATCTATCAACCCCTTGCAAGACAAGATTAAGTCCAAACAGCGGGAGCAGCCGAGCCGCGTCCATCTCCGCATCCCGGAGCATGGGCCCTCGATCGGACTGGCTGGCCCGCAGCGACCCGCTGAAGCACTCGCTTGACACCTCTGCATGCTACGACATGTTGTCCGTAGGGCGCGGACTATGTACAATGGACGGGTCTAACGGAATTTTAAGCTTAGTGAAGGGGCGGAACGAGAGCGAGCTATCATGCGCCGACCGAGTCTAGCCGACGATTGTTTGGCCGAGTCACCTTTGGTTCTCGAGACGAGGGACAGGGAACTGGGCAGTTTACCGTCATGGAGTTGAGTTGATTTGTAATATGTATAAGATCACGATCCTGCTCTGCATCTTGAAACTCCAATGTTGACGAGGATGTCAGATTCCGGCGGGCTCAGTCGAGCTACGGATATGGAGGCACGAAGGTTGGAGTGCGAAAACCCCCCGATAGTCGGTGAATTGGAGAGCGGGCATTCTTTAGACTCAGTAAGATAAAGCTCGGGGCTTCTTAAAAAAAGACAATTTTCTCGAGACTGAAACCTAGTATTTTCTTTGCTGCAGTAAACTCCGTTAAAGTTGTGATTCTCAACATTGGTATCCCGGTGATTGTTTCCGCAAGTGGGCCGCTAAGTCGTAGGGCGCGCCTGTGGATGACTCGAATCAGCTACAGTGGTGAGAGGGCAACTTGCAATTCTTTGATTGTTTGCGTTTTGAGTTTCTTACTCAACTCAACGGTAGTTCAGAACTCTTATTGCTTGGATCTTTTGTTCATTGTTCAACGTCAGCGAAACATGGGATCGGGCGCGTTTTTGCCGAAGAAGCCGGCAAACTTCCTACTCAAGTCGACAGACTGCAGTATTCGTCATCGAAGATCGTGGCGGACATAGCTCAGTTGGGAGAGCGTCAGACTGAAGTTAACTTCAATCATTTAATCTGAAGGTCGTGTGTTCAATCCACACTGGCCGCATCTTCACTTATCTTTTGATGTTTTTGGACATTCCCTCCCTCTATGGGGGATCCTACTTTTTGATTGATTTCATCGACCTTTGCTCGTCTTTGGTTAGAATCTGTGTACCTGGTTGGTGTACGTGGTGTGCTTGCTGTCAACTCAAATTAGCCCTTGCGTACAGTTCGCCCAATTGCATTTGGTGCGTCACTCATCCATCCATGTTCATTCCCAAAACTCAATGCAGAATCAACTCATCACTGTCGATACAGAGTTCAGGGGTGGCTAATTAGGTTAACTGGCAGTTGTTTCATGGAAGAATTCCTATTCGATTGACTTCCCTTTCTCCTCTTTGCTCTAGGTCCAGGGAGTTAGTTAGTTATGCGCGTGAAAGGGTCATTTCAGTCTCCATTAGCAGTCGACCGAGCATGTGCACAACATTAAAAGTTGGTACTCATCTTTTGGGTTCACCAGTGCTGCTGGTGCAGATATATATATGTACATGGGAGAATTTCTCCGAGATAGAGCCAACTAATTTGCGCATATCTACTAAACCTACCTTACGTTGTGTCCTGCGTGCAACCAGCCTCCGTGTAACTACTAGCCAAGGTTAAATAGCAAAAGTGAGTAGCACAACAGGGCGAATGAAGCACCTCACTACGAAGACACGTCATCCTCATTGCGTCAGGAATACTAACATGAATACTGTGTATGCGGAAGAGTTCATCCATTGTCGTCCTTCGGAAGGGAGGAGAAAAATGAGGGGAGCGTCAAATCTCCGCCCACCGCCGTTCCCTCCCTCCCCCCGGGGCCCCCAAAAAGCGAGGCGCCGAGCGGGCCGGCATTGAACAAGTTAAGATTCACAACGTCATTTAATTGCGTTTAGAGGGGCCACAACATTCAACCGGGCGTGGTCCGGATTCGCTTTCTGGCGAATAATCATCAACAGTGTACGATTTTCAGAATAATAGTAAATAACCGCTCTGTTGCAATTGGGTCTCACGGTAGACGGCCCGACGTCCTTTAAACGGGTGTCCATTCGCGGGAATACTTTTTTGGACAAGACTGAGAAAGCGATGAGTTAGTTGGAGTTTTCCCCTCATTTACATGTGCCCATCATGTACATCACATCATGCCCTGGCTTCCAAGAGATCGAATGCAACCCTACGGCAATGCCAATGTCACCTGAGAGACAAACGCAATTCGACGTTTCTTCCGAGTCGATCTTGTCCCCATTCCCCAAAGCGGAGGGGAGCAGCCGCCGCGACGTGGCCAGAGTTTTCTCGCGGCACATATCCAGGTTCACTTTATGGGATGAACGCACAAAACATGTGGTCAACGAATACTACGTATACTGAATATTAATCACCTACCATGGATCTTGGGAGGGATGATCAATACCAAGCCGCTGGATACTACTGCCGAACATCCCGACTCAATATTATGGAGAACGGCTTAACTCTAATGCTGGCCCCTTAATGTAGACGCACAGGGCCGAGACATGAAGAGGCCAATTGGCAATTTATACTACGCCAACCAACTCGCCCACGGAACCAGACATGTCCTTGCCACGGGGCATGAGATCACAGGACATACCGATCCTAATTCACGCAGATTGACCCTGCAGAAATGATGACCTCTCTCCTCTTGTGCGTACCCTCGGCAGCTTGGCTGGACACGTCTGGTTTACTGCACGGTACGGATCGTCAATGCCCCTCGAGTGGGGATGCAAGCTCCCAAGCTCATGAGCTTCAGACCTCCGGGTAAAGAGTACATAAAGATCAAGACCTCAGCCATACAAACCTTCACCCGTTCTTCACATTCCCTACATCCAAAATGCATCTCCCCAAGATCGCATTCCTCGCCGCAGCGGCCACCCTCGCCAGCGCGCAAAACTCCACGGGAGGCGGCAGCACCCCCCTCCGCACCTCGGAATGGGACGCAGCCTACGCCAAAGCCGAAGCCGCCATCGCCAAGCTCTCCCTCGACGAGAAAATCGGCATCGTCTCGGGTGTCGGCTGGGGTAAAGGCCTCTGCGTCGGCAACACCTCGCCCGCGTCCTCGATCAACTACCCCTCTCTCTGTCTCCAGGATGGGCCCCTCGGCGTCCGCTACGCGAGCAGCGTGACGGCGTTCGTTCCCGGTATCCAGGCGGCTGCGACGTGGGACGTCGAGTTGATTCGGCAGAGGGGCGCGTTCAAGGCTGCTGAGGCGAAGGGCGTCGGTGTGCATGTGATGCTTGGCCCTGCGTGTGGTGCTTTGGGTAAAGTGAGTTGATCACACGCCCTGCAGACTGTCGTAGAATCTAAATTCACTGACTATCAAACCTGAAAAGACACCAAACGCCGGTAGGAACTGGGAAGGCTTCGGCCCAGACCCGTACCTCATGGGCATCGCAACAAAGGAGACGATCGAGGGCATGCAGTCCGCAGGCGTCCAAGCCACAGCAAAGCACTACATTGTCAACGAACAGGAACTCAACCGCGAGACGATCAGCAGCAACGTCGGTGACAGGGAAATGCACGAGCTCTACCTCTGGCCCTTTGCCGAGGCCGTCCACGCCAACGTCGCGTCGGTAATGTGCTCCTACAACAAGATCAACGGCACCTGGGCCTGCGAAAACGACGCCGTCATGACCAAGCTCCTGAAAGAAGAGCTCGGTTTCCCCGGGTACGTCATGACGGATTGGTTCGCCACCACGGGCACCGTCAGCGGCGCCGAGGCCGGGCTGGACATGATGATGCCCAACGCCAACTACAACAACGATCCCGGGTCCGTGTGGTGGGGCCCGCAGCTCAAGACGGTCGTGGAGAACGGCACCGTCTCGGTGACGACGATTGAGGACAAAGTCCGCAGGATCCTCGCGGCGTGGTACTTACTCGGCCAGGACCAGGGCGAGTACCCGCCCGTCAACCTCGCGGCCAACGTCCAGGGCACGCACAAGGACAACGTGCGTGCTACGGCGCGGGACGGCATCGTGCTGCTCAAGAACGAGGGTGCCATACTCCCGCTCAAGGCGCCCAAGAGGATTGCCGTCATCGGGTCGTCGACTGTGAATAACCCGGCCGGTATCAATGCCTGCTACGATCGTAGCTGCAATAACGGCACCCTCGGTATGGGATGGGGTTCCGGAACGGTAGACTACCCTTACCTCGTGGCACCGCTCGACGCGATCCGCGAGCGAGCGCAGCAGGATGGCACAGAGGTGTCTGCCAGCAGCACCGACGACGCGCAGCAGGGCGCCACGGCGGCAGCCGGTGCCGACGCGGCGTTTGTCTTCGTCACGTCGGACTCGGGCGAGGGATACATCACCGTCGACGGCAACATTGGCGACCGCAACACGCTGGACCCGTGGCACAACGGCAACGAGCTCGTCAAGGCTGCGGCGGCGGTTAATGATAATGTCGTGGTCGTGGTGCACAGCGTCGGACCCATCATTCTCGAGACGATCCTCGCGCAGCCTGGCGTCAAGGCTGTCGTGTGGGCTGGGCTTGGGTCGCAGGAGACTGGAAATGCGCTGGTTGATATCCTCTGGGGCGCGACGAGTCCCAACGGAAAGCTGCCGTATACGATTGGCAAGAGTGTTGCCGACTACGGCAGTGCGGTTTCGAAGACCCTTGAGGACAACTTTGCGGAGGGTATCTTTATCGACTACCGCCACTTTGACCGGGCTGGCATCGAGCCGCGGTATGAGTTTGGTTTTGGCTTGTGTAAGTCCTTTCCTAAGACGGTCCTGATTTTCACTTGAAAGCCATGCTAACGGAATTTGCAGCGTACACAAACTTTACCTACTCCGACATCAGCGTCAGCGTCACCTCCGCAGCTACATCCGGTCCGGCCATCGGCCAAGTAGTTCCCGGCGGCCGCGCAGATCTCTTCGAGGTCGTCGCTACCGTGACGGCAACCATCAAGAACACGGGATCCATCGCCGGCGCCGAGATTGCGCAGCTGTACCTTACCCTCCCTGCTGGCGCGCCCCTTTCTCCACCAAAGCAGCTTCGCGGATTCGAGAAGTTGAGACTTGGCGAGGGAGAGTCAGCAGTAGCGACGTTTAATCTCAGGAGGAAGGACCTGAGTTATTGGGATGTCGCAAGCCAGAACTGGATTGTGCCGGCGGGTACGTTCACCGTCAAGGTCGGCGCGTCGAGCAGAAACCTGGCGTTGGAGGGAGATTTGGTTGTATCCTAGGATCTGTGTATGCCGCCTGTAGCACATCGAATGATGCAATGAGATGACATGTTGCAAAAAAGACACACTATCTTGAAATGAGGGCCCGGCCGGCGGGATGCTCACGTGAGGCGTAATGAGGTTCCAAGTCCACTCACATACTGGCGCAGTTCGATCCACGTCGGGCCGGGTGACACGAAAATAGTGGCTTGGCGGAAGCGAACGTGCGGCGGAGCGGCCGTGGTTCCGCCGCGGCAGTGGGCTCTCGCCGTCTCGCGTTCGGGAATGTGGGCGACGTCTCCGAGATGCCGGTTGTGGACTGTGGCGCGGGTTCAGAGCCCCATCCCTGCTCCAAGCTCCCCAGCGCTCCGCGAGTGAGGCTCGGGCGCTGCCCCAATGAACTTTGAAAGTCACCCCCAAGGATTTGCAAGTAAAAAACCTAGAAAATGTTTCGACATGTTCTAGAAGAAAGCGGGGTGGGCCTCAATCAGGGCAGATTGGGATGCTACCGGGCTCCTGCTTCTCATGAGTCGGCGACGAACAGGCGAACCTTGTTGCCTTGGAGCCGTGTCTGCCGTCTTGGCTGCTAGTATCCGTACGGACTGAGACTACCTTATAGTATAGGATCGTTAAAGCCGTGGAGAAGCGCGAGGGCCGGGAAGAATAAGGTATTGCGTTCAAACCATGATGGTGATCTGAAGTTTTTCCAAAACAAAAGTGACTCAGGGCTGATTTGCGTCTGGCGAGGCAATGGGCGCGGTCTGAGGTTGTCTGTGAGGCTGAGCTGGGATGAGGGTTATCCATATGCTAACTTTTGGTGCCTTGGGATCATCTGATGTCAAGATGCGAGTGTAGCCGAGAGGGTGGTGTATTGTGGTGAACCGTAGATTGAAGATGACGAGACCGATTGCGGAGGTATTGGGAGCCTCACGAAGCCTCAGAATGACGTTGTTAGTGTTGGAGAGGACTATTGTGTTGTGATTTGAGGTAGTGGTAGTTGATTGTAAAGGTGAACACGCAATCGCGGTGGCTCTCCGGACTCGCCGACTGGCACCCCTAACGCCGAAGACCCGAAGCACGGGACGGAAGGTGACATGGTCCATCCCGAAAGAGCAAGTGGAGCCATGTGGGTGGGGCCTAGCGCACCGCCTCCCCCGAACTCACTCATTTTCATTTTCATTTTCATTTTCACTTTCACTTTCACTCTTACTGTTGTCTCACTCTCACTTTCAGTCCTCAGTCCTCGCTCTCAGTGCTCACACTCACTCTCAGTCGTATTCTCATTCCTCACAAAAAAAAAAAAGTCTGCCCTATCAACTGTCGCACCCCAGTCGGCAATCTCGCATCTCCCCCGCCCAACTTCGCCCAGGACCGATTTCGATATTCTTTGCATGCGCCTTGTGGGAAACTACCTGCCGTGCATTCGCAATCTGCCGTCTGCAGGTCCGGTAATCCACAACCCGCGAACAAGCAAAAAAAAAAATAAGGTGTGCTTGCAGATTGGAACGCCTAACGTACTCCGTACTGCGTGCCGTCTGTATCTGTATACCCGAACTGCCAAACTGAGTGAGGTCAGGGCACAAGGCATAATGCCAGGGCAAACAATGACGAGCATACCTTTCCTCTTTCACATCAGACGTTCCGTCCCACACAGATATACCCCATCCCCAGACAGAGATCCATCTCTGCAGTACATGTGCAGGAGTACATCTCATGAGAGTCCCGTGACGGTACCCAAAGACTCGGCATCATGACCATCTGTCTCGCCCACTAGCGCCGCCAGACATGTACAGCCAAGGCACGAACACATTCAACGCGTGTCAACCACCGTCACCGCGGGAGAAGACTATTGAACAGAATGACTTATCATAGTGAGGTACGTGTACTATCAACCATTGGGGCGCTGAGCCCCGGGACCAAGTGGAGTGACCGTGAAGGGATGGACGCGGGAGCGAGCCTGTACCTCCTTGTAGGACAGTAAAGTGACCCCAAAAGAGAGGGGCCGCCGCCTTACGCAACACCACCAGTGCCCCTCAACCCCAGACAACTCCGCCCCAGCGCGACCTTGCGCCGCTCCTGGGATCCATCCTCGTCGCGAAAGCTTTCTCTCTCTCTCTTATGTCACAGTCATGCCTTGATCACCGGCCAGCTTGGACTGGTTCCCTTGTGAACCTGTTCAGACGACTGGTTTACTTAAGGCTGGTGTGCCCCCCGTCTCCCATCTATCTGCTTTGACTTATATCCTGTTCATCAACAACTCGCCACTTATACCCAAACCTCGAGCGAATACAAACCACTTACACACACACACACACACTCACCAACAACAACAACACAAACAAACACACAAAACAACCAATCCATCCTCAAATGTCAGCACAAGACTACTACGGCGGCACCCGCCAAAACACACACACCCCCGGCGGTTCCTCCTCCCGCCACAGCCAACACCTATCCGCAGGCCCCCTCATAGACCAAGCAGGCTACCGCCCCCGCTCCGCAACCTCCGACCGTCCCCGCTCCTCCTTCTCCTCCCTCGGCCTCCCGGGCTCTTCTTCCTCCTCATCTCACCACCGCTCCCGATCCTCCGGTCCACCAGGCTACGACGCCCAACTCGGTACAGGCCAAGAAGGCGAACGCGGCATCATCTCCACCATCGGCGGCGGCGCGGCAGGAGGGTACGCAGGCAAGAAGTTTCTGGGGGGCAAACTCGGCGCCGTGGCGGGGGCGTTGGGCGGTGCGGTTGTCGCGAACAAGTTGGAGCATCGGTTGAGTGGGAGTCACCACGGGCACTCCAGCAGCAGTAGCCACGGACACGGTCACCATGGACATCACGGGCATCATCACCCGCCGCCGCCTCCTCCTCCCCACTATGGAGGCCACCACCACCACGGGGGGCCTCCCCCGCCCCCGTACGGAGGTCACCACTACGGCCCGCCGCATCATGGTCCCCCGCACCACGGCGGTAGCCATCATTCCTCCGGTGGCTTCGGCGGGCTGGTCGGTTCGTTGATGCATCGTGAAAAGTCCCACGGAGGACACCACGGCGGTCCTCCTCACCACGGGGGCGGTCACCACGATCACCACGGACATCATGGCCACCATGGAGGCTGGTAAAAGACCACTCTGGATGATGACTATTTGATTACGACTGGCGTTTTTGGGTCATGGGATTTTATACATGGAATGATTTTACTATCTACTATATACCTGCGCAGCTGTGGCATTAGAGAGAAGGGGTGGACGTGTTGATATGGGAATGTTCAGGGGATACGATATCGATGGCTTCACTGGCCTACTCAGATACCTTTTGAGCGTCTCACGGCGCGCGCAAATCAACTTGTATAAACCAATAATTTGCTTTCATTTTGCACGGTGGCCAAAAGGTCCCATCCTATGCGTGTTTGATGCTGCTACTCGTGGCCTCAGCCATGCAATGCATATAAAATCCTAATTGAGAAAACTCCAATAATCAAAACTCCACCAGAGGTACGAGGCCCCCTTATGCTCCCCAAATGAAATCCCTTCCTCGTGTGAAGACGGGCAAAAACTCGGCCAACTAACTGCCCGTGTGATACTCAAAACCCCACCTTGGGCGAACATTGCCCAACGTGCAGGTGTGTATATATGTGCCCCAATGAAAGAAAAGTCGTCATCATCATCGCGTTTCTCCCGAGAACCTTGAAACCTCGGTTCGAACGGGGCCAAAACACGTATATATGCAATTCAGATAAAGCAGTGCAGATCCCCCGGGTGATCATCCATGCAAAGAGAACTGAAAACCCCCCCCCCAAGAAACACGGCAATCAGCCTCCTACGGTCCCTTCTGGTCGACTCCTCCCTGGAATCTGGATTTCGCCGTCATCGTCGTCAGAGCTGTCGCCCGCTTGCGCTACTTGATCAATCATCCGCTCAATGTCCGCGTCCGCTAAGCGTGGCCGTGGTCGTGAAGTACTCCCCAGGGCTGCCGGTAATGACAGTTGAGGACGCAGCGTGCTGCCGGTGGTCCCTCCAGAGAAGCTGGCGCTTCCGTTGATTCGCCTCCTCATTGGCCCTCGTGACTGAGGTGAGTCCATGTCAATATCCATGTCGCTCACTGCCGTCATACCCCCAGGGCTCTTCTCAAAGCCCACGCGTTTTTGCGGCAGGGGCCGCTGCGAGGGCAGGCTTTTGCGGGGTTGAGAGCTCGGCAGAGCGTGACGACCGGGCAAATTGGATGCTGCTGATGCCGAGTAGTTGTGCTTCATGTTGGCCGAGTTTCCGGGACTGCTCATAAAGAGCAGTGATTCGATAGCGTCCTGCTCTCTAACGTTTTGATTAGGTGAGAAGAGGATCGGGTCGATGAGTGTAGTCCGGCCTAACCTCTGATTTGGCGTTGCATTGTTGTTCGGTTGAGAAGGCGTATGCGGTGACGCGCTGTGTGAGTGGGAGAGAAGAGTTGGAGTGTAGCGAGGATTTGAATTCCGGCGTGGATTATGGCCTCCCATTGGCCTCGACGGCTGAATCGGAGCAGGCGGTGCAAGTGTAGGGACGTTTTGATTTTGTACGGGTGCTGGAGGTGAAGCAGAAGTATGCGCGGATCTTTGTCCCTCCTTCCAGAAGGATTCGTACGTTGCAGGGCTTGGGCCAGAGCTTGCTGTGGTGGCGGCACTGACGGGTTGATAACGAGCCATATTGGCGCGAGGACTTGCAGACAGCTCTTGACGGCCGTGCAAGGTGGAATGGCTAGAGGTGGGCGAAGCGGCCTGGGAGGCCATGGATTCGACTTCATCAATCGAGTGTGATTGCCAGCCGTGATTTACCTTCAGCATTGCGTAGGAAAGGCGCGTTTTAAGATCGCTGGACCACTATATAACACATGGGTCAGCCAAGGTTTCTTTTGGTAGTGTCGCGTGCCAACTTACATCACCGATACTGCTGGCTGTAGTCGAAGCCATGCTGACGGTGCTCGTATTCCTCGAGTGTCCCATCCGGACAGGAGAGGTGTTCTCCTTAAGAGCACCGTCGGCCATTCGCTTCCGAGCAGTTGCCATTACATTGTCCTCGGCCAATTTGTCCTGGGCGGCGGCAATGTGGGATAGTTGGAGAAGTTGCGATTCTTGGCTGGAATCGTGACCGTTGAGGCTTCCTCCTGGCATGTCACCCTGACTGGCGGGCGGCGTGAAGACGTTGGCGGGTTCGGCGGACAGGCTCGAGGTCTGCGAGTCAGAGGAGGGGAGCGGTCGCTGATGGGCGGATGGAGTGACCTGGGAAGCCACGAAGGGTGCAGCAATTGATATGGTCTTGAGCGGTTGGTGATCGGCTATGCGAGGAACATGATTTAATGTTATGAAAGGTTGCGAGGGCTGCTGGTAGTTTGGCTGGGGTTGCTGGCCGTGTGCGTGGACGTGGACGTGGTTATGGAGGTTGTGGCGGTGGTTCGCAGTCGCGTCGCCCGAGAACGATGCGGCTTTGTCGTTGGGGAGCGCGTCGGATGAGGCGACGGTCTGGGGCCGGGTCGAGGGCTGCAGGGCACGACGAGCGGCTTTATCCGGTAGCAGCCCCGTGTCTTGCAGACTCGCAGGAGAGTGCATTTTGAAGTGTTGTCGGTCGGATTCGTGTATGTGGCCCAGCCGAGGCGGGATGGAGGCAGAGTCCATGGCGGACAGACTGGTGATGCGCCGGATTGAGGTGTGATGATAGAGGCGTCGGGCGGCCGGCGGAGAGAGGGAGCAAGTATGTTCGAGGGTGTATTCAAACACCGATGAGGACGATATACGGCAACGAGGCCGGCGAGGGGAGGGGAGAGGAGGATCTGGTGGTCGGAGGTGTAGGAGTGACCGAATTGACGGGTGAGGGTTGCGACGAGGATCGGGTGTGCGGTGTGGTGGTAGGTAGGCTGTGGTTGCATACGCGGACGACACTAGGCAGGTCACACAGGCGGTGGTGTCCGCTGTCGAGGCATCTGCTAACGGTCGCGGGTACCTAAGGTAAGACCGACTTTACGCAGTAGAGGGACGATAATTAGCTGTGGGATTGATGGACAGGCGGGGGGGGGGATGGAGACTGCGCGGCGGGAGGAGCAAGAGAGGAGCGACAACTGAGGTGGGCTGGGGTGGTGGTGGAAAGGGCGGTTTACGCGGTCTGCGTCGCGTTATTTTCGCCCACCTTGTCTTCGGTTGTTCTCTTTCAAAGTAAGTCCCCGTATGTTTTTTCTGCCCAGGTGTGTCCCGTCTGGTGGATGTGTGTGTGTGTGTGTGTGTGTGTGTGTGTGTGTTTCCGTCGGATCCCTTGCCCATGAATTGTTGACTCTTGTTCTGGCCCGTTGTTCTGGGGGAGTTTCCAGTGTCTCTCGGCTGTGTCTTGCAGCGGCTTCTCCACTGTAACAATGGCGAATTCCCCCCTTCCAGTCGTCCTAACCTAACGCTCTTGGGGTTCGTTTCGCTAGACAGACGAGGACCCCCAGTCAGTGGTCACGCAAGAGGATGCCTATCTTCTCAAAGCGAAAATACTCTGTTCAGAAAACAAAAGTGACAAAAGTGTCAACAAGAAGAATGAAGTGTGCCAAAGTAGTGCAATGCCGCTAATGTCAGAATTTCAGCCAGTTAGTCCTGCCAGAAAAAAATGACACCCGACCGAGGACAGCTGTGGCGGCAAAACTCGAGCGACTGCGACACGCCCGGCTTCCCGCTCGGCCTGACTCAGCAGGTCAAAGACACGAAGTCACATGATGTTGTACCAAAGTACCTTTAACCACCACCACCACCTCTCCGTCTATCCGGGTTCCTTTTCCTCACCTCAACATCACCCTTCCTTGAACCTCTTATAACAAACTGGACACCCTCAACATCATGTTTGCTCTTCATCAAACATCAACTTGCTATTCCAGGCCTTATCTATGTTTTTGATTGGGCCATCAACCGGATACCCCTGGAGATCAAGTGTTGCTGCCCAAGCCCAAATGTGAACCGAGCATTCGACGTCTAATTGGTACCAGTGGTCTATCTCTATCTCTACCTTACGGAGCAGATGGTTTCTATCAGATCCCCCAACCATGTCATGTATGCAACCAACCAACCGAGTGCACCTCCGTCACCGCTAGACAATGCTTTGTTTTGAACACATGAAGTCCCCGAGGAATGCGGCATGTCTCATCTATAAAAGACTCTAACCCAACCATCCAGCATGCCACATGTTGAGGATCCTCCACACTCCTGGCTCCACGACCACTCCACAGACAACTCAACCGCACGCTGGCTCATCACCCGTCGCCGAGTATCCATGCGCCCCGCCATCTAATATCACCGCTTCGTTGTCCCCAAAGTCGTCCTGTACCACCCTCCTCCACTGCGTCTTTCTATCCTTGCGGCCCTCCAGCTGTGCTCCCTTCCCCTTGGCGTCCCACACCGGTTTGATCAGTCCTCCGAGTAAAGGATTCTGACTGAAAGCACCGCCGCCACCACCACCACCCTGTCCACCCTGCCGCTGGCTAGCAAGGCTGTAATTCTCATCTTCAACTTCATCCACAACAACATCCTCTTCGTCCGGCGTCGTCGGCCGTTCCACAGCCGCCATCTTTCTAATCACCTTCCCACCCACCACGTCAATGCTGACCACCTGCCGCCGCTTCTCGTACTCGGGCTTCGCGTTCCACTCAATCTCGCGGAGAATCTTCTGCTGCCTCTTGAGCTCCCTGGCACGGTCCTCGGGCGTCGACCAGATATTGCCTCCGCTGCCGGCCATGGCCCCGCTGACATCAAAGTCCGCCGCCTCGTCTCTGACCGTTGTTCGCCGCGCGTTCTGCGCCTGGAAGTTCAACAACTTGTCCCGGTGCTCCTTCGCCTTGGCCTCCGCCTCGGTCATCTTATGCTGGGTGAATGGCGCCGGCTTCTTGCTGACCTCGGCGCGCTTGTGAGCATCTCTATCCGCAGCCATGCGCTCCTTTCCTCGCTCGGACTTGAGCTCCCGAATCATTCCTTGAACATCCTCCGATGATAGTAGAGGCGTGCCACAAAATGTGCATGGTCCGAGACCTTCCTTGACACAGATGACCTTGCCACATGACTGGCAGTTTGGCGCCGCGGTCTGCAGCGGGTGCCGTGTAGCAACACAATTGCACCTCCTGGCTCTCGGGTCGTCGCCCATTGTCCGGTTCGTTGTCACCTCCAGGGACCTGATGGCGGCATCCAGGTCATTGAGGGCCGTTGATGCACCCGCCATTGGCGTACCGCCGGCAATCGATATCTTTGTAGGTTTCGTCGTAGGCTTGGGAGTAGAGGATCGTGACACGGGGTTCGACTTGGGCTTGGCCTTGACGTCGGAAATCAAGTAGCCTCCGGCCGTTCTTTGCTGCTGCTGCGGAGGAGGGGTCGCGCTCTTTGGCGGTTGTTTGGAACCCGACGACGGGGCCCCTAGTTGTGGAAAGGCGGTGCTGATGCTGCTGCTACTACTACTACTCTCCACCGCCTGAGCTGGCTTCTTCCCTCCATACCACTCATCCTCCTGCGACTTTTTATTGTAGCTTGCCCCCGGAGGAGGCGCAGCGTCGATCTGCCTCGCGGCTGGTGTGTGTATGTTGGCCTTCTTCTTCTTGGGGCCTCGTGATGTCCTTGGTGCAGGTTCAGGGGCACTTGAGCTGATGGAACTGGATTGGGGCGCTGGGGCCGGCGTCTTCTTCTCTTGTCGTCGAGAATTGAAGGAAGATATGAATTCGACAGCCTGTGGGGAGTCGCCTAGCAAGTCGTTGAAGTGGTTTGCGGCTTCGGATTTCGATAATGTGTTTGCGTAGTCGAGCATTTGCTTCAGCTCATCCTCGGGGAGAGGCAGCAGGCGGGAGAGCTGCGCCAGAGACATGTTGGGAGCTCTATATCTCTTTTGTTTTGGAGTGTGTATTCGAAGTTTTAGAAGCTGTTACTCGAATCGTGGTCGCAGTTGTTTGGGGATGGAAGGGAGAGTGGCTGTTGTCGCAGCAGTTGAGATGTTCACGGGTGTGAGAATGATGATGAAATTGTCAAAAGTGGCGGGGTCTTTCTTTAGATGATGTTCCTGAGAGCTAGCGCCACATCTCCCCCGCGACGGTCAACTTTACGGTGGGGGCAGCACTGTGACCGGCCGGCAAACCCCGCTGCGTCGCCGAAGAGTCACTCGGCGTGCTGAGAGCTCCTTTGACACCGGACTGGGGAGAAGCAGGACGGTACCTTTGGCGTTGAACAATTGTAGTTTATTAGCCAATATGTTCATATTTGATCGATATTACTTCGTTATGCAGTCCTTCTTCTGCTCATCTCTGGTTTCCCATGCGTGATACGGCAGAGCTTGGCACAAGTCGATGAACGTTTCTAACAACTCTCGAACAGTCTAGTGTTCATCCGGACCATCCTATATCATGAGTACTTAGGGCATCCTCAGGTACAGACTATCGCCTCAAAACCTACTTTCGTAGGTTACGGCAGTGGAAAGACGCAACATCATCGGATGCCACAGACCGGGAGGTGCCAGTCGGAGCCGGGGTGAAAGCCGGCTGCAAGGCGCGGGCCGTACAAGACTGGCGGGTCATGAGGTCATGAGTCGGCGCCGGTTGCGGCGTTTTCAGAACTCTTGCACACCTTTTCGGCGGCGCCAGAAGGAAAAGGCAACATGCGCACCAGTGAGATGGCGTGTTCTGGCTCCCCCAATTGTGTGTGTACATCCTCGGTTTGCTTCATGGGTAGGGCCAGAGAAGACATGCATATCTCGAGTAAGGCTGTCTGAGAAGATGTCACATGAAGCAAGCCGGTTCTCATCGACAGCGTAACATGTTCTCCGACGGATGCTGGGGGATCCTAGGGACGGCCATCCGTCCACCCATTGCGTCCATTGCCTGTCTTGTTTACTAACATACAACGGTAGTAGTTGAGAAGGGGTACACTTGAGCACGCTTTACCGTAACCTCGGGTCGAGGGAAGCATCGCGAGATTCTTGACTATATAGCTATCATCATGCACAGCGGATGGGTTGCAACAGTCGTAGATAGGCATGTGCCATGATCAGACCGTCCGTCCGTCCATCCGAGGGTGTCTAATGGGTGCGGCAGTGTCGACTGCATCTCTCGTTCCGGGGTTGGGTGGCAGCAGTGGGAGGGTCGGGGACCAAGCTCGGCGATAGGAAGCTGAGAGGAAGAAAAGGAAGGAAAAAAAGATGCTACAGAACCTAATGCACCGCAGAAGGGTGTGGAGTACGTATCCTCTCCGGCGTTTCCCCGTAGTCTTCCGGGTGGCCGTGACGCTAGTCCCAGATTGGAGTTGGCATGGGGTTTGTTCTTGCTGTTTTTGCTGGTGAATCGTGATCACTCCTTCCTGCCCTCGCACCTTGCAGCCTCAGGAAAGAAGCAAGTCCCGGTCAGTCAGCAGTGCAGGAAGGTAACGACCCTGGGAATGGCGGGCAAGAGCGAGACCGAGAAGGGGACGGGAAGGAGCAGTGAGTGAGTGAGTGACCACCGGGAATGACGGGGGAAAGAGCTGGCAGTGGACAGTGGACAGTGAGATGGACACCTGGATGCCCCATCTTTTTCCGCTTCACCCACTCGCAAGGCCGCATCCTCCCATTCCCGGCCCCCCCCCCCCCGTCCATCCACTCACTGTCTGTGGCTCCCGTCCGCTGGGCTGTGACCTGTCCAGTGTACGTACGGAGTACTCGCTGTTGCTGTGTGCCTGCCAACTTATTTCGCGCGCCTCATAAATTTTTAAACCTCTGCTCTTTTTCTTCCTCCTTCCTCCATCCCATTTGTGTACCATCTACCTACTACACATCCCCCCTTCTCGTCGCAATCATGTCTTTCGTCCAGCGCCGCATGTTCTCCGCCTCGGCGAGAAGCGTAAGTTATTCGTCAACACGCAATTCCTCCATACATGTGCATCAAGCAGAGCTCTCCTCTCCATAGCTCCGAAAAGCCGACCTCGGGGCACGGAACTGAAGGGAGACACAGCTATGAAGCTTCGTGATGGTCCAATGTCAACAAAGACATGCACCATCACCACATTGGCACCCACACAAACAAACAAATACAAGACCATCTAGCTGACACTATGTCTTCCTCCCACAGCTCTCCAAGGTCGCCGTTCTCGGTGCCGCCGGTGGTATTGGCCAGCCCCTCTCCCTGCTCATGAAGCTCAACCCCAGAGTCACTGAGCTCGCTCTCTACGATATCCGCGGAGGCCCTGGTAAGCTCATCATCATCTTCATCACCCTCTTCCTCTGCAGCACCCAATTGACTCTTCCCCAGGTGTCGCCGCCGACATCTCCCACGTCAACACCAAGTCCGTCGTCAAGGGCTACGACCCCACAGCCACCGGCCTCGCCAGCGCTCTCAAGGGCGCCGAGGTTGTCCTCATCCCCGCCGGTGTCCCCCGCAAGCCCGGCATGACCCGTGACGACCTCTTCAACACAAACGCCTCCATCGTCCGCGACCTCGCCAAGGCCTGCGCCGAGTCCTGCCCCGACGCTAATATCCTCGTCATCTCCAACCCCGTCAACTCCACCGTCCCCATCGTCTCCGAGGTCTTCAAGGCCCGCGGCGTCTACAACCCCAAGCGCCTCTTCGGTGTCACCACCCTCGACGTCGTTCGCGCCTCCCGCTTCGTCTCCGAGATCAAGTCCACCGACCCCAAGGACGAGAACATCACCGTCGTCGGTGGCCACTCTGGCGTCACCATCGTTCCCCTCTTCTCCCAGTCCAACCACCCCGACCTCTCCTCCAACGCCGAGCTCGTCAACCGCGTCCAGTTCGGTGGTGACGAGGTCGTCAAGGCCAAGGACGGCGCCGGCTCCGCCACCCTCTCCATGGCCTTCGCCGGTGCCCGCATGGCCGAGTCCCTCCTCCGCGCCTCCCAGGGCGAGAAGGGTATCGTTGAGCCCACTTTCGTCGACTCTCCCCTCTACAAGGACCAGGGCATCGACTTCTTCTCCTCAAAGGTCGAGCTCGGCCCCAACGGTGTCGAGAAGATCCTTCCCCTCGGCAAGGTTGACGCCGCTGAGGAGAAGCTCCTCGAGGCCTGCTTCGCTGACCTCAAGAAGAACATTGCCAAGGGTGTTGCCTTTGTCGCCTCTAACCCCCCCAAATAAGTGCACACTCGGTCACTTTGTTGTAAACTAGGGGACATGTTGTAGTAGATGGAAACCACACACAAATGGTTGAGCAGGGTTGGAAAACAAACAAAATCACATCCCATACATACTTTTTTTTCCTCGTAGCCAAATACCGGCTGGGAAAGAGAAAAATGGGGATGACGAGTAGACACAGAAGCGCACACAAAAAAGTCGTGCTTCCCTGCTCGTGGCATCGACTTTGGGTCTGCCTCTGTACCATAAATTTCAAACACGCTTGACTTCAAACTTTCTGTTCATTGACATGCAGTGATGTGTCGTGAGGCTGTGTGACAATTGTGTGTGCATTGGAGACACCGCATACATGGCCATTAACTTATTTTGTGTAAGGGTGACAATTGACATGGGCTCCTCTATACCTCTTGGGCATGGTGACTTGGATCACAAAAAGCCTTGCAATGTCTTCAAAAAATCTCAGGCAACAAACGTGGCGTAGGATACGTTTGACAATCATAGCTTCACCAAATCTCACAGGCTAAAGAAGTGAACGGTTGTATGCACATATCATTCATGCTCATTTCCTATCATACAAATATCTCTCTCCACAAGTATTGCATGTCTAACTTCTTTTTGGTTACACAATTAGTCTAAAACCCCGACATCACATCTACTGCCTCTGTCGGCCCGTTCTCCACGCCTCGAGCTGTTGGCGGCGCTCCTCCACCTTGCGCTCAAACTCGGCCACCTTCTCCTGCGCCTTCTTCTCCTCTTCCTCGTCCTTGATCTTCTGCTCTGCTGCCTTGCGCACGCGCTCGCGCTCCAGCTGCTCGGGTCTGCGAGCAGCAATATCGCGAGGGCGGAAGTCGGAGAAGAGGTTCTTAAGAACAACCTCAATGATCCAGCAGGCGGCATAGTCGATAACCATGATGCCCGTCATGGTCATCTTGAACTCATCGCTAAAGGGCACCAGCTTCATCTGCTCATTGATCTCGGGGATGAACTCCATGGAGCAGGAAAAGGCCAGGGCAGAAACACCGACAATGCCGTAGAACATGCCCTTGTTCTCGCGAAGACCCTCACGGAAGGGACGTCCCTGGTAGTTGATGGCGAATGTGCTAATCTGCTGGATGAGCTGAAGCAGGTAGACGGCGCTGTTGAGGAGACTGGGCGCGAACTCGGCCTCAAGATCAACGTCACCAGAGCGGCTATTGCATTGTTAGTCTTGGCTTTGGGGGGGGGGGGGGGGGGGGAGTAGTAGTAGTAGTAGGATTAAACTTACGGCTCAAGTCTGTCACAGAATCGGGCAATGTAGATGAGAGTAACGACATGGACGGCGAACTGTCCGAGAATCGAGCCAATGATGTAAAAGTTGAAGATGTTGGGCTGAGGACGCTCCTTGGAGAGACCCTCAACAACGCGAGCACGAGAGATGGACAAGAAGCAGACGCTCATCAGGATACCGCTGATGGTGTACTGTCCGTCACCGAACTTGATACCCTCAAGGTACAATACGCTCAGACTGTAAGCGCTGATGAGGCAGTTGAGAGCGAGAATCTTGTACGTCTGGATGGTCGCGACAAGTGTGCAGCGGCCCTGGCGAATAATGTTGGGAACGGCAATAACGTTACGAAGCTTGCTGGTGAAAGGAGCAGCGACGGAGGCGTCACCAAGCTTCAGCGTAGGAGGCTCGTCGTCGCCCATTTCCGTCTCCATCAAGCTAGAGGTCATCTTATCGGCAAAGCTAGCGGCGTTCGCGGCAGCCTTGGCCTGACGAGCGGCCTTGGGGTCGTTGCTGTTGAGAAGCTGCTGAGCACCAGGAGAAGTGACGGTCTCGATGGGCGCGCTGACGCCGTTGGCCTTGAGCCACTCTTCAGGGGTGACGTTCTTCTTCTGGGCTTCACGCTCGACAGCCTTGGTGAAGTGGGGGTTGCTGGTGCCAGGAGGGTACAGGTGGGCGATCATGACGGGAACAGGGGGTGCGGGCTGGTTGAACCTCTTCATGAGGTCAACCTGTTTCTGGTAAATCTCCTTCATCTTGGTGTTGCGGGAGTGCTCGGCGATGCGAGTAAGGTCATCCATAGTGCCGTTGAGAAGAGCGATACCAATGTGAGCCTGCTTGAGGGCGCCGACGTCGTTGGTACCGTCACCAGCCATCAATGTGTAGTAACCCATGTCTCGGAGACCCACAAGGATGTCCTCCTTCTGCTTGGGTGACACACGCGCGTAAACCCAGGCGTGACGGAGAATCTGGCGGAAGCCGACTTGGTCCTTGAACTTGGCCAGGGCGTATCCGGTAACACAAAGATCGTTGTTCTCAACGATCTTGGGGTCAAGAGGCTTTGAGGGATCGGCAGGGATAATAGTCTTCTCGTCAACGCTGCGCCAGACAAGCTTGTCGCCGCCCTCGTTGTCCTCGGGTGCGTCAAGAATCAGGACCTCACGGTCGACAATCTCAACGTCGCGGGCAACGTATACAGCTGTAAGAGGGTTATCTCCGGTGATCATGACGACACGGTGACTGCTCTCGTTGAGCATCTGAACGGCTTGCTTCGCGTCATCCTTGAGCGGGCAGGAAAGAACCAGGAAACCGGCAAAGGTGAGTCCGGCCTCGACGTTGTCGCGCTTGAGGTCGTTGATCTTCTTGCCTCCGAGTTCGTCATCGACAGTAAGCTGCTTGTAGGCGAGTGCAAGAACACGAGAACCGCGGCGGGTGAAGTACTTGTAGGTCTCTTCGTAGTCGGCAGGGACGATGGAGAGTCTCTTCATGATGGTCTCAGGAGCGCCCTTGACAGCGACAAAGGTACCGCGGATCCTGTTACCAGCCTTATCGGCACCGTTCACAGTGGCAACGGTACTCTGTCTCTTGAGAGCGGAGGAGAACTGGAAGCGGCGCTTGATCTGAACAGTTCCGCTGACACCAGTAGCAGCAGCTGTGGTGGGCTTGCTGGCAAGGGTGTCGTTTCTACCAAGAGTCCAGCCGAGAGAAGTCAAAGTGGCCTTCTCCATTGGGTCACCGACAACTTCACCCTCGTCGAGCTTGACGAGTGCATGAGCAGTGGCAAGAACCAAAGTGGTGTCCAGGCGAATTTCGTTGACGGGGGTCATGGTTGAGTGCGCACCATCGGCCTCGCGAGGGGTGCTTGTGCCCTCCTGGCCGAGTCCTAGGCCAGCAATACCCTCAACAACCAAGTCCTCGCCGGTGAGAGTACCAGTCTTGTCGAAGCAGGCAATATCAATGCGGCCAGCGTAGGGAATACGGAAGGGCTCGGTGCAGAAGATGGCAAGCTTGGCCAGAGCTGCCAAACTGGTGTTGACGGCAAGACTGAGTTCCATGGGCAATTCGGGAGGAACGACGCTAGTGACAATCAAGACGCAGTCAAGCAGAAGCTTGGAGCGCTTGCGATCCTTCTTGACACCCTCATCCCAGACATACCACGAAGCGGCGATCGCGAAAATGAGGAGGAACAAGATGAAGAGCAGGGCCTCTACGTTGTTGGCAGAAACACGCTCAGTGGAGTAGATCATGGTGCGGACAAGGCTGCCCTGGGATGTCTCAAAGCCAGTCTTTTGGACGATAGCCATGGCGCCATTATCGGGAGGGGGCGGGACGCCGGATGCCAGCTTGGGCTTCTCTTCGTCGGGGTTGCCGTGGGTGATCTGCAGAACCTTGGTACCACCCCACAAGAAAGCGTTCTTGTCAAGGCCTTCGGGCTCGATGGGAGCGTCGCTGGGGCGAAGCTGTACAGAGTCCTTCAGGAGAGGGGTGCTCTCACCAGAGAGCATGGCCTCGTTGACAATAGCAGTTCCCTCAACAAGCAGCATGTCGCAGGCGACACCGCTATCCTCCTTGGTGCGTCCGACGGAGACGAGGTCGCCAGGCAGAAGCTTGTCGCTCAGGACTTCGGTCCACTTGCCCAAGCGGTATACGTAGACATCATAGGGCTTGATGCTCATGCCACGGAACTCGTTGAGGGTACGCTGGCGCTGCCAGACGACGGTGCTCTCGAAAGCGACGAGCATGAAGAGCGTAAAGAGCGAATAGTACCAGTACTCATCCAGCATCCACAGACCAACACAGAAGATCTGGAAGACGAAGAAGGGCGCGACGGCGTGCTCCTTGAAGAGCTCGGTGAAGGTAGGAACGGGGATGTCGAAGGCGTTGGCGCCATAGTGCTCCTCGATTCTCTTCAGCTCGGCTTCGGTCGTGATGCCCTTGGACTGCTGGTAGCGTCCGATCTTGGGCTTGGGTTCGGCATCGATATCGTAGGCAAGGGTTCGGAAGGACTTATCCTCGGGGAAGTAGATGAAGCGGCGCTTCTGGAACAAGAACGAGGTGTTGATCTTGCCGCCAACCTGTACAGGTGTTAGTATATTGGGTCAGTTAGGCCGCGGGGAGCAGGAGAGTAGAGGGCATCGCTTCTTCGCAACGGGCTTACCTTGTCGCGGACGATTTTGCAGATTTCGGCAGAGCCGGCGTTGGCAACGGGGATGATCTTGATGAGCTCTGCCTCATCAATTGACTGGGCGCGTGTGGCAGTAAAGGTAGCTTGGAGGTTGACGCTCCAGTGGGTGCTCAACCAGGCGAGGGACTGAAGGGTGACGATGGAGCCGATCCACACAAAGGTCCATTCCTCGGATGCGATGTGCTTCTCGTAAAGCTCGGCGGTAAGGTAGTAGCGCAGGAAGATGGGCCATACGATGGCAAAGGGCCAGACGTAGGCGTGGAAGTAGGTCGGTAGAGGCTTCCACAGCTCGGCCACCTTGATCTGAGGGTTGTCCACGAGGGGCGCCATGGTGGGCGATCGCGCGCGGTATCGTGGATCAAGCGACAGAGGGGCGTACAAAATGAATGGAGACGGGCTGTTTCGGTTGATGCTATGTCCTTGTTGCATCGACAGTGGTTTTCTCCCGATGATGCAGATGGAGCACAACAAAGAGATGTTGCGATGTGTGAAGGTGTAGCAAAGGAAGTTCAAGAGGTGACCCGTGGCAGAATCAGGGTTGGTGGTGGTGGTGGTGCTGCTACCTTCCTTACTGTGGGGTCTCGCGTCGTTGGCGGCGGAGAAGTGAGCGGCGGAAACTGGAAGCAGAAGCCAGCCGAAGGCAACAGATTTACGTACTGTATCCGTAGTGTCCAAAAAAGCCAGGTGGTGGTTATCTGTCAGTTTTTTTTCTTTCCTTTTTCGCGATGGCGAATTGGGAAGCTGGGGCACCTGGGGGAGGCCACTCACAGGCCACCTTACAGCTGACGGGACAGTCTAACAGGGGGCTCTTTTGGCTCTTTTGGCCTGATGTGGCCAGTCACCGTTCGCTTTCAGTGGCTCGTGGGGTACGTAGCGTACGTGGACCCTGCGACCTGCGTGCCTGGTTCCCTGCCTTACCTAAGCAATGCATCCAGGCCTTTAACCTTAGATTTCCGCCGTGATGGATCTCCAGGAGGTTGATCCGTGCCGTCGTCCCTCTTTTCCCCGCCGCCCATGGAACTCCGCCGAGAAGCCCCGCCGGTTAAGGACCCCGACACTCCGTGTCACTTCTGATAGGTACTCCGTAGATCCTACCTAGGTACTTGTACTTCACTTCATGCGAGGAACCCATTCCAATCGGCATCTTGATTCAAATTTTATAGATTTAATGAGGCTGATCCTCGAAGAAAAAGTAAGGAAATGGTTAAGTCGTGGTATATCGTCCCCGAAAATCATCGTCTTGGTGAAGACATTGTTCATGTTGCGCCCACAACATCCATTCTGCCCTCTATGCATTCAACGCCCAATACCCCAAAGGCAATACCTAATCCTTTCTATCCCCAAACTCCCCCATCATATCTCTTTCATCTTTATTCGGATATCCCAGCAATGACACTGCGTCGGTTGGCTCGCCCAGAGGGCCAATCTTCGTACGTGGCTTCCTGAGATGGCTTTGGTGGCTTAAGGTAGTCCGAGATCCTCTTCGACACGCTCCCCTGGTGTCGAAGCCCCCTTTTCCCGTCTGCTCCCACACTAGCGCTGTGAGAGAGACTCGGCTTGCGTGGCGCCTCGCCGTAAAAGCTTGACGAAATCAAGTTGCGCTCGTCGTCTGCCGCGCCAAACGACATCATGCTTGCACGCTTGCCAGCCCCCGTCGAATACTGCGCGCTGCTTCGCTTGTTGTTGGTGTTGTTGCGTTGCGCAGTAGGAGTATCGCCCTGTCGAGCCGCGCTCCAAGGGTTGTCGCTATAACCGTAGTACCCGGAACGTCGTGCGAGGTTCCGCCACATTTGCGCGTGATATTCGCGTTCGGCAACTTCAGCGTCTGCCACAAAACGTTCATAATCTGTCGGTTCGCGGCTACCAGCCTCTTGAGATGGAGTCTCTTGCCGAGACTGCGGACGAGTGTGAGACGAGGTGGGCCGTGGCGGTGCTGATGGCGGCGCCTGCTGCTGCTCTGGCTGGCTTGGCGGGTCAAATGGCGCTTCCATCTCGACTGGGGAAATTGACTTTGGCGGTGTGAGGTCTCTGGCGTAAGGGTCCGATACAAGATTGAAGCTGTGTCGTTTGCATGACAATGGCCGAGGAGCATGGGATCTTGCAGGAGCCTTGCCGTTCGTCGACGACGTATTTGAAGTATTTTGCAACAGGTTGTGCTGTTGCTGCCAGGGGTCGACCGCGACCGGTTCCCTAGTGGTTACCACTTCAATTTCGCTGCTCTTAACGATCTCGAGACGCCGGTGCAGTTCGCGGGGAGGCGGCGCCTCATACTTGGACATCGACATGTCCCGTGACCTGCGCTTCTCGGCAGTCTCTGCGGATGGCGTCCGTTGCCTCACCAGAGGCTGCTCCGGCTCATTCACCCTGGCGGCGGCGGCGGCCGTTATTGTGGCCAGAGCTTGAGCGCCATCACCCGGGTCGCTGCCAAAGGAGAAGCTATGGCGACTGTGGCGCGACGTATTTGTGTAAGTCGTGCGCGAAAAATCAGCCGCGGCGTGTTTGGGAACATAGGCCGTTCGCGGCGCCGATGCTGTTGCCGGTGTCTCGGTATTGGTCACGTTGTCATCTCCAAAATCATTGGCGCCGGATCTCGACCAGAACCTCTTTCCGAAGCTTGGTTTGGATCGCGACTTGAGCTGCGTCGGCGCATTGGAACTCGAGGCCTGCATGGTTGACTGCTGTTGGGGAGGCGACTTGGGCTTGGACGGGTCGGCGGCGCCGGCAGTCTGGGTCGCATTCGTAGGTGCTTGCTGTGACAGTGTGACTGGACGTAGGAATCGGGGCACCGAGGACTTCAAAGAGCCCCTTCGCGCATCCAAGACAGTCTCACTTTCGGCAGGTGTTGGGTGCGACGGGTTCAACATGAGCGGGTTCATCAGTAAAGGCCGTGTCTGCGTCTCGCACCGCTCCGTGGTCCTCTGCTGGTCGAGTCCCAGGGACGAATCTATGTTATCGCTGCCAGCGGAAATCGACGTCTTCTTATTCTGAGAGTCCTTGTCCTTGGAAGCCAATCGTCGTCGCATAAGGCGGTTCAGCAACCCTGTCTCGTCTGCCGAAGGTGCAGCACTTAATGACGACGGGGTACCGGTACCAAGACTTTGCGCCGCTGCCGGTACTGGACCTGTGGCAGTCGCGGGTCGGCTTGTCGCTGGCGGCAGCTGCAGCTGCGAGTTTTCGTCGAGCCCTGGCAGCGGTGCAACGAGACGACCGTTGTCAGTGTAACCCTGAGTCTGAATGTGGGCGACAGGGGGGGCTGGCGATGTCCGAAGCGTGTTCTGGGGATTGTGGAGTTCGAGGCGATGGCGCATCGGGGGTTGCATCGGCATGGGTCTTTGTGTTTGCTGCTGCTGTCGGGATGGCGGCGGTGTCGGATCTACCTGTGTCTGCTGATGCTGATGTTGCACCGGCACAGCTTTCTCGTCAACTTGCCGGGTGTCGATGTGTCGACTGAGAAAGCGATTGAGCTTGTTCTTGACCCCTGTGGCAGGCTGGTTTGGAAGGGGGCTTGCATGAGAGGAATTATCCTCCCCGTCGGTTGGGTGGGAATAAGAAGGCGATGCTCCGAAAGAAGAGCTTGTCGGTGCAATCATAGACGTCGGCCTCCGTTTTGATCGAGAAGCAGAAGTAGGAGCGGCATCCGTCTTTTTGATGAGTTTCGACAACCGGCGGGATTTACTTGCTGATGTGGCTGCTTGATCCTGGTTTTGCTCCCTGTCTTGCCTCTCGCCCTGTGTTGTCTCTTGGTTTTCTTCCAGGGTTACCGATATGGCTGCATCTGGCCGCCAGCTCCACCGATTCTTGGTCAAATGGCGCGATGAGACACTGGTAGCGCCGCCCTGCAGGTTTTGGTCGTTTGGGACGTCGACCTCGCACGAAATGGGCTTGTCGGAAGAATGTGCTAATGGCTGAGTGCTGCTCACCGCATCTCCTCGGAATGAACTTCTTCGTGGCCCCGCCGACCATGACCATCGATTAGGATTGACCATTTTATAGTAAACGGGCTGGCCGCCGTGAAGTTCGTTCCACCTGGACTTATACTTGGACTTGTGAATCAGCGTCAAGCGTCAGACTGCCAGCTCAACTCAGGCGTCCAATCCCATGCAGAGGTGGACCGCCCAAAAAGCGTATCAGCTCAACGAATGGCGCAATATTCCCAGAGTTGGTGTGGTGTGTGGCCGATCCGAGAATGCGTCTGGCCGGATCAGCAGTTGGGGTCCAATCGGCAAGGCGAGAACAAAATGTTCAGAAAGCGAAACGACGAATCAGAAGGATGACGAGGAGTGTCAGCAGCAAGCAACCTGGCAAGCTGAGATTGATCGATTGATATGAGAAACCAAAAGTGGACAGCTGTGTTCCCAAGGCGGACGAGGGTAGAGATATGACTGAGGACGGGTGCCCTGCGAAGCTAGAAATAGCGAGGCTCTAGAAGATCCCTGAGGCGTTCGTGCGGGCGAACCTATGACTTGAAGTGGTGGCACTTCTTCCAAGTGGAGAAGTACTCGGCAAGTACCTGTCCTATCCATCATGTAAGTCGCTCGCCTCGCCATCGTCTTCCGCATCTTCCGTAGTAGCCCCAGATTTTGGTATGCACCGAAGCATCCCCCACGCAGGGCAGAGCAACTATGCTGATACTTCAGAATGCAAAACAATCCAGAAAACGGCGCTTGTTAACTGAACGACCAAGGGAAAACAGGCCCCGTGTTGCTTAAGCTTTGACGTGATGTATTGAAGCGGCAGCAGAAGGAAAACCCGATCAGCCAGACGTGTCTCCTGAAGCGTCCAGGCGGGGGATTCTTGGTAGCATGTGTGGCAGAGAAGAAGGAGACTAAGGTAGGTAAGACGCTCCCAAAAGTGCTTCTAGGAGCCAAAGCGCCACCCAGCGCAGGCAGATGTTGAGAGCTTGCGGTCCCAGCCCAGCGTCAAAGAGTCCGCTAGCGTCTTCAGGAGAGTGTCAAGAAGCGCAGAAGCGGCTCTATATGCGGAGACTTGTAATTCTTCAAGCGGACAATGCCTGCCGAGAAGCGCGAGAAGTCATTTGCCAATACGTCATGAAGATGCTCCGAAGAAGTGCAGCTCGCACGGATGTATGGTAATTTTGGAAGGTAATTCGCAAAGTTAGGTGAGCCGGAACCGCGCGGAAACCGTCTTCACCATGGATAACATCGAGGGTTGTCGAAGCTGTGGATGGTGATAGGTATTGACTGAGGATTCTCAGGTACCAAACGCCAGCGTATGCCAGAGAATCACCCGATTTGGATTCGGGCATGATCGACCACTTCAACGTCCACATTATTTTGTTGTCCTCTGAAGTTGTCTGAAGTGAGACAGTGGGAAGTGTTGGCATAGCTTGTCCAAGGTGGTCAACTGTGTCGATCGCTCGATAGAATTCTGGAGAGGAAGCGGCAATTGTGACTTTTCGATATTCCCATGTCCTTGGCCTTTGCCGCGAGCGAAGGCCAACACGCGGCAAGACGCAAATCTGTATGCATTTGGATTGCTTCCTCTTTGTCGACGAGGGCGCGGGGGCGTCAAGCATTGGCTAAGGCACCCCAGACCGTTAGAAAACGGGATAGCAGAGACAGTTTCTTTATGTCGTGAAGCTTGTTTGTCTTGCGTTATACTTACACCGGAGGTAATGACCCGCGATCTCGATGACGAGAGGTGTAAACCCCATGTCTGGGTGGCTGATGATTCGATTGATGCTTTCCCATCAAGCCAGACTTCTCGAAGACGCCATCAGCAAGTCCACTTAGACAGTAGGGTCTGGAAACGCATGGCCACACGGTGCCTATCCTCGTGGGTTTGAAAGAGGCATGAGGCAGGTGAGACTCGTGGCGTCCCACTGGGGCATCCCATTGGGGGCGTATTCCTCGTAGGTGTCCATATGCAGATATCCGTATAGTGAGATGCCCACCTATCTCGAGCGGAGCTCTCCACAAGAGACGAGTGAGATGTGTCGGAAGGGGAATGGAGCTCAGCAAGGAGCTTGTCCGGCTAAGCTCGAGAATGCCCTGTCAAGTAAGGGATTCCGAAGAAACCACTGCAATGGTAATAGCCTGTATCGGTACCCAAGGTAGTTGAGGTAAGCTATGACAAAGTTCGGAGTGAGGGCCGACGAGAATAAGGAAGCTGGCAATGCACCGTGGTCAGTTGAAGTTGAAATTTGGTTAAAGTAAATTGGGTAAATTGGAAAGAAACAAGGTTGAGTGCGAGTTGGCCCGTGAGTTGAGTGCAGTGCAACAGCAGGCAGGGATCGCCATCAAGATCCAAGATCGTCCCTCCCTTCCTTGCTCAGATGGAGGAGCCAAGGTGAGCAGGTGCAGGTGAGATCTGGACCACCTCACCTCGGAAAGGAAGGCAGAGTTCGCTCGGTGAAGGAACCGACCACCTTGACGCCACCTCAAGTACCCCAGAAGCCACCAACGAGGCAGTTCCTACCCGAGGGAATGGGAAAGAACCTGGATGGTAACTTCGGCATCGTACACAGGTACCACGGTACCTACCCCAAATTCCCAAATACCTTACCTTACCTTACCTAAGGTAGGTAGTGTTGTGACCTTAGGCACCCGTAGCGTGGATAGGTCGTTCGCTGCCTTAGGTAAGCGCCAATTTCCCCAGTTCCCGACATGTTCCTGCCCCGCCGTCTATGTTGGAAGGTGAGAATGGTGGAAGCCACCTGTGGAGGAAGGGGCGCAAGTCCGGTGATTTCTAGCGGGCTCCACCACCACCACTCCGCCCTTTCCTTCTACCCCGGGAGCGAATGACGTCCCGGCGCCCACCAAGCTTTCTCGGTCAACCACTCCTCACCTCCCACACCATCCACACCTAGGCACCACACCTCCTTACCAATCATCATCAACAACACCAACTCGACTTTACTTCACAACCAACCACTCAACACCCCACGACACCCTCCGGCTTTTCCAGCTTCCCCAAAAGCGCCACCGCTATTCCCTCGCCCGCTGTCTCTTTCGTCAAACTTATTCTTTTTGTCCCGTGTCTCACATATGCCAACAAGCTTCAACTTCACTCTGATTAGCATATCCTATTTCATTAGCTAGGATGCCATGGATGGGAATCTCTGCCGCTGGCTCAAGGAACGGATTGTCCGGAAACGTATAGCTCGAACCATGGCAGCCACCTTTCAGAACTGCTTGACGAACCACCACGTGTATCTGATGTGATACAACAACGTCCCTAGCACGTTCAGCAGATTTCCCGGCAGAACATCCAGCCAACGACTGCTGGTCATTGTCAGTTTCATTCTTGACAGGTGGAGCAGGAAGCAAGCTTGGGGAAACTCGTCTACCCAAGGTAGTACCTAGTCTGCCAGGCCTGGCCCGACGAGCTGGAGACTCTTTCGGGGTACTAGGACATCCCATCCACGCCCTTGTGATACTTCAGCGTGTGTTGTTTCTTTCTGTTCTCGCACTTTAGCAAATCATGGTCCAGGAACCTAAAAGGCTGTGGTAGACACTTGTCCTGAATGGCATGATAACTCGTGGCCGCTTCGAGTCGATATGCAAGGCTCGGCACTTGAAGCGGGCAGACCGACTGCATACACATCCAGACCAAAGGTTCGAGGAAACTTTACTCACGCCTCGTAAAGGTTGCGAACCCGAAGATTGGAGGTTCTAGAGTCTGGAACCTTTACGCGCTTTCAAGTTCCACACACAAAGCATCAAGCGGCAAAGGTGGTCTTTCGCCTCTCGAAACGCTCTTCTGTTGGCCCATCATGAGGCTGCAGATGCGGAGCTGAAGTCTGCCAGAACGTGCGCCGGCCGAGACTACTGCACTCTCGGCCCACGAATCGTCTCACCGACTTGAAGAATCCCCCAGGCTTCCATGCCAACCTTCAGCCGCACCTCGATCTCACGGATGTTGTTCTTGTCTCGGAGAATACACATCGTACATGAATCCCAGAGCTCGCATCCCTCGTGACCCCCCCCCGCTTGCTATCCGGGCGTCGTCAGAGCCCTCATTGAGTCTTGGGACAGCTGGTCGGGGTCTACTCCGTCTGCCTCACGATGGGCTCATTTCTCTTGCTGCTACCACTTTGCGATCCAAATCGTACGGGATGTAACGGGCCATCTGGCGCTCGCTCACCATGTGCCTGATCCTTGGACTTTGACGGACCAGGGACCCCTGAAGGTAGGGCTCGCCATCGCAGAGATACCGACTGTTTGGTTCTCATACGGTCGTCTGGGAGTGGCAACAAGATTGGCGCCCATCTGCCTTGCAGACTATTGACAACTAAGTGGTTCCAGACAGCCTAAAAATCATGTTAGCGCGCCAATTCTTTAACAAGTTGGAGTTGGCAGCCGGTTCTGTTATCTCTGACAAGAGAGTGACAACCAAGAGACATGGCAATGTTCAACAGCAGGTACCCAAGTATGAAAGCTGACGCCCAGCCTCAGGAAGCTCCTCCACGTGGACCTGCGACACTGGCACCAAGCTCTGGAAGAGACACTCTTGTTCCCACTTCCGGACCTGGCCAGAGTGTGACCAGGGCCCAGACGAACAAAACCTGATTCGCAGGCTAGTCTTGGATGTTTTTTCTACGCTTGGGCATGAGCAGCGCGCTGGCTTTTGTACTAGCCTTCTCGAACAACGGCACGTCAGATCGCACGCAAAGCCTATTCGCAATGTGGACGATGCTTTTACCTACTGCAGGGCCCTGGGCGTAGCGTCAGTACTCTCGAGTCCCCGACCAAAGGTAGAGCCTTGCGAGGTCATCTGTCACGGGTTGCGATTGAGTCAAAAACGGATGAAGAGTCACGAACCATCGATGTTGATTGCACCTCAATATGGAGTGCGGTGTACAAATACAGTCCACCGCGGGGTATAATTCAGCGCTTCCTCTATCCATAAACTATATGTAGTGCTCTCTTTCCAATTCCATACAAGAGTGTGTTTGCTGCAGTGACTCAGACAACTATCCTTGCTTGAGATCCTGCAACGCCATGGCGGCGTCTGCATCCTTGGTGGATTTTTTTTCGACTTTGGTGGGCTTGAAACCGTGAGTTTGAGGAGGGGTCCAGTCGGGGGCCTGGATTAGCCGTAACAAGAGGGGATCCGACAGAAAGAAAGGATTCGCCATGCGAGTGTCGATCCGAGTCTGCGTGTTAGACGAGATGGCTGTCAGAGGACCCGTGGGGGAACTAAGAGGCTCCAAAGGCTGAGGCTTTGATGACGTGGCGGCGGGCGCCTTCGTCATTTGAAGTGGTGGCAACTTGAGCGACTCCATAGATGGACGCTGAATATCAGAGAGAATCTTGGGCGACACAATGACCGGCCTCTCCTTGGCGTGTGGTGCCTTCATCTTTCGTGGGGTCGGCCGTGGGAGTGCTTTAGAAACGACTGGCCGTGGCATGCCGGGCACGAAAATCTCTTCGCCGTCAATCGTCTTTCGTTTCCGCATCCGAGGATTGAGTTTGACAGCAGCAAATATCGAGCTTTCCGCTGCGTCTGGCATGGTCACCTGCGCACCGGCACCCTCGTTTGGAGCCAACTCCGTCTGGTCGGGCTCCTGCTGCCCCACCTGGGCCATTGTTGGTCTTAGCTGGAAGCTCTTCTCTGTTTGGTCTGAAAGAGCAGGAGGAGCTGGCCGTGATAGAGCAGCCGGTGCAGACTTTCTCGATCGCCTCGTCTTTGGCTTTTCGACACGGAGGGCCTTTGGGGATGTCGATGGCGTCGGGGCTATGCTGCCCACGATACGGCGAAGTTCCACCATCACCTTCCATGTCACCCAAGCAGCGCTCGTCCTGTCGTCACGGACTGCCATTGGCCTTTGAGGTACAGATTTGGGAGGAGCAGCGACCTCCAGTGGCATCGTTAAAGGCTCGGTCTTTACTACCTTGTCTAGCTTCGGAGCTTTGCAAGGCTTCTCTGGTTTAGTTGTCGTCTCTGGTTGCGAGTCGTGCGGCAACTCTGTCGATAAAGCTGTGGGCAAATCTGTAGATGGTTTCGCGGGTGGCTTTGCTGATGGCTTCACAGAATCCATCTTCGGCTTATCTTCCATAGAGCTCTGACGTTTCTTCGTCTTTTCGCTACTCTCCTTCTTCTTCTTGGGCAACTTTGTACCGGGCGGCAGCCAGAGCAAGGGGACTCTCTCCTTCAGGTTGGCAACCCACGCGTCGCAGTCCCATTGCACCCAGTAGTCGATAATATCCCCCCATGAACTCTCTGGGGGCTTCGTGAAGTTGACAAAGACAACTTTGCCGCCCCTGCTGTGGATGGTCTTGGCGAACTCCCTGACAAGGACCTTCAGGCCATGGACTTTCAGTGACGTGCCGAGAATGAGGAGGAGGTCCGGGGACAGTCCCAGGTCATGGGTGATGATGGGTGAAATGAGATGGGCGTTCGGGTGCTCTTCGCCATAGAGTACGATGTCTGGTCTCAGCTTGCCCACACCTAACGCTCTCTTGCCCCTCTCCTGCCGTGCAGCTGTTGCTCCAGCACAGTATGGGCACTCAGGTTGTCGCCCCGAGAGAGTCTCGTGCGATCTGTCGTCTTCATCCCAATCGCAAATCTTCCCGCACAGGAAACACCTAAGAGACTCCAGTGATCCGTGCAAGAAAACACATTCCACACCATTCGACTTCTTCTCAGCGTGCTGCTGAACCTGTGACTCGGCTGCCTGGGTCGCTTCGGCCGACTCGCCGGCTCCGCCACCATCGGGCGCTTTTGGTTCATCCAAATCTTTCGCATCACTAGTTTCTGGTGTTGCGGAGACAGACTCTCCTATAGAACTCCCCGTTGCCGCCGTAGCCAAGACAGCCCCGACGGATTTCCTCGAGAAGCGGCCCCGATGCCCCGGTCCGTCCTGCAGCGAGGTGGAAAGCCCAACCTTCTCCTCAATCTGATCAATATTTTGCGTGTAGCATCGGACTAACTTCCCACGGTTGCGTAGATGGCCGATGAAGTGATGAGACTCTGTCGGCACAACTTCTTTGACCTTCTCTCGAAGCGTAGTGGCGAAAGTGTAAAATACCGAAGTTCTCAAGGGATCCGCCCATATTGAGGCATCGAATAGATCTCTGCCTTTGATGTTGGGTAAAGTCGACTTGCTAGGCTGTGAGGACGGTGGCGTTTCGTCGGTTTCCGAAGATGCAGCGCTGCTGGCCGCACTCGATGTCTGCCTACTAGTTGACGATGAAGACTCTTCAAAAGGGTCGAACAAGACTGGCGGAGGCGATGATAATGGCGAGGAACTGAAGCCCATTGGCTGCTGTCGTAGAGTCGATCTTGTGAAGCGGCTTGTGTCTCTCAAAAAACTAGGCGTTTGCGGGAATGCGCTAGGTGGTGATGACAGAGGGGAAGAGCTGAAGAAGAATCTCGAGGTCTTTGGCGTAACATGAACGGATTTCCTCTCCTCTAACTGCTCACCTTCCTTGGTGAACGTGGCCCTCGGCACGGCGGGAGTTGAAGTCGAGCTGACGGTTTCAATGATTCCTGACCCTTGCACAGAGGCGATGGTAGATGTCAGCAGAGACCTCTTGCGCATCTCAGCAGAGCTCGCCTGATAAGCGTTGGCTCTCTGGGCACATGGGCTTGCAGACCGTCCCCTCCTCCTCAAATAGCTGCGGGTAGCTCTGTCGCTGGGTGTTTGGTTGTTGTGGGCTTCCACAGAGCCTAGATTTCTGCCGGTGGCCAGGTCTTTCCGATGGCCCTTGTCCGGGGGTGAAGACTGAGCTCTCGCGCTCTCCCTCGAAGATCTCCTCAAGCTGGTTCTATCACCCGGAAGGGATGCATCATTGGTACTGGTACTTGGGCAGGCACTCCCGGCATCGACGGTTGATTCCCTCGATCTCGCCCTAGTGATGGGCCCAGTAGACCTTGCCGTATTTGAGTCGGAGCCTTGCAAAGCGGATGCATGATTCCCTGTGACCCGTGAATCGTGCGAGTCATCAATTAGACAAATGCCCGAATCCTCAAAAGAAAGTCTCCTCCGTTTCGTCGGTGGTTCCTGTTCTTCGCGACTGGCATCCGCTGAGCCAAAATTCCTCGGTTCGACAACATCCACCCGATTTGCGGCATCGAACTGGGCCTGAATCAAGGAGTAGAGTCCATTTTCGCTCCGGAAGTCCTACGTGTCATTGATTAGCATGAGTTGTTAAGCCCTTCCAGCGTGAGTTCTTACAGGAATGCCCGAATTGGTACTGATGCCTGCGCCAGTAATGACCACAACCTTTCGTGCTTTGAAAAGAGAGTCGGCGATCCCTTGCAGAAGAACATCCGCTGTAGGGGTTACCTGGGTGGTAGGCATACTGAAGGCGTACTAGAGTCGGCCCATTGGACTGTCCGGAGTGGAGTTCCGACAATTAGACACTTCTATTATGATGCTGCTAGCCTAGGCGCGTCTGACAATTATGCGACCCTGACGCCAGCCTTTGTGGAGATGTACTCGGCGCGAGAGATGAAAAGACTTGATTTCTGGATATCGGCTGAAGAGATTCGCTTGCTGTCAGATCCAGCTGTGTAGCGCCTCAGACGTATGGTGGCGTCTGGAACTGCAAGCCCTTGCTTAAACTCGACTTAGCTGGGTAGAGCAGAGCTACCAGTCGATCGGATTTCTCAAAACTTTGTCGGAAGAGAGACACAAGTAAAGGCAGTTTCCCCAACTTCGGAAATCCGACCGTCGTGGACAGCTGCAGAGTCTTCTTGGGATCGTGGTATCTATGCGACGCGGTGGTGGAAGAGGCTGGTAGCGGTGCAGACGCGGTGGGCCGGGGTTCGCGGTACCGGGACCTGCTCGATGAGTCTCGATGTCGGCGGCGGAGGTCGAAGGACGGAGCTGCTGCGTTCACTGCAGACTCCGGGTGTCCAATTGGCAGAATCGTGTCAAGTCGCGAGATCGAGAAGACGTGAGTTCGAGGTTGTGGCGAGGCGACTGTCGAGGCCCAAGCTTGAGCCTTTGAACAGACGCGTCTCAGAAGGTGCTCGGGAAGACCAAAGCTCGAAAGCTTAAACCGTCGAGCTATAGATGCTGTCGTTTGTTCGTGTTTTTTGGAGAGAAAACGGGCGGAGGATGTCGCAGTCAGAAGAAATCGCCAAGGGGTCAATAGGGAGGAACAATTGAGGAGTTTGACCACAGGAAGGCGTGTTCAAGGCTCCTGCTGAGTCGGATGTTGTTTGTGAACCGCGACCGCCCCGAAGAATAAGACCCCAGCCAGCGAGACGCCAACAGCTTAGCGTCAGCAGCCCAGATCGCTAACCTCTTACCTTTGTGAGATCATCGCCGAGATCCACTGTTGGTTGATAAGGATAACGATAGTTCTATCGATAAAGGGCTTTCCGATAAGAAACCTCTCTTCACGGTCTGGGGATCCTAGACACTCTCTACGGTTACCTCGTGACATTCTCTTTTGCTATATCTTCATTACTCCCTACTTGAGCCTCGATGCTCTGGGGTACTCTATGCATCTTGTCACGTCGCTAGATAAGATTGAATTGGGTTGCAGGTGAGAAGACGTTAGGATCAATAAGGAGGAAAGAAAGAACACACTGCGGCATACCGACGAACTTGCAGGGATCACACAGAGCTCACCTTCAAGCCATCAACTAAGCACCAGATCGCCACCGTCATCATTGCCATCGTTCTCAATTCGCCGTCTCAAAGTCGAATCAGAAGAAATGACAATATGTCTGCTCAGTAACGCTTGGTTCAACGGCTGAGCGTGGCCAACATTGATCGAGTCCATGCCCATGCCCATGCCCATGCCCATGCGCCGGAGTGTCAGCAGATTTGGCACCTGTCTACCGTCACTGCTGGAACCTTGTTAACTCTCAGTCCTCTTCTGCCGCTCAACTCTGGCGATGCTGTCATGAGGCTCGAAAGACACTTTCATCCAGGCCAAAGGCAATTTGGAGGAGATCGCAGGGTTTACGGAAACAACCCTCCCGAATACATCGCTTTGATGGCAAATCACACAATCTTGTCGTCAAAGATTACCCTCTGGTCCCTTACTGCCGCAACCGCCAGATGAGGTTTTCACCTCTACTATCTGCAGATCGCCCATCACAACCGATCCAACGCCTTGGCGTACCATTTTCTCCAGCTCCGATACCTTCTAGAAGTGTGAACGATGCGGGGAAGCGAGTCAGAAACTGCATCTCACCGGTAATGAGCTTAACCTGTTGGATTAAGCGTCATGTAAACACATGAGACGAAGCCGGCAGCGGCATGGTACGCACTCTTGATGCACACACGTGAGATGAGAATAAGATACATCCTCAATTGCGCAAGGACCCCACACTCATCTCAAGTCGCCGACAGCTGTCGGCTCTCATCCATCTGATGTTTCCGTTCCGTGAATATCACGAGACGTTAGGGAGATGCCAGCGTCGAATGTATCGTGACTGAGACAGCTTCGTTTGATCTTCATCGCCCCGGCTTCCTTGCGACAGTCCTGGCAGACGTCTCCACGCTCACCCGTTGAGCCTCAGCCAACTGTTGTCCACGTCAACCTAACCTTAATACTAGAAAATCAGCCGGGGCCTTTGTTCCCCCGGTCTAAGAGAGAAACCTTCCTCAGTCTACCCCTTCTTTTAGTCGCCGTGTCTTGCTTGAACTCTGAACGGGACCTGGATGAGGGTCCTGACAGGCCTCAGCTCGCTTGGTACCGAATCCAAAGACACGACGAACACGTCCCAAACTCTTGGCACGAGCACATGGATCGCCGGTGATCGGTGCATCTCATGGTCCCTCCGGGCCGGAGGCTCTACCCAGGCAAGACGTGATGGGGACACATACTTAAAGGCTGTCCTCGTAGGCTCAATAATCTGATAATGTCTCGAATCAACCTTGTTACTCGTAATTACTTAGTGTCAGCGCGTTTCTTTCGTTTGCAAATCCATTGGTTCACTCTTTTAATCCAGGATGGTCCAACATTACGTCTTCATCATGCAGTACTTGAAGTCGTTCACTCTTCTATCCTTCGCCTCAGTGGCAGTGGCTCAGCAATGCACTTTGCAGTTCGATGGCAGGGTCGCAACTGGAACCGAGGCAGAAGCATTCGATGCCGAGAACAACCTCTTCAGTTCACAGAATGTCTTTGGGGCCGGTTTGAGCTTCAGCAAAGTATTGCAATTGCCCAATGAGGCCAGCTCACCTTTCGATGGAAACGACAATGTCCCACTTGAAGTCACAATCAGGCCAGTCCAAGTCACATCATGACCATGATTATATCGTCCTGCTAACAATTACCCCAGTGACCAGTCAATCTTCAACAAACAGACGGGCTTCCGACGCGCTGAGCTCATCCCTTCAACCAACACAGGTACGGACGAATCGACGACTGGCGTGAAGACGTTGCATTTCAGTCTCTCGAAAGACGTCCAGCGTCCTCTCAATCTCTCGCACGAGTACCAGCTAGCTTTCCTGGAGAGCAATGACTTCAGCACGAACCAAGTCGTTCTCAAAACCGGCACCATCCTGGGCGGCGATGCAACGGTCGACCCGGATACCCTCCAGCTCTTTGGCAATGTCAACACCAAGCCGGCACCTCCTGTTCTTTTCAGCACACCTTTCGCAGAGAACACCATTCATAACTTTGCCGTAACCATGGATTTCAACGCCAAGTGAGTACTTTCCGAGCCTGAAATATGCTCTAGGGTACTACTACGTTGTGCAGCACCACCGTCCACGTATTCTACTCAACCGACAACAATGACTTGGAGGCACAGGGGGAACACCAGCCCAACGTTGTCACGGGCCAGGGTCAGTACCATTTCGGTATTCTGAAGAAGCCAGTCGGAGGTCAGGGTGATATCACCAAGAATGGCTTCCAGCCGGACGGCATTGATGAAGGCATCGTCTACAGCGGTATCTTTCAAGAAGACAGCGCCAACGGCTGCATCAGTTTGGCTCCTTAGCCTGTCTCTATCGCGGGCACCTGACTTTCCGGGACTTTGGAGAACACATAGTGTACTATTATCTTAGATCTTAGTCTTTGCGGTGCAAAGGCTTCGACGTAATGTGTATAGGGTTGTTTAATCAATCGTTGCAACAGTCGCAAGTTTCATCTGACTGCAATCCATGAAAACATGTTAGTTCTCCTCAGTAGGTATATAATCATCTCTTATAACGATCTTTCTACTATCATTCACGTAAGGGACTTGTAATGAGAGATCCAGTTTGTTAAGTACGGGCAAATAGACCCGAGCATTGTCGATTAACGAACCACATCATGGTTTTGCTCTCTACGAGTATGTGGTACTCCCGATGTCTCTCGATCGAGTTTTCGTCAGACTATGCCTCCTGATGACTCACTGTAGCAGCTAACTTCTCATGACGGTTGGCGACCTCTTCCAGCTGCGGGCGTAAAGAGTCAGCCGCCTCTTGCGAGAAGTGGCGAGCGCCAACGCGATGCTCAAAGAGCAGGTCAATCTCAGAGTACGTAAGACCAAAGGGCTCCGGAAGACGGAAGAAAGTCCAGGTAAGGAAAAGCACAGTGATGCCAGCCCAGAAGAAGCCGCCTCTCGCTCCCCAGTTCCAATCGTTCTTGCCCACAATTTTTGGCTGCAGCGCGTTGACGATAAAGCCTCCGCAGTTGTAAAAGGCGCGAGACAGGGCGACTGTCTTGACGCGGAGTCTGGTAGACGGCATCTCCGCGACCAGGGTGTAGCACGAGGGACCGACGCTGAGCTGGAAGGAGAAGAGCATCACGATGATGAGGGCTCCCACGGCCCATGACCGTGCTGGCAACCCAGCCGCGTCCTGAGGGATACCGATGCCACCGATGATGACGAGAATTACAAACATGGCCGACAAACCAGCCAAGTACAGAGTGCGACGGCCGATATGAGTCATGATGTACCAAGCAATGATACAGCCGATAAGACCAATGCAGTTCTGTACCAAACTCATCGTGAATCCGTTCTCGGAGCTGAGGCCTGCATTGATCATGAACTGTGTGCCATAGCCCATGAACGGCACACCGCAGAAGGATTGCGTCAGCCAGACCATGCACGCGATCTCGGTGCGGCGGAGGTCGACGCCACGGAAGCAGTCCCAGTAGTGAGAGCCTGAGCTGACTTCGATCTCGAATTGGTTCGTCACGCGCATCATCTCGATGTGGGCGTCGAGGTCAAAGTCGATGTCACTCTTTGGCGAGGTCAGCTTGCGGACTGCTTCGCGTGCGTCTTCCAGGCGGTTTTGGCGGACGAGCCACCACGGGCTTTCTGGGGCGAAGAGCGTGCCGATGATGATGGGGATGGGCCAGACCCATTGGATAGCAAATGCTGAGATGGGTTCGAGTCAATGAAAATTCTCAAGGGCAAGGTAGTTGACATTATCTTACGAATGCGATATCCCCATTGATTATCGATTTGTAGAAGCCCGCGAAGCATGCCACTGCTGATCAGCTGGCCAATGACCCAGCACATGTTTCTATAAGTATTCGTTAGCATTATTGATAGACATCATGAAATGGTGAATCAATCAGACATACACCCAGGATGTCATGTATCCTGCAAGTCGGATCAGTGATGGAACATTGCACACTATGATCGAAAGTCAACTCACCTCTGAGGGACATGGGACAGATATCGGCCGCGTAGGTGACGGCAAGAGTCTGGAATATGCCCCACGGGATTCCCTGAATCAAGGCTCCGGCCAAGAACATGGGAAGACCGTTAGAGAAGAAGGGGATGAAGACGGCCCCGATCATGGCAACCATGGCGACGACCATGGTTTTCTTGTAGCCGATCCACTCAGTGATGATGCCGTTGAGGATGAGGCCAAGAATTGAGCCAGCCTGAGTGCCGTTGTTGATAATGGTTTGCCAGCGAGCCGAGACTAGAGGATCACCATTGGCATCGGCTTGGTCACCGTACCGCTTCATGAAAGCCGGAAAGGCATAGAAGTTGCTCATGAGGTTGGTATCATAGCCCTTTAAAAGTCAGTCGCGCGTCTTCACTCAAAACTTCTCCAGGGTTCTCATACCTCCATGATGATGGCCAGGGAAATGATGAACGAGAAGAGAATCGCTTTCGGCCAGAAGCGAAACGAATCTCTCACGCTCATCTGACGCTCATTCTGCATGGCCGTGATGGCCTCACCAGGGTTGTTATCATTGTGGTGGCTGCCGGTTGGCACCGCTTCAGCGCCCACAGTCTTTGTCTGAGCCATGCTGAAGACTCTTGCAAGAGAGCAACTAAGATCCAGGCGACTGCGAATGAGGTTATTCACAGAATCATCCACAATAATGGGACACAACGTCGCATTTATAGAAACAGAAGGCGGGGAACCTCATTGCAACCTACCATTACCGTGGGACGACCTGAGGGACTTGGCGACCCTGAGAGTGCCAAACTATGAAAGGCCAATCCCAACATCAGATTAATCCGACCATTTTCACTTTAATGCCGAGGCAATGCGGAGAACCCCATCAAGGGGGAAAACAATGACAATCAGACGTTTCGAGAAACCAACGTGCCAACGTCGTACAACATGTTCAGAGTCTGCTGCATCAGATGAGGGTCCCATGGGGAATTCTCCGGGGTTGGGAGCAACGGTCGGTCGAGACTTTTGGGGAAGCAAAGCGACGCGATCATTCGTCCAACGGCTTGTGGGTGTCACCGATCAGATGTCCAGGGCAAGGTTTGAGCGACTTTTCCGCACGTTTCCCGCCGCCTTTTCCCGATCCGTGGTAGACCGCCCGGCAGGGGGAGACTTCTTGAGCTCTTGGAGTCCCGGTCGAAGCAACTCAGCCAGGTAACCACTGCGTAGTGGGATACAACCCTAGTCATCTTTGGAAGAAATCGGGATTCTCTATTGCGCTTCTTGCAGTTGCTGCTTGCAATCGCCCCATCTTGTCTGCTTCTTTGTGGGCTGCGGACAAGGCCACGACATATACGCAAAGAGGGCGGTGTTCAGTCCGAGGGAATCGTGCCCCGCCGGCATGCGGAAACCCTCGGCTTGTGCTGCGTGTCGGTACATACTCGTCCCATTTTGGATCTTTCATGACACTTTATGTTAGCTTGTGATCTGACAGAAACCTCATAGGGCCCGCAGGCGCAAGTGCCAAACTCGCGAGGGCCTCATCGACTGCATTTACTGCAATGAGAGGGGCATCAAGTGCGACCAAAGACCTCCCGAGGGAGGTTACTATGAGCAACGAGAGAACCAACGTAAAGAACGCCTAGTAGAAGAGCGGAACATATCCATACAACAACGACGTAGCTACCACGCAGTCGGAAGTGCATCATCTGGATCTCAAACTGGTGGCTGGTGTGCCCGTTGTGAGACCACTCCGCATGCCGCCGCACTGCCTAGTCTGCCGGTCCGGCTGGACCTCGTGAGACTCTACTTTGACTACATCCATGACCAGTTCCATTCTCTCTTCCACCGGCCGAGCTTCATCGAGGATGCACTCGGCGACCGAGTGCACCACGGCATCCTCTTTGGTATCTGTGCATTATCCGCGAGGTGCGTCTCCGTATGCTGCCAAGCAGAATGTTGTGGGTCAAATGAGATGAATAATTCACAAGTCTAATGATGCTGTAGATTCTCAACCGACCCGGAGTTTGCAGATGTCGACCCTCAAGACAGAAGCTATGCATACATACGAGCCGCAGAGGGACTCCTGAACCTCCGTGACGTATCTCTGCCAACGATACAACTCTGCGTGTTGATAGGAGCCGCCCTGACTGCCAATGGCGATGGAGAATCGGAAAACATCTACTACGGCGTCGCATGCCGCATGGCGCAGCTACTGGACCTGCCAGGCAGACCGGCTACCAATCTCCTGGAACGAGAGATCAACATACGGGGTATGATCGAATCCCCAAGTCTCCATCGTTTGCCGTTTGCCACGTTCATCTGCAACTCTTTATGCAAGGCACGAACTCAAAGCTGACAAGTCGGTTCCCAGTTTGGTGGTCGCTCTGCATGATCGACGTGTGGTCCTCCACCGCGGTGAAGTTGCCCAAGCTTCTCCCAGCGAGACCCGATATTCCCTTGCCAATGGACGATCTGCCGTTTCTCTCGTTGAGCCGCAGTGGGGCCGGAGTAACGGGTATAACGTCGGCCGCTCAAAGTTCCCAGCTGCTTTCTCAGATGGTGAGGCTCAACAGGATCTTGTTAGACGTCAACGACTTTAACCAGCGCTGCGTTGCGGATAACCCCAACTGGGGCGCCCTCGAGCAAGGTGTCGAGTCTCTGAGCATGAGAATGGAAGACTGGCTCGCCGCACTCCCGGCGAATATGCGTGATACCCCCGAAAACTTTGCCTGGTTTGCGGCCCGCGGTCAGGGCCGAACGTTTGCTGCTGTCTACCTGGGCTACTATCACTTTGGCCAGCTTCTCTATTACCAATTCCTCTACGGCGCGGCGCCTACAACAGCCATCAACCCCACTGCCTCGGCCTCTGTCGCGAGGAGAGACTTGTACGCGAAGCGCTGCAAGGAACACGCGGCGCGATTATGTGACATGGTCTATCGCGCCCAAACGACACCTGGGTCGGACGTGCGGTACGCCATGACCGCGCATGTGCTAGTCATCGCATCGACGGTACAGATTCACACGCTGCTATTCAGTGGGGAAGAGGCGGATATCAGTGTGGCTCGAAGGCGGTTGGAGAGGAACTTCGAGTTGCTGATGCAGTTACGGTGTTACTGGCCGACGACTGACCGGGCCATCAGTCGTCTGAGAGCATTCCATCAGACGGCACGCACGAGCATCGACACAAGTTTTGTGCTGGATCGTTGGATGTTGAGGTTCCTGGTCGAGTTTGCGGAGCCAATGGAAGAAAAGGAACGCGGGGACGGGGAGGAAATGGAGTCGTTGTGGATGGAGGGCCCCCGGTGAGGGGAGCCGGACCTGTTTGGTGAAGCTGGGGAACCACTTCCGGAGTCTTGGCCCGTCGATGGATTGCAAACATGTGCATGCGATGGATTTGAAGAGTGTGTTTACTGTAACATGTGACATGCTGCCAACTTGCGAAGCGGCTCATATTCGTGACAGGGGTCAACTCACGATGTTCTGACTCCGAGAAAGACACCGTTGAACCAACACATGTTCTGCCCAGCAGCGGGGTGCGTCTTGGCACTCGGTGATGTCTCCTTCACGGCCGGTGATTTTCATCCCGTCGGCGTTCAGGCCGGTCGAAAGACGGGCGCGCCTGCATGACTCGGGGGGCCGTTGCTGCCACACTGCGGAGAAGAGGCGGGAAACTCGACAACTTTTCCGCCCCCTGTTCGCCTTGGCTTGACCTCACCGTCTGATGTCAACCCCTCTGAGCCCCTCACTTCGCAGCGGGAACGGACATCATGTATGTCGGAGAGTGACAAACGCATGAGAAACGAACGTGCGATAGCCACGATGGCGGGGTCGGATGGATCTTCGATGCCACTTTTCTTGATACTCTGATCCGTATAAGAACGCGCCGTCGTCGACTTTACGCCTTTGCCGGATATCTGAGAGGGAAACAGAAACTGTAGACTGTTCCGCCGTTCGAACGTTGAAGCAAAATGACATACAAATCGCTCAGTCTTGCGGCCGCGATCGCAACCGCTGGACGGGTTGCCGCCATCAGCAACGGACTGGCCGATACACCTCCGATGGGCTGGGTAAGTCACGGTCGCTCATTGCGTTACGTCGACTTGAGCTCATGATTATCAGAACAACTGGAATGCCTTCGCCTGCGACGTCTCCGAGGACCTCCTCCTGGGCACATCCGAGCGCGTAGTCAGCCTGGGCCTCCGCGATCTGGGCTACAATCACGTAGTGCTGGATGACTGCTGGCAGGATGAGAATGGTCGCGATGCCAAGGGAAAGCTTCAGCCGAATCTTGCAAAGTTTCCTAACGGACTGAAATACGTCTCGGATCATCTTCACAGCCAGGGACTCAAGTATGGCATGTACTCTAGTGCCGGTGAGATGACTTGTGCCAGGTTTGGTAAGTTTCTGTCTCTCATTCACGAGGATGATGCTTTGATACAGAATGCCGACGAAAAGCAGCCGGCTCTCTCGACCACGAACACGATGATGCTCAGAGCTTCGCGTCATGGGGCGTCGACTTTCTCAAATACGACAACTGCTACCACATGGGCCGCATGGGCACACCGCAAATCTCCTTCAACCGCTTCAAAGTCATGGCCGACGCCCTCAACGCAACGGGCCGACCCATCGCCCTGAGCCTCTGCAACTGGGGCGAGGACTACGTCCACACGGTTCGCTACTTTCCCATCTCTATGATTCCTGTATCCCTCATCTAATACTCTCCAGTGGGGCATGTCCATCTCCAACGCATGGCGCATGTCAGGCGACATCTACGACGCCTTCACCCGCCCCGACGACCTCTGCAGTTGCAACCAGGCCGCGGACCCCTTCTGCATCGCCCCGGGCACCCACTGCTCCGTCCTCTTCATCATCAACCGCGTCGCCACGTTCGCCGACCGCGGCATCCCCGGCGGCTGGAACGACCTCGACATGCTCGAGGTCGGCCAGGGCGGCATGACGGACGAGGAGTACAAGGCGCACTTTGCCCTCTGGGCCGCCCTCAAGTCACCGCTGATGCTCGGCAACGATTTGCGGGATATGCCCGCCGAAGCGCTGAGTGTCGTGAACAACCCGGCCATCATCGCCATCGGCCAGGATCCCCACGGCCGCAGCGCGTTGAGGGTGAGGAGGGATGTTGGAGGGGATCTGGTCCCGGATGAGTTTGGGGTCGCGGAGGCGCAGGTTTGGAGTGGACGGTTGGAGAACGGGGATCAGATCGTCATCTTGCTCAACGCCGCCGGCGCGGAGATTGAGATGCAGTCATCCCTCGCGGAGATCTTTGTGGCGGATGGACCTGGTGGCTCGGCGCCGCAGGTCAAGTCAAAGTGGGCGGTTCACGATCTTTGGGCCGATAGGATGTCCACGGAGATGGCAGAGTCGCTGTTCACGGCCGAGGGTCACGATGCGCGGGTCAAGATTCTACAGGATGCGAACTGGTATAATGCCACCGAGACTCCGTACGCCGTCGGTCTGGAGAAGGAGGACCCGAGGCTATTTGGCAAAAAGATTGGCGAAGTCGAGGCCAGAGGTGTGTTGAAGGCTTCAGTGCCCAGTCACGCGGCCAAGGTGTTCCGTTTGAGGAGAATTGCACAAGCTGGAGATGGCTTCAAGGCCAAGAGCCACGACCGTACACAGAGGGCTGTTAAAGACGAACTATGAGATGCTGGGAATTGTCGATGTAGAAGTTGGGGAAAGTTTGGATACTTGGAAATGTCGGCGGTATAGAAACTCTGTCATCATGGTTATAATGGAACATGAAAAAGATGTAACGCGCATTTGGATACTATGAAAGATGATAGAGTACTCGATGAACTTGAAAGACTTCAATATTAGAATGGAAGAAAGAAGGAGTATATGATGTTCATTATGTTGCTCACTCAAGACCACGCTGGATCTCCATAAACTACCGCATAGACAAGATCCTCAAATTCAACAACATGTTCTACCTATCTCTAACTGATGGGTAAAAACATGCAGCATACGTGTGCGTCATGAGTCCGTTCCAAGGTCATGGCAAAATTGCGAATAGGGGCTATGTGACGACCAGCTCCCTCGACGAAGTGGTATAGTAATTATTGCATCTACTATACGATGCAAGACGACACCAAAGTCCTCCAGACAACCGAGCCCGATTCAGTATCAAGCTTAACTCTTCCTCTATCAGACGACAATAACCTCGAAAGTCACCATACAACAACCAAGAGAAACGTCCACAGAGCCAGCCTTGGTTCGACTCTCTCCTTAGGCGCAATCAGATCGGGCTCAGACCGGCACCGACGGACACAACCAAGCCCTCAGGCTTCGCTCCTACGAGACAACATCTACGACACAGTCCAAGAGCCCAAAGCTAAAGCCCAACAAACGACACACTTTCCAAGACAACCTGCCCAGTCCCACAGAGCCCCAGCGTAAAGAGCAATATCACATCCTTCAACGTCCGGGGCCTCTCTAACCCCCCCCCCCTTCACCTGACTCTGAGCTACACTTTCCAAACTCACCTGTAACCCCGCGGCCCGAATCACCGTGGTCGACAACATCATCATCATCATCATCACGATGGCAGGGAAAGAACAAGCGAAGTACGCGTCGACACAACCCAGGGATGCAATGGACATGGTACTCTACGTAGACTCCAAGGAAGCAATCCTCTCTCTCCCCTTCTCGCGTCTTCCTTGGACCCAATTTGACGGAGCCAGCCTACATGTACTGTGGGACGAACGTGATCCGAGCCCCTGATCCGCCGAGCATCCGGACTCGCCTATTCAAGCATGTCGTGTCTCGATCCCGAAGCGCCCCCGGACAAAGGTCGTCTCCCCTTCCAGGGATGGCTCCGTTGTCCGAGGATGAGAGGTTGACCGAGAATGAGCGGTAAACCCACCCCAGACTGTCGATGTGACTCGATGGTTATCCCTCGACCACTCGTTCTGTAAGCCCTGGGGAGTTTCGATCGATTGCAAACTGCGGAGGCGATGGAGCCGGATCGGCATCCTGATATGGGAACATGATGGTCATGAAACGTTCCATGGAAAGATCTCAGAGTTAAAAGTGCCGTCACTGGAGTCGTGGAAAATTATGGGCTGTTTCCTAGCTTTCCTGGGAAGGATACTTCCATAATCCCCTCCAAAAGCCATGACGCGCTCGGAGGGGTGTACATGTCGTTGAGCCACGATACGGACGATATGCAGTCAGTCGATGTCCTTGGATCAAGTGTCACCCGCAAAAGTGCCTGGCCGTTCAGTCGACAGCTGAAGTAACGAGTCAGCCCCGCTTTCCAAGAAAAGCCATAACCCTGAAAGGAGAATTTGTCACCAGGTCTTGCAGATGTGAGGAGCGTCTAATCTGCTGAGAAGCCAAGCAAACCAAAGAGGCTGCAAGATGTGGCCCGAGGCGTTGCAGTAACATAAGGTATCTGCTCTCTTCACACCCCACGCCCCCCCTTTGGACTCCCCACTGAGCTTCGCAAATCCCACGCCTCGAGTTTGTCTATGATTAAACCCCTGCTCTGGGGGCCTTGGAGAGGACACGGTTCTCGGGTACATCCGTACATGAGGTAGGAGGGAGCGAGGGAGAAGGAGCGAGAGAAAAGAAACCAAGACTGGGATCGCCGCGAGGGCACAGCAGAACGCCTCACTACCTCGGGGCTTGAGTGGCCATAAGAGGTTGGGCCAATAGAGGACCTTTACGAGCGAGACTGACTCTGATCGAGACCTGCAGGGTGTTGGTGACATGCCTGGCCGAGAGATTGGTGCTAGAGCCCAGAGGACCTGCTGTGAGAGCCACGGTGACCCATGCTATACTTTTGGACCACCAAGAGCCGATTTGCGCTACAGAGGACAGTGATACCTCGTATGGGATAGGTAGCAAGCAGGGCACGGCGCGATGGTGAGCTGCGAAAGGTCGTGCGGTTTGGGATTAAGTGGCATGCCTTGCAGCAATGTCGTCAGACTCGTATCTTTCCCTGGAGAACATCACTCAAGCCGTCGTGCTGGGACCGAACCGTTGTGCAGAGTCTCCATCCAAGGTCATGCATCCAAAAGAAAGCCAGCAAAAGCATGGAAGTCCTGCACTGGATGGCTAGGTTACCCGGCCTCCGTCTGTTCGTAGGACGCGTCAAATTAGGAACCGCCGTCGCGTACTCCGTCGATCCCGCTGTTCGTTTGGTGTCATCGGCCCCCAAACCAGTGGGGAGGGAGGCGTGGGAGGGCTACCGAGCGCGGTTTGCGCCTCATCTAGGCATGTCACCTTGGGCCCGAGGAAGAGGAGACGTGTATTAGGTTGGTGTACGACTTTGTTTTTCCCGCCCTCGG